AAAAAGACACTAACTGGCAGAAAAAAAAGTTTTTTTTTCTCTGAAAATGTGATCGGAATATTCTGCTACTTGCACAGCAACCGGCTATCCTTGCTGTTGAATATATGAAAATGTCGCAGTTTTTCCTTGTCAATTTTAAGGCTGGAACACAGGCGTGTTTTTTTTTAATTGAGTGTGACGCGAAGCTCCGCATCGCCTCTGGGTGTCAAATTTTTCCAGGGTTTTCGCTGAACTAACTTTTTCCGAAATTGTTTCAGCCATTTTTTCCATACTTTTTTGGTTCTGTTTTTTCATCAGATAGGATTATGTTTTAAATCCGAAACCTCTTTTCGGTTTGATTTACTGTTGCTAGAGTCTATTTGCATTTACATGTTTTTGACTTGAAAGAGGCTGTCTCAAATATTTTAATTTGAAGATAAGTATGGGTAGTTTTGAAAAGATTTATAAAATTTTAACAAACGTAGGTTTTCAAATGTTTTCAAGTTCCTGGAAGTTTCTATAAAGTTTGAATTTTTGTCTGATTGCATAATAAAGCCGGTGTCAATTGCACTTTTTAGCTTTAAAGCAATTTAAAAAAAAATATGCGGATTACGTGCGATGCTCCATTTGGTTGAAATTACTTTTGAGTTGAATCTGCACTTGTACCATAATTTGTTACTTGTAGCGCAATCAATTGAACAAGCCGAAAGAACCCATTCTCTGGGTCCAATTTGCAATTATAATATATTCGGTAAAATTTGAGGCAATTTTCTTTTATTACCTATCTGAAGTCAACCCTATTTCAGAAAAAGGCCTTCGAAAATTCTTTTTTTTTCGTTATGTCTTGATAATTTAAATCAGCATTGTATGCAAGCCAGCAACCACCATCAAGCCTAAAGTATTTTTACGGGAGAGACGAAACAATGATTGCTTTAATCGGAAGCTCTCTGATAAAGAAAATTGAAAAAGAATTGCTCAATAAGTCGAAAAAGAATCGAGATACTCGGAATCTACAAAAAAATGGTTTTCATTCAGAAGTTCTCCTTGAGAGACTCGTGCTTAAAATACTAGCTAATGTTTATCTGTTGACGCTTTAAAAGCTATAGTAAGACGATTAATTCCTGAAACATTTATATTATGGTTTGATTTACCTATACATGTTGTACGGGACATCCGCATGGCTGAGCTTGCCAGCTCATCTTCTTTCAACCTTGATGCAGACTTCGTTGATCATTTAGAGTGGAGCAGAGAGGATGTAGCTTATAATAAATGGAGCTTAATTTTCCGGGAAAGTAAAAAATTGGTCGGGGTTCAACTTACGATTTTAACTTCCTAGTAAAACGGCTTCACCTTTTCAATCATCCGTCTATCATATAATTGGTTTGAAATAATCATTTATTAGACTGCAAAAACGGCAAGGGTTTCCGATTATTTCCTTTTTTCGATAAAAGGATTATTCCCAATTTCAATTGCGAGAGCAGGTGTCCGCTAAAAAACTAGTTTTTCATAGTATTTGAAACCTATATGATATCCATCTTTTTTCAATATGGATGAATGTTTATAGAAATTCTATAGGTTTGCGAGTATCGGCTGAAAAAAAGTATTTAAAATATTTATTTTTGGAGTTTAGCCTGGATGATTTTGAAAAATCAGCAAATTTGAAAGCTCGGACTTTTTTTAGGTTTTCAATGTTTTGCTACTTTCTTTAAGCTGCCGTCTATAAAATTAATGGGAAAAAAGGCTGCCGGTTATAAAATCAATGGAAAAAATATGGGTTTGCCTGAATTCATAGTGTTTGAGATATGGATGTTTTTTCGGACGAATGCATTAAAAATGTATGGTTCAATTTGTTGTGCAATTTTCGGACCCAAAATTTTTTGCTTAAATTAGGTCTTGTTCGGATTAGCATAATTGAATAAAAATTACGGAAACTTCTTTAACAATTTTGAATAATTGTATCATAGTTTATGATAGCATCTCGAATAAAAGGTCGATAAATCAGGAATTCAACCCCTGCCAACCCAAAGGGTCCCCCTTTGTACTGTTTTAAGATCATGTATTAAATTTGAGTTGCAAATAAGTTGCAAATATGAGTGCTCATTTTGAAAGTGTTCTTTTATTGCAGTATGTAAATAAGATCAATAACCAGCTATTAAATACAGCCAATGCTAAGGATATTAATACAGACTATTATATTACAAATAGAACTTAAGCTTCAAGGTATCATGAATCTGTAGCGTAGAGATAGGGAAGGAGACCAGCAACAAAATATGAGGGTTCAAACCTGGGCAGTGTCGGATGTTTTCAATATATTTTTTTCGTTACTAGTTGAAAATTAGTCAGCTGAGAAAACTTGAAAACTTTGCCTAGTATTGGCAGTTATTAGCATGTGCTCTCCGCTTTATCAGTGACGAGCCTTTTCTTTCTTTAAAGATCAAAAGCAAGGTTGTCTAAGGCCATGGACGTTCGAGGTTTATGTGACTATTCCTATAAAGAGCATTTTTTTATTATAAACTGAAATATTTTTTTTTCTTGCCTTTTTTAACCACTTCAAAGCTAATTTATTGTCGTTGATGCTTAAGTTTGTGAAATGCAGCTTCGCATGTAGCACTTAATTCATACAATTCTAATTTTTTTTTACATTAGCTGACCTGGCAAGTACTGGCCTTGAAGAAGTGCATTTGAGCTTGTCTAGATTTTGATTTTACCTGTCAATCGAAAACTATATTCAATTCCGGTAATGAGAAATTTTTTTTCTGGAAACATTTTAGTCGTTGGATTATCTAATGTCAGCTTTTTTGCCGGCTTTCCTATCAAAACATGGATTTTATTATAAATTTCTGAAACTTTGCCGTGATTTAAAGTATCTCTATTATTTGTAATTTTACCATTTCTAATATTTAATAGGACAAATTTTTATGACAAAAAATTAGCTTCCGACTCAACGTGCATTCACACAAGAGTTGTCGGCTTATTTTCCGCTCGATATTGAATAATTTTTTGACGCCTTAGTTTGTATTGAAGTTCAAATTGAACATAATTACGACAAAATTATGATTTTTTGTAATTGTGGGTTTTTCAACCTATGGGCTTTTTTTAAACATTTTGTCTGCCTGAAATGGTAAGTGGCCTCTATGTAAAGTTTTTATTCACGGATTTTGTCTCATTTTAAGCTGGTTTGCCATGCGTTTGTTCGCCATGTATTATCATGCAACCAGTTTTTAAATCCAGTTTTCAACAAGATGGTATATGATAGCATAGTTCCACAAGCTGTCGACTTTTTTAAAACCGACCAACCGAAAATGCTGCACGTTATTGAAGAAATCTGCTGTTAGAGCTTGGAAAGGACCCATTTACAATAGATGTATTCTTTCTAACAGATCAATGTGATTATTCTATTCAGTTTTCAACAGCAAGGTGCTTTACATTTGGTTAGATAGAGCTGGTAAATAAAAGCCCAGTTTTTTCAGTTGTCGGTCTTTTCCAACCGAGAGATCAAAAAAGGCACAAAGTCAATTGATTTAAGATGGCTTTGTTCGCCATGTATAATCATGCAAACAATTTTTAAATCCAGTTTTCAGCAACCAGATGCATTGCATATGGATAGATAGAGCCGGTATATGATAGCATAGTTCCACAAGCTGTCGATTTTTTATAAACCGACGAACCGAAAATGCTACACGTTACTGACGAAATTTGCTGCTAGAGCTTGGAAAGGACCCATTCAAAATAGATGTATTCTTTCTAACAGATCAATATGATTATTCTACTCAGTTTTCAACAGCCAGGTGCTTTACATTTGATTAGATAGAGCTGGTAAATAATAGCCCAATTTCTCCAGCTGCCGGTCTTTTCAAACAGAGAGATCGAAAATGGCACAAAATCAACTGACTAAGACCGAACTCAAAATGTCCTTTAACTTGCAAAATTATGAATCACACGTTGAAACTGATACGGGGCCCGCACTGAGCGCCCATGGATCATAATCGATTATATTGTCATAATATGGTCAGTATATATAAAATTCTAAAGTAATCGATTATAATCCATTTAGAATCCCCGTTTATCCCCCACCCAGTTTACCCCCACTCTTTAGTTGGGGAGGATTTAAAAAACTTGAGGGGTGACGTTGAGACATGGCATTTACTAAAAGTCATGGCATACATGTTGCAAAAAATAATCGAATTTAGTTCTAAAAATAAAATGGATTATAATCGATTATAATGGATTTTCATTTCAAAAATAATCGATTATAATGAATTATCTTGCCAAAAATAATGGATTATAATCAATTATAATGGATTTTTTTTTTTCAAAAATAATCGATTATGATGGCAATATAATCGATTTCGTTGTCTGAATTTTACATCTTTTATGGATTATAAGTGATTATTTTTGTCTCGGTGATCCATTATAATTGATTAGAATCGATGGGCGCTCGGTGCGGGGAAGGGGGGGTATGGGGCTAGGAAGTTAGACCAGCAAATTATACGACTGTAAAATTACTGAATTTAGACGATAAGAACTGAGCCATATTTTTTTTGTGGAGAATGAAGTTACACAAAAACAAAAGAGTAAAGTATCACAGAACTGATTACAATTATTATTGTAAATGAATTCTAAAACCTTAAATTGAAAGATATAGTACATTTTTGAAATGCATAAATTATACAACTGACATTGATAACCTGATGTGTGGCTCGAAAACCAGTGTTCACTCAATCAAAATTAAATTGAAATCTGTAAACAATATTCACGCAATTTCCACGCAAGTTATTGTCTTATTTTCGTGACTTTCTGAGCATCTAATTCGCTTGTCGTCCAATTTCCTAAACTCCTTAAGGTGATACGAATAGAAGTTACGGATTTCTTGGTAAGTTTTGAATTGGAAAAAAGTGGATAGATATAATGCTAAGTGTTTTCAGAACAAATTTGCTTGAAGAGCTTGGATGGAAAGCCGTATAAACCTTTTGTGTTTGTTTTCTCACAAACATTTTCATGTTTTTATATGGATTGTTTAGATAACGCTGACAGGTCTTCACAATTGAAACAGCGTAGTGTATCTCAGTCGGAACTGCTTTCGAGGCGTCTAGCGGGGCTGAGCGATGGTGACGAAAAAGGGTCAAGTAAGTCCCTCCGTCCTAGAAGGAAGCCTACACGCATCATCAGAAGTGGATCCTCCCTGTCTCAACACAGCGCATCATCATTTCTTGACGACTCACCTATTCCAAAGCAGCACCTTAATGTAGGCTAAGGCATTGTTTATTAAATTTTAATTGACCGCCTTTAAGAAAGTGTTAGTAGAGAAGTTTTGAGAGATCACTCACAGGGGTAGCAACAGTTAGTATCAAAAGTTGTACTTCATACCTTTCTTAAGTTTTATCTCTCCTTGGCATCAATTGTTTATTTAGCCTAGTTGCGTTTTATGAGGAATTCTTCAGTGTTAAGCGTAGTGTTTTAGATACAGTTGCGAGAGCAAGTGTCTTAAAATCGGGAGCTAGACTTTTTTTTTCCCGTAAACAATTTTTCTTACAAAAAATTGATTCTGTTTCACTACTTGTCTTCCCAAATGGCCTGGAGGTAACCCAGTCGCTTTTGCAGCCTTATATCTTGGGTGTGAATCCCGGCCGGACCTTCTATTTAAAAAAAAATTAAAAAAAAAATTTAAGTGAGCTAAAAAATTTAAAAAAATTATGATCATGAAAAACATGGAAGTAGTTCAGAATGAAAAGCTTTACTTGAAAGCCTATGATATTATTTCGATTTGTATGTGATTTGATAAAAACTTTTGTTTAATTCTCGAAAGTTAAAAATTGAAATGGGAAATGGGTCAATATCAAAACTGGATTTAAAATATAAGTTTCATATTATTATTTTTTTAAAAACTGCTTCCCCCCTCCCTGCAAGCGTACTATTGTTAATGTGCGACTTGACTTGACTATCAACCAGGTGCTTTGCATTGAGCTAGATAGAGCTGGTAATAATAGCCCACTTTCGTAAGCGGACGGATTTTCTAACCGAAAGAATTAAAAATGGTACAAAATTAATTATCTAGACTGATCTCAAATTGTCTTCTTCAATCTGCAAATTTTCAACCACGTGCTACCGAACGTTGCGGTGACATAAATAGAAGGATGCAGTACGCAATGAATGCAGTAAATCAAAAATTCGTGCAATTAAAACGATTAATCTGCTGCCTGGTATTTGGGTATTTACTTGTAAAATATGTGTGAAAGCTCAAAAAAGTAGGTAGACGCCAGGTATTTTGTAGTCAAATTATTAATTTTGATAGCGGCAGATTGAGATTCGACCTCGTGGCGTGGTTATTCAGGTTATTTTTTCAAATAGTTTTTTCTTCATTTAGAACTCCTAATTGATGTTTCACTTGTGTTAGCCAAGTGCAGCTTCGCCACTCTGTCAGAGACTGAAAGTGAAGCAAAATCAGTTTGATGTCATACTAATACTTTTCTGAATTGTTCAGTCGTACGAAGCAATCAAAGCATTTTTTTCAAAGAACTGCAAGCCCGTCTCTATTCAAACTCTATTCAAACTTCGATGTTAAATAAATCGAAAAATTTATTAGTCTCTAAAGTTGTACTTTATACCTTTCTAAAGTTTAAGCCCTCCTTCGCATCAATTTTTTTTTAGCTTAGTTGCGTTTTTATTAGGAATTATTTAGTGTTAAGCGTATTGTTATGGTTACGCTTGCGAGAGCAATTGTCTTGTAATCGGGAACCAGACTTTTTTTTCCCGTAAACAGTCTTTATTACAAAATTGACTTTACTTTTTTATTGAACCCTAAAAACTTCCACGTGCCTTCCCATTTAGCGTTGAGATAACCCAGTTGCTTTTACAGCCCAAAATCTGGAGTGTGAATCCGGGATCTTAATTTTTTCAGCATGTATGCCATAAAAAAGTTTATAGTAAAAACTGATTTGCAGGTAAAAATTGATTTACTTTATTTAAGTGTTAGTATAGTAGGCTGGTGAGATCACTCGCAGGGGGGATCAACTGCGCGGGTTGGAGTAGGAGCAAAATATTTTGAAATTTTTGATCATGAAAAACATGGATGTAGTACAGAATGCAAAGCTTTACTTGAAAGACTTCAATAATAATTCGATTTGATGTGATTTACGAAAAATTTTGTTTTGTTCTCGAACGTTAAAAATAGAAATGGGTCAGTTTCCAAACTGGCTTTAAAAGACTTTGAAATTTAAATTTTATTTTAATTATTTTCTTTAAAAAAAATGCTCACCCCCTGCAAGCGTACTACTACTAATGTGCGACTTGATTTAATCTCAATTTCTTAAATATCTCTAGCAACCAATAATTCGTTGAGTTAGTAAACAGGAAGAGGCGTTCATTCTATTCAATCAGTTTGCTTAATTTACCCAGTTTTCAACAACCACGTGCATTGCGTTTGGATTGATAGAGCTGGTAAATAATAGCCCAATTTCGTAAACGGACGGATTTTCTAACCGAAAGCATCAATATGGTACCGAGGAAATTTATCTAGACTGATTTCTAATTGTCCCCTTTATTCTGCAAATTTTCTAACCACATGCTACCGAAAGATACCGTGACTTAAATAGAAGGTTGCAATTCGCAGTGAATGCAGCAAACAAAAATTCGTGCAATCAAAACGATTAATCTGCTGCCTGGTATTTACTTGTAAAATATGTGTGAAAGCTCAAAGAAGTAGGTAGACCCTAGGTGTTTTGCAGTCAAATTATTAACATCGATAGCGACAGATTGAGATTCGATCTCGTGGCGTGGTTATTTAGTTTGATTTTTCAAATCATTTTTTTTGCATTTAGGGCTCCTTATTGCTGTTTAACTTGTGTTAACCAAGTGCAGCTTCGCTTCTCTGTCAGAGACTGAAAGTGAAGCAAAATTAATTTGATGTCACACCAATACTTTTCTGGGTTTTTCAGTCGTTCGAAGCAATCAAAGCATCTTTTTCAAAGAATTGCAAGCTCGTAAGAACTATTTAAACGTCGATGTTGAATAAATCGAAAAATTTATTAGTATCAAAAGTTGTACTTCATACATTTCTTAGGTTTTATCTCTCCTTGGCATCAATTGTTTGTTTAGCCTAGTTGCGTTTTATGAGGAATTCTTCAGTGTTAAGCGTAGTGTTTTAGACACAGTTGCGAGAGCAAGTGTCTTAAAATCGGGAACTAGACTTTTTTTCCCGTAAACGATTTTTCTTACAAAAAATTGATTCTGTTTTACTACTTGCCTTCCCAAATGGCCTGGAGGTAGCCCAGTCGCTTTTGCAGCCTTATATCTTGGGTGTGAATCCCGGCCGGACCTTGTATTTAAAAAAAAATTAAAAAAAAAATTTAAGTGAGCTAAAAAATTTTAAAAAATTTGATCATGAAAAACATGAAAGTAAATTCAGAATGAAAAGCTTTACTTGAAAGCCTATGATAATAATTCGATTTGTATGTGATTTAATAAAAAAGTTTTGTTTAATTCTCGAAAGTTAAAAATAGATATGGAAAATGGGTTAATATCAAAAACTGGATTTGAATATAATTTTCCTTAACTGGTACCAATGCAAAGATTGCTCACTCTCCTGCGTGTCTGCTAAATCCTATAGTCTCTTTTTTCAACCCCACGGTCTACAGCCTTCGAAAAAGTTTGGGGGAATATTTGACCAATGTTTTTAGATTTTGTTTTGATTTTCTCAAAAACAGTCTACCAAATGGGAGATATTGGGTCCAATTGGTTAGAACGGATTGTGGAAAAATCACCTGCATAAACGGCTGCGCACAATTTTTTTCGGGACAAAATTGCCCCGGAATAGTGGAATGTTTGATTTTTGACAGGTTTTTATTCTTTTTAATTTTTCTTGAAAACTATTGGTCGAAATCGAAGGTTTTGGGTTAAAACGAAACAACTTGTTGCGTGAAGCTCTCCTGCTCATGTGACTACGTCTATTTTTTAACGCAAATCTTTGATTCTCGGAAAACTTTTTTTATTGACCTTTTTTTGGAAACTTTTTGAACTTCTCTGGAAAACTAAACTGCCACTTCCTAGGTTAAGTATATAATCGAGAAAATTGGTTTTCTTAATCTTCTCTACTTTAGTGGCCACGATCTTCTTTTATGCAGAAAAAATGCGGATCTTGGAAAGTCACGTTTTCGAACTTAAGGCCGTTTTTTAGAAACTTGTTGACTCTTTTAGAAACTATTCTAATAAATCTGATGTAAAGGTTGCAATCGAAAGAGCTGGTTACGAGATTTTCTCCTGCATTTTCTAAGAAATATTTTGTGTCCTTGGGAGGGTTCCAATTTCTCAAAAGTTTTTGCCTACTTGTTTCAGTAGAGAAACAACTAAGGTTCTGGGCACAGCCTAGTTATCTTTTATCGAGAGAAACAAAGGTTTTGGATCTCCTTGTTTTTTGTTCAAAATTGTACGAAAGTTTATGTACGAATTTGTTTTTTCTCTTTCTCAGTCACAAATGAAAGTGCTCTTTTGTTGCTAGAGCATTGGCAATTTAATAGCATCTGTTTCTACATTTTTGTTTGAAAAGCTTAAGTTAATTTTGCTAACATTGTTAATTTTTTCTGTAATTCCTTCCAGTTATTCGAAGCAATAAAAATTTTTTCAAAGCCCTGCACTTTCCTAACAGTGCTATGCATCGATGTTGATTAAATCATAAGAATTTTTTTAAAACTTATGATAAGCAAGGGTATTGCAAACGGGTAGTGGATTTTTTTCCGTAACTAAATTTGTTCACAGGACTTTTCATCTGGACTAATTTTCTGGAAGCCTCTTAGCAACAAATATACCTGTACAGATATATTTTGTGCTTAATGCCAGCTTTAAAAGCTGTCCTGTTCGAAATTTTCTTTTATTGTCGTTTGTTAATTTTACCAATTCGATTTGTGAAAATTTACTTTATTTTTTTTTCTTTCTTTTTTTTCGTCTTGATAGGTATCGGTCTATATTAAATCAGCTTAGTGTTCGTCGTCCGAGGAGCGAAAAAGTTCTCTCTCTGTGTGTGTTTTTAGGGTGAAGGGGACTTAATTGTTTTTTTATTAGTTTTATACTTTTTTAATATTGTTTTCCGGCTTTTTTGTTTTTTATTTTGTTCGGCTAAATAGATTTCGAATTATTTTATATCGGCTTAGTGGCCTCAGATTGTTTCTTTTGACCGGCGAATAAAGTTAGTGTGTTTGCGTTGTGGGTGATAGGGTCTTGTTTATTTATTTTCAGCTTAAAGGGTTCTGCTTAGGTATTTTCGGCTTTGTCACGGCTTCGTACAATTTTTTTTTCGGTGCTTATGTTACATTACTTAGTCTTGGCGCATTTTTTTGTTTCAAAACTAGCTATATATTTTTTTGATAGACCTATTTTTTTGACATTTTCGATTTTTTTTTCGACTTACCGGCTTTTTTTGTTTTGCTTCGCTTTTGTGTATGAAATTGTTACGTGTTTATTTTTTCTACATTTTGTGCTTTGGGTCGCCTTTTTCGCGTTGTTACTTTTTTCAAATGCGTTTTTTCAGGAAGTAATTAACATTTTTTCAGTCACTTTTACCCTTGCGATTTTTCCCGTAAATAACTTTTTTCGCAGAATTTATCCATTTATTTTTTTCTACTGTTGTTACCTTTGTTTGCTTAGCGTAGAAGTAGCGTACATGCTTGGGACGTCAAAGTTTGAGGTTTCGAGTCCGATCAGGTAGGTCGACTTTCTTTAGACTAATGGAATGTCGTTATGGTTTATTGCTCTAATACTTTGGGTAATTAAGTTTCAAGAAATTCTACATTTATGTTATTTTTATACGATATAAGATTTTTTAGTCGCTTAAGGTCCAATTGAATTTTAATTTAGTTCCAAAAATAAACTAAACGCATTTTCCTCCTTGACTTGGAAAAAATGATTCATTGAATTGCTTGATACTATTTGATTTGCCTTAAAATTTGCTTTAAAAAAATCAATTTAGTGCTCAAAAATGACAATGTTGAGGAAGAAGTTGTTTTCGATGATTGCTCAGCTTTCATTTGAGGATCTTTTAGCGTTATGAAGCAGGGTAAAAGAAAACATGCTTTTATCTTACCGGAAAAGTGACGTGTTATCGAAAATAACCCTTTTCAACATGTACAAACTGTATATCAGCTTTCAGGGGCGGATCTAGGATTTTCTCGAGGGAAGGGGATTTCAAAAAAGTTTTTTGTCGACTTTCTTTAGGCCGATCAAATTGATTTTCCGAGCTTTCCCAGAACACTATAAAGACCCTATTTGACAAGCTTTTTTGCTATGCAGAAAAATTTGAAAAAATAACTGGTCAAAAATGCCGTTTTGATGAACTTTTTTGAATAATTTCGACCAAAAAATTGCGTTTTTTTCGGTGGCGCTTGCCTCAAAAATTAGTATACATTGGCGCATTTAGAAAAATTTTAGTGTTGGTCGGCCCTTTATTTTTGAGGGGGTCGAATTCCTGAAGGGGATCCCCTGGATTTTTTTTATCGTTTCTTGGTCACCACAGCGGTTTATTTTTCCAAAATAGAAATCACAACCTGCAGATGGAGCACGAATACCGTGACTAACCCTACTGTAGAATATATTTTTTTACCAGTGGATGATCTAGTGCCGAGCACAAATGGAGGATGCATACAAACTTCAAATTCAATTTTGTTAAAGATATCTTTGGTAATAATGAATGCCTAAAAAAGCATATAATGGAACCAGTTGGTTATAAAAAGGACCGTTTCGATGCATAGAAGTTTTTAAAAAAATACTTGAAAAAATAATTGCTTTTTGCTCAACTTGGTCAGAACTTGGCTTTGTCAGAATTTTTTATAGGGATATGACTAATAATTAATTGTAGCATTACATCAAAAACGTTTTACTTAGTTCAATGCCGCTTGCGCGTAGAAAAAGAGCGGTGGAGAATATTTCGTCGCTATGTCCGTTTTTGCAAAAATTTATATATTATTTTTACCATTTGGAAAAGGAAAACGTTTCGCTTCATTTCTATAGCTTGCCGTGTTGTACTGTAAAAACTACTGAAGAGAAAAAATTGAAACGCTAAAATAGCTTTTCCTGTGTGTGTAAGTGCATTTCATTTTGAGCATTTTTTTCATTGCTTTTACTCATACCATACCAGCAGAGGCAAATTCAAATCGGCTTCACTCAGTGAGGAAAAATGAAGCGCATCTTTTTTAAATAGATAAAAAGCTTCATCTTGTAAAGTAAGATTTGCTTTAAAGTATCACAAAATCCCAAATTTTGTCGTTTTTTTTGGTTCCGCATAATTTGTTTTGGCGCCTGATAACACAGCGTGTATTAAAACAGTACACGTTTTTTTTACCACTGAAACGACATTATATTGACGCATCAATGCAACATGAAAGTTGAAACAAAAAACGGTTGGTAATTTAAAGCATTGAGCTTGCAGTTTTATCCAAATGGAGGTTTTGTGCTTTGTTAAATAAAACCAATAACCAAATTGCGTTTTTAACAAGAGGGATACATTTTTATACGACTATCGCATCCTGAGTTTTACCTTTGCTAAAATACACTATTTACCTTTTTGCTCTCTGTATTACAGCCATAGTCTTATTACTAATAACTAAAATCCAGGTGACCTTATAAATATTCAATATAATTTTCACTGTCATTTGAAATTTAAGTATTGACTGATGTTAGCAGTTGATTTGCATTATTTAGACTCTGCAATTTGCCTTTAACTCGGAAACCGAAGCTCCCAATTCTATTTCTGCCTTGCCTGGAGTCGATTCTAAGCCAACTTCGTTAAGTCATCACAACATCGCCTCTGTGCGACGTCTTGAGCATAAAGGTTGGTAAAATGATTAATAAAGGTTTTAAGTATGTCGCAGTGATTTTGGTACAATTTGCTATTAAGTATTCCACACAACTTTGCAAACCATGTTAATTTAGAAATTCAAATTATAAGAAATTCCATACAAATTTTGGCATTATTTTATCTGAGCGAAACTATGACCTATTTTTCTGTTTACCCAGAATGAAGTCAGGGAAAATGTGTGCTTTTCAGACCTAGGAGATACAGTGTCCTTGAGAAGTGAGGTCTCGAGTGGTTCGAATAGAGAGGCGAAGCGAGACTGGTACAAGCAAATGTTCAAGTCTATGAACCCAGACAACAACAGAGGTTGGTGAATGTTGTTCAGTGAATGTTACGTTTCAATTACTTCCTACATATTTAAGTTGTTTTGGGGAGTTAAATTTTTCCGGCGTCCAATTGAACAGAAGGGGTCTCTTCAGTCTTATTGTGGGGACTGAAGGGACCCCACAGGGTTTTTACTGTAAAATGTAACCAATTTTTTTAGACAATTATACCGTTTTTAAGAGCTTTTCGTAGAAAAAAAACTATTTGAACATAACGATATTCGGATGTTTTAAATGATTTTTTTCGTATACTGTTTAAAATGCATCCGCTCTATAAATTGAGGCATCTTAGTTGGTAAACTTAATTTTTTTAAAATTGACTCGTACTGATAATGCGTCATAATTGGCTTGCGTCAATTAGCAATTATATAAACTCATAATTGGCGTGTGTGACTTTAGAAATTATGTAGACTCAAAGTTTTACTAATTCAGTTTTTCTCAGCGTTATCGGTCATATTTTTGCTTGCGTATGCGAAGTGCAACTTCGCCTCTGTGTTCGAAATGTGTCAATCAGTTCCGAATTAAATGTCGGGACAGTGGCTTTATTAAGCGTCAATGAACGAAGTGAATGCTTTTATTCGAGTTGTGTTGATTTTTGTTCAGTTCAGTTCAAAGTTATTTGCTAAAAGGATTGGCCAAGGACTGTTTCTTTTACAAAATTTCAAAAAAAAAATTGATAAAAAATCGGCTCTGTCTTATGTTTTTAAAGGTTTTGTAAGCACAATGCGGATTTTTTTGTGAGGTTCCTTGTAATTAAAGTTATCTCGATGTATTGCGGTTATTTGTAAATTTGCGCTGCCCTGATATTTTTGTAGACGTGGTCTTCTAGAAATTTACTTTTTTCAATTTTGTTTGTTTGGACTCAACGGCCTCCGCCTAGTTTTCTAGATTACAATGCAATGTTTGTAAGTTTTGCATGTATTACGAAGCTCCGCCTCGGTTCTGTGTGAAATATGTTTCAACCTAAATTGCGAGAGCAATTGTACTTGTAATCGGGAACTAGAATTTTTTCCATTACACAGTTATTGCGACTGTTAGAAATTAAACCTGCTCTGTTGTGCAACCTCAATAATTTTGAGGCCTGTCTTTGTTTGGTCTAGTGGTACTAATTGTGTCGTAATATTCTAAGGTACGAGGTTCGAGTCTACACCAGATCTTATTTTTAAGCTCAGATCATATAGGTTGCAATGTTGTTACTATTTACTTTTTCGCGGTTTGACTGTTGATTTCTTTTTAACTTCTGTGCATTTCCTTTGTTTAAAGGAAGGCAAACTCCACTATCGAACAGGGAAAGTGTAAAGGTAACAAAAAACGTGATCGACTTCTAATTTCGAAAATAGAATTTAATGATCAGATTTCCCAGCGAAACAAAATGTTTACCTATTGATCCAGTTTTCTCAAATTGGGCTAGAAATTTAAAGAGCTTGTAAGGCATCCATTGTTTTCTGTGAAATTCAAAAATGAGATTCTTTGAATTTTGAAAGTTCCGTTTTTTTTCTGTTCACTTGCGTTCAATGATTTTTTTTCCAACTATCTGTTAGCAATGTTTCGATATGTTTGGAAATCTAAATTTTATCTGAGAAAACAATTTGTCGTTTTAATTGTAGGAAGACGAATTTTGTCAATCTACTTTCCAAAGCATGGATTTTTTTAGAGGGGAACGATAAGATAAATAGCATTTTAGGAAGCTCCATTGATCGTTTCTCTAAACAGTGAAAATTGTTTTGTAGTTTGTTTCTTCGAGTTTTTGACGTGTTTTTCCCGCTGTCTTAAGAGTCTATTTTTTCTCTATGGGAGATTTATTCGCAAATTTGCCCTTGAAGAATTGGCTGAAAATTTGACCTACGGTCTGGGTTTTTATTTGTTGTGCTAAATTGGATACTAAATTTAAAATTTGATTTCGGTTCATTTTGACTTATCGATGTTGGCTATGTTTGCTATTCCATTAGGATTTTTCGAACGTTATCTGGGTTTCAGCGATGTGATATATCCAATTAGCAACAGTCACTTGTATTGTGTTTTATCGAGCTGGTAAGACTTGACTCACACTAGTATATGATATATGGCTACATATAACCACCCCATTCAACCTAATACACTGTTAACTTAAATATATTGTACAGTGTGTTAGAATAATGTTTTTCGTCCTTACTTTGATGGGAATATGTTTAAAATAATTAGAGGGGGTTGCAAAAATGTTACCAAAAAATTTCGCTTCAGCTGAATTAGATTGGGCTGACAAAATTCTCGACCCCAACAACCGACAGTTCCACGACAGCAGTATAGTAGAATCAGATCCTTATGCGAATCTAGACAGATCTCATACCAGCTACAGTACTTTGCCATTGAGTCTATCAAGAACGAGAAACAAGAGCGAACAAAATCCCTTGGAGGAGCAATTTGAAGCACCCAGAAACAACATGTATAAATGTAAGTAGCAATCTAATTCAACTGTTGCAACAAGCCTACTTTTAACCAGTTTGTTTTCACGCATCATGAAGTTCTCTAACCAGTCTCGATTTTTTTTACATAGAATAGCGAAATATTATTTCAAGTCAGGCTGTATAAATTTGACTCAAAAATAGTCTTTAGTTGCATTTGAATTTAACCCATATTTTGATTCTTTTCTTTTCTTCCTTACCTGAATTGCTTTCCTACTTTGGCAGCTGCTAACCAGTCTGAATTCAGCAATACGCGTCGTCCCCGTTCACAAACCAGAATGCACAATGAACACATTTCCTACCTTGAACCAACTGATTTTGCACTGAGGAGCCCGCTTCAAGGTGGTAATTTGAACCAACCTGACCTTTTAAGCATGAACACTACACCACATGCATCTGATCAAATAAATGCGGAGGGTAGGCCATCGTCGAGTAATTCACAAGCAGCTACTCGTTATCGACGTGACAAACCGAGGCGCGCGGACGAGTTCAAACAAATTCGAAGTTTTTTCGACAATTTGGGACAAGGAAATGAAAACGGCGATGGAGGACCGGCACAGCACATAAGAACACAGAGTTTAGATCGAGCAAAGTCGAGTAATAAAGCAAAGTTTCTGAGTCAGTCAAGACAGAGGTTCCCAGAAGGAAAGGACAGCACTGATTTCCCGAGATCGGGAGGTCTGGGACGGAACTCAGTTAAAGGAAACAGTCGTTGGCAATTGAGCTCATTCGATGAGAATTTCGTGGCTCGTAATCAGTACAGGTACACAATTCGGGAGCCGAAAAATCTGAAACCGCCTCGACCAGAGTTACCGCCTTCGGCTGCAATTGATACGGATTTCATTGTCAGGAATTCGAGGTTCAGAAATACGAGTGGCGGAGATTACCCACAGCCCCGTGAAAATAATGAGAACAATAAATCTGGAATTTCTTCTGACTTGCTTCTGGACGAGACATTCAGGGCTATTTTTGACCAGAAAAATGAGGAATTTTCTCGTTCGAATGAGAACTTAATTGATACACGCGTGCAAAATGAGCCAGCAAAGGCAGTGTCAACTTACAAATTGAGTCTGAAATCACCTGATTCGAGTAATGAAAAACCGCCTGGCTTCGATTCGAGAAAAATGAATATGCCGATTAACAATAGATTCATTGACTCTGAATCAGACGATGACGTTTCGCTTCAGTCGCAAATCGAGAATCACAGCAGAGTAAAACCGAATAACTTTGCTAGTAGCCCGAGTAATGTTATTCATAACCCGAATATGAGAGCCAATTTAGAACAGACGCTTCAAAATTGCAACGGGAAAATCAACGGAAATCATAAAGGCTTATATGGATCTACGGGGTCTCTGAAAAGCGCACCGATACCTTTCCAGAAGAACAATAATGATTTAATCCAATTGGAGGATAGTTTCACTCCTGCTATTCCAAGAAATGAGGAAAGAGGACATGAGAGTAGGAAGCCTAGAGACAAAAGTCCGTTAGTCAAGAGTGGAATTGACCTTTGGGAAACTCGAATCGAGACGGTCGAGGTCGAAAAAGTGCAACGCGAGCGAGAAGATTTGAAGGGTAAGAAAAGTGTCTCGCCTTTTGAAACTGAAGTGCAAAGATTTGAACCTAGAATTCGGTCGAGATCAGAAAATCCCCTGAACATGGTAAATAATGTTCTGCAAGATGGCATTCTTTCGCCTCCTCCAGGGAGTAATAAATCGAGCTTGAAAGAATCCGAAGCGGATCCAAACGAGTACAATTTTTCGATGAGTGCAAAATTCGCAGCTGTAAATTCCATACCACAGCCGTATAATAGGCAAAAAATTGGAGGCGTGCCTTTTGAACCGTCGTCCAAGTTTAGACCATCTCACGTGAAACCAATACAGACTTCAGAACGCAATGAGATACAAGATTTCAAACTCGGATCGAACCCCTCTTTGGTGCAATATGATGAAAAAATGGTTACTGAAACACAGACGAGCGAAGCGTCTCGTGCGTTTGATCTGCCGGTCAAAGTTTACGATGATTTTGCAGAAGATCATTTGGCCACTGTGCAAAACGAAGTGACAGAGAAGTTTATTTATTTCCCGCATACGAAAAAATTGATCAAAGTCAGTCCAGAAGACGAAACTGAAAGTTACTTGAAACAGGTGAATTTGGCCCACAGAGATGTAGGATATTTTATAACTCTCAAAAAACAAGTGACGGAAGATAGACTCACTAAAATTGAGGCAATAAGTGATCGCACTCAAGAGAATGCGAAGATTAAAGACGACGTGAGAGATTTAGCGAGAAGTCTGCATGATCGAACGGCGAACAATGAGCGGGATGCGAATCAGAAAGAGAGTTCACTTCAGCGTGGAAGCAGTGCAGCTGATAAGTTCACAAAAATGGATCGAGCTTGGAACAAAGCCGCTGATGATCAGCCGACGGTTAATTTGTTCGGTGCGAATCAACAAAGTTCGCCCTTTGACAATTTTTCGAATAAATTGAAAGGTCACATATTGGACAACAAGAAGCCCAACAAAGCGCAAGAAACTGAGATAGGCAGAGATTTTCCAATGTCGCCAACGGAATCTCCAGCGTATTTTCCAAACGCAAGAAGTCCGATGAATGAACCATTTGCGTATCGTGATGACAAAATGAACCATGGAGATAATCATATATACAACAGAAGATTTAAAAAGAATGACAGCAATACATACAGAAATGTCGGATTAGTTCAACCGATGCCTGGCAACCGCTCCATCAGCGTTGACGCTTTGAATTTCGGTGGTATGGGATCTGAAAATACAGGGAGAGTTCCGCTTAATCAAAGCAACCAGCAATTGTCGGAGAAAAATCGAAGTCGTATGTCACTCATGTCGCATGGAGGTGAAATGTACGACAATCAGTTTCCAGAAGGACAGCGCGTGTTCCAATCGGCATCTCCGACTGTTATGGATGTTAAAAATGTAAAAAATACACAAGGGCAGCCAGAAGGCAGAAGTGGTTCTTTCAACCAGCAGAATCAGTTTGATCACGTGCCGATGGTAGGTGCAAAGGGAAACGTTCATGCTGAAATCGGAAGCGACTTCAACCCGAAAGAGGGGGACAGTGGCGTTGATTTGGATTATTACAGTCCGAATTCAGGTAAGTGCTGCGTTCACTAATCTTGTCTGTTAGTTTTCTCGAATCTTGGCAATCATTCTCATAACTTGCTTTTCTGAAGAGTTAAAAATTATTTTGGAAACTTTTTAAAAGCTAAGATAAAATTGAGATCAAATTCTACTTTCATCAATCTCCACGAAAGATTAAATTGAAGAGAACTGTCATAGGCCTTATGATACATGATCATGACCTAAAAATTGCTCGAAGCCAAGATAGTAACTAAAAAGCACTTTTGCAGATGATATTAAGTACCCTGTGCAGTCCAAACACGATGACGGACTCCTTGATCCTAACTCGGGACACCCTCAAGACACTCAGATGTCAAGGCACTCGCCACATATGGATCATCAGCCAGTAGAAAACGAGTTTCAACAGGATAACGGGGGATTCGGAGGTGGCGATGTGCCACTTCACATTCCGAAGAACGAAACAGCGCAAAGCAAAGAAGGCTCCAAGCCCATCAAAAAAGTAATTATAGTAACTGATTACAAAACTGCACATATAATTTACTAGAAACTGTTTTGAGGATCTTCTCTGATCCAGTTAGCTAATGAGGTTTACTCTTGCTCTAAATAAAAGTAGTTACTTTTTAGATATTTTTGCGGCCTTTTTTGAGCTTCAACTGTTATTTAATAAGCTTTTCGTTTAACATGTTTTGAATATTTTAGGTACTCAGTGTGAGTTATTTTAATACTGTTTTTGCGTGTTGCATGTACATTCTATTATTTTAGACGTTAGTCTTTTCCCAATATCTATGAATTGAAATGTTAAAAAGTTATTGAAGTATTCTCGTTTGTTTGTCAATTTTTAACCATCATCGGGGCTTTGGGAGAAGAGAACCATGTTGAGCAGTTCCTCTCTTTAGATGTATAATATAGCTGCAGAAGAGTTGCATGGGTCTTCTGAGGATAATGATATCTCGGTATGAAAGCAATATGTAACGTCATTCTGCTTTGCTTTACTTGGTAATATTGTAGTGGTGGTGTGGTTTCTTTCATGCTTGCATTAGGTTAAATCATTTTGAGATTCTTCATATGGTTATCATGCTGTGGTATGCTTTGCTTGCGATGTTGATTTTTAAAAAGAGTCTTAAAAATTTTCAAATTAATATGGTCATTCTTGAAAAGAGCCTAGAATGTATATAAATTCTGAACAATAATAAAATGATGGTATTGATTCTATTTGAACCGATTTGCTGCAATTTTTCTGTTTTATCACTAATGATTTTTTTCTGGAAATTCATTTACTAAATCGAAGGCAAGCTGTTGGGGCTAGGTTCTTTTAGCAGACCGATTTGTTTCAGCAGATTCAACATTAACAAATCAGAACGCTTATTTACGCTAGCGAGCAGGTAGTGTTTTAGTACGAACCTTCTTTTTTCTATCCTAACTCGCAAATAAAAGTGTTCATTGAAAGTGTTCACTTATATAGAAATTTCACTGAAGCATTGAAATTTTCATAGCATCTGTTCTCGGCTTCATTTGTGGCTAGTGTTTGTGATGGAGATTCAGAATTTTTAGATCGTAAGTTCGAGTCCGAGCCTTCGCCGAATGTTTACTAACTCGAGGCTTATTTTTAATGTTTCTTATTGCAATTTTTAGAACTCTTGAGCTGCTTTTTGTCTTGTTTTTGCTAGTATTTGCGAAGCGCAGCCTCGCTTCTGTGTTCAAAGGTGGCATTGGTTAGAAACAAACGCTTGCTCCGCTGAGCTTACATACTTCGGTGTACTGTTGAAGTGAAGGTAAACTGCACTATCGAACAGCAAAAGTGTGTAGGTCGCGAAAAACTTGATTCGAAAGTAATTTTTCAATTTTTAGATTTCCCTGCGGAATTAAAACTTTACCTATTGATCCAGTTTTCTCGAATGGGGCTAGTTATATGACAAACTGTTATCATAAAAAGTTTATGAAGTTTAGAGAGCTTCAGCGTGATCTTTTTTTCTGTTATACTTCAGTTCATTGAGACTTTTCCATTTTTTTGTTGGCTATGGTACGTTTTTGCGTTTCGAATTTGGAAAAATCGGCCATATGAACAATCTCTCCCCTGAATAGACCAAGCGAACAATATTCTCAATGCAAGGCTGATATACCAAACGGTAAATCAAGCAAAAAGTGAGAATTGTACAACAATTAAAAGCGCGTTTGGCATCTTTTTTTAAATTGAATTTGTGCACAGAAAATGGCCAAAAATTATTTTAAAAAATGAGAAAAAAAAAGTCAGTTTGAAGCTAAATTAAGTAAAATTGCTTCGTTTTTAACAGTCACATATTAATAATTGTTGTTTCCCTGTAACTGTGTCCTAATTTTGTCATAAAATTTTTAATTACAATTTTTTGTCGCTTAGGGTTGTATAAGCGAAAAGACCCTTAATTATAAATGGCATTTTCAAGCATTAATGCCTGCATGCACTTTGCTCAAGTTTGATTGGCTAAAATATCATTTTGTAACTAAATGAACGATCTCCATAGTTTGATTTAGGGGGACTTTGTTCTCTTGGCCAAAAAATCCTCTTTTTTTAAATTTCACTGTAGGTCATTGACTTTTTCCAACTGTCTGTTGGCTATGTTAAATTGAAGCTAATCGTAACTAGCTTTGGTGATGGCTCTATAGATTATTGCGAAACAGGGTTTTTTTTGCGAAAGGTGAAACTTAGAGCTTGAATGTTATCTCCTGTTGTTGCATTAGTAGTTAGTGTAGTTTGTTGTTGTATTTAGTACTACGACGAGGAGTCGGTTTCTGAGACAACCTGCTGTGGACCCAAGGTCTCTGTTTAGTTCATGCAATTCATAAACATTTTAAGACAGCGTCTCCCTCGCATTTGAGTTCATTGTAGTTTTCCCTTCATTGGATGGTGTACATTACGTTCTTGTAACTGTGATTTCTTAAAATAACAGTTTGAATTTAAATGAAAAAAAACAACAACTGCGGTTTCATAGTACTGAAAACAGTTCAAAGCATAGAAACTGATAGTATCTTACAAAGTAAAAAACCATGCTTTGGTTGTATCGAGGTTATAAAAATATTGAGTAATATTTTTTTTTTAAAAACTATTTGATGAAGCTTTAATTTTGCGTTTTCTTATCGGCCATATTGCTCATTTATTTGAATGTTCTGCGTATAAATGACTTGAATTTTTGATGTTTCAGAAGATCTTCAAAAAAAGATCAAAAAGCAGAGACGACGCTCTTTCAAAAACAGCGTCAGAACCATCGCCATCACTTAGCAACGGTAATCGCAAAAATGCGCCTCGAGGGAATAATAAACCCAAAGAAGAGCAAGTTCACAGCACAGCTGACAATAACTTCAAATCTTCGTTTTCGCATCAAGTCAATCCGCCCTTGAAGAAGGAGCGAGAAGAACAAGAGCCGATCTACGCAACTGTGATACACTCTTTTAGAGCTCAGGCAGATTAGTAAGTAGACTATTTTGGCGATGAATATCCTTTTTTCGTACCCACCTCCTCAGAAGAGATCAGAATGTCTCGTTTTTGCTTGAGAGTGACGATTCGATTTAGTGTTAAGTAAAAAATGCTAATGGCAGAATTTGACGAACAGATAATTTCAAGGTCACTTTGGTGTTTTATAGGAAAGAAGCTTTAAAATATTCACGCTCAAATTTGATTTTCCCGCTTGACAGTTACCCAGGGGAGGATCTAGGATTTTCCCGAGGGGGCGGATTTTCAAAAAATTTGCGAAAATTTTGTCGACCTGTTTTTTAGGTCGACCAATTTGATTTTCCGAGCTCTCCCAAAGACCCTGTTTTGGTCATATTTTCTGCGCCACAGGTAAAGTTTTGAAAAAGCAGGCCAAAAAGGCACTTTTTGGAAACTTTTGACCAAAAAATCACACTTTTTCGGCGCTCGCTCCCCCTCTAAATTAATATTGGCGCCTTAAGAAAATTTTTTGGGTCTTGCTGTTACCTATGGTTTTTTTCTAAGGAAGGCAAATTACGCTCTCCAATTGCGAAAGAGCAAATGATGCGCAAAAAGAACGTGAATCCATCTGAATAAATAAACAATTTTGTGATCTCTAATTGAAATAGTTTTATGAAGTTTTATGAAATTCGAAAGTTGAAAAATGTTCAAAAATATGAACCATTTTTTTTCCGGTTTCAGTGAGTTAAGTGACAATCTACCAACTGTCTATTTGTTATGTTCAGCGTTTAATGGAAATCAATTCAATTTAGTTAAATTTCTATGTGTTTTTTGTTTAGTGAGCTGGAGGTGAAGAAAACTGATACAGTGATGATTAAAAAGGAAATAGACGCCAATTGGTTCGAGGTTCGGGCGAATGGCCGCGTTGGCTTAGTTCCGAAAGCAAACCTACGTATCATTCAGAACAATACGGCACAAAATAGTCAAAATGCGCCCAATAGTACAGATAACAGCTCTTTGCCGAGGTCGAAAACGAACCCCAGCTTAAACTCGGAGTTTACTGAGGGTCGCAGTCGTCGAGATATGCACGATCCGAAGTTTCAAGGGAATCAGAGTGAGCAACAGGGAAGCAGTGTCAATGCGCCCAATCGAAGCGAATCGAATAGCATGAAGCCGTTGAGTGTCGAGGTATCTGGAGGTGTGATTCAAGCTCAACACGAGAAGCAAGTCTCAAATTCATTATCACAAAAGAAGCCGGGCGAAATTGTGGAAGGCGATAAAGTGGTTGCGAAGTACGCCTTTTCAGCACAGAGTGCAAACGAGTTGGATCTCAAAAAGGTTCTTAATTGTGTTTTTGTTCGTTTTGATCATTCTCGCCCAAGAGTGGCAGTAATTATGGAACCATAGAGAGGTTTTTCAGCCTAATTTAAAGTGCCTCGAAGATCATTCGTTAGATGTTCTTGCTATTATGTTATTAAAGCCCTTTCAGTCGTGATTGGGATTCGAAAGTGGTGTTTACTTCAGCGAGCGTAGTGTATTAGTATGAATCTACTTTTTTCCAAACTAACTCGCAAATAAAAGTGCTCGTTTGGTGGAATTTTTGCTACAATCACGATCTGTAGCAAGAATTTCAAAGCATCTATTCTCTGCTTTTTGGTGGCTAGTGTTTACCAAAAGTCAAGTGTACGTGGCTCCGAGGGAAGGACATGAGATTCCTGAGCTACTTGTCGGCGGAGGTTCAACCCCGCACTTAATATTGGTTTTTATTTGTTCGGTGGTATTTTTGCTGCAAATTTTTGGCAATTTATTAGCATCTACAGCTGCTTCATCGATGACTGGTCCAGCAACTTTTTAATGGCCCGTTTCGCAGATGCGAGAACGTGAGACTCCAATTCTCAAGCTCGGAGGTGCGAATCCGACAAAAAAAAGTTTTAATAACTCTTGTCTATTGTCTACTTTTGATTTCACTTTATAGAGCTGCTTTTTGTAGTTTTCTCGCTACTGTTTGCGAAGAGCAGCTTCGCATCTGTGTCCAAAAAACTGTCCAAAGTTCTCATGTTGCTAATATAAATGAAGCGACGTGAAAATGATATATATAAAGAGATCAGTTGATCTGCTCATGTCTGCCATCTACAATCTTGCTAAAACTTCAATAATAAAAAAAGAAATTAGTCCCATCTAGACTCAAGCCCCGTCCCTCGGTGTCAGCTTTTTTTCCACTAGTCAAATATGTGTTTTTGGATCGGAAACTTAATTTTTTGATACTTTGTACCAGAAGAACAAATCATCGAGTGGTTCTAGTATTATTGGGTCTGATGGGGTTACGTTTGTGGTAATATATTCGACTATATTCCTTATTAGTTTGAGTCAGTGAACGTAGTGTTTTTTTGATTTATCGCGGTTTGACATTTGATTCATCTCCTTTGTTGCTAGAAAGGAAAGTTCCACGATTGAGCACCTGAAGTGTAAAGATCAGATAGATCGAATTCTATTTCTGAAAGTCTTTTTTATTTTGTGATATCCAAGCGGAAGATAAATTTATCTAATGATCCAGTTTTCACAAATTGGTTTAGTTTCATCTAAAAAATCAAAATCGTAAATTTTTCGTTCTGAAAATCGAAAGTCATTTTTGTTGTTTCCTTGCGTTCCTTGACTGTTTTCCAACTGTCTGTTGGCTATGTTTTTATAGTAAGGATAAATATTAACGTAATTAAATTTACGGGAAAAAAGTTTGAGGAAAAAGTTAACATTAAAAGAACCAAATAACAGCATCTTTACCACCATCAAATATTGTTTTTGGAACTAAGGATAAATCAGCTTGAAAAATAAAAATTTTCAATGCGTATGGCGGTTGTTTCAGAGGGACGTGGTCACGGTTACTAAAAAAGTGGACGAAAACTGGTTGGAAGGCATGCTAGGCAGTCGCAGTGGAATATTCCCAGCTACTTATGTGCAGAAAGTGTCGCCACAGTCACAACCTGAAATGCTCAGAGGTAAATTTATACTCATTCTGGATTTTTTTCTCCTGGTCTAATTTTTAGTATATTGTTACCCTTGCGGAAGCAGGGGTATTACAACTGAGTACTAGACTGTTTCCCCGTAAATCAATTTTTTCACAGGATGACTCTTCACAGGCCATGTACTGTATCCGTAGTACTTGACCCAATAAATTCTGATCCATTAAGTACTACCCAATGTAACTGAAATTGCAAAAAACTTGAAGTAAATGAATTTTTCAGCTGTTTGGATTTTGTCTTAATTTTTGTTGGCTTTCATGGTTTTTTTCATAGATGAAGTTTTTCATTAGTTCTCTTGAAATTTCTTTGTTGGTAAATTGAGCTGTTATGTTCGAATTGTTCAGTTTTCTGGTTTGGCCACAAAGGCGTTTAGCGAGTGTTGTATTTAACTCAAGAATATCGTAAATCTGAATCTGAAATGCGTTTTTCTCCTGAACGGTTCTATAACATTTTGACTTCTTCGAAAGAAATGTGCGAATATCTATTTTCTGCTAAACTTTTTGATCTTTTCAGGTACAAAACATTTCCACTCCCAGCCTCATTGAGTTCTAGTTTTGATTTAAATATTCTTGGAGCACTTGCATTTAATCGTTTTTGGGCTCGATAAGATTTCACTTAAACATCGAAAATGTAAAGGTCTCGAAAAACGTGATCGACTGCTAGTTTCGAAAATGGAATTTAAATTCCAGATTTCCCAGCGAAATAAAAATATTACTCACTGATTCAGTTTTCTCAAATTGGGTTTTTTTTTATCAAAAAAGGTGCCGATCATAAATTTGAAGAGCTAAAGGCCATCTATTTTTTTTTGAAATTAGAAAGCTGCGTCCGTATTTTTTTTGTTAATTGCGCTCATTGACTCCTCTCCAAGTGTCTGTTAGCTCTAATTTTTGATAGGCCCTGTTTCCTCAAAGATGGCTGGTTTTGATAACATGCCTGCATCTAAAATGCCACAAAGTGGAGGTCAAGATTTTGGTCCGAGGAACATAGTCAATGCAGAATCCACGTATCAGAACCCTGTAAAAAAGAACTTGGGAGGTAGTGCAGTCATTTCAGAGATGTTTCCAACAGTGGGAAGAGCACAGGAGCAGGAAGGAGGAACCACAAAAGTGCATCATAGTCCACTGGTAAGTCGAGTTAGTTACAAAGCACATGAAACAAGTATTATGAACAATGAAAAACTAAGGGCACAGTATCCATATTGGAGTCTGCATCAAAAATGGCGATTTTTTTTATGTCAAAGTTTATTACGCTTGCGAATCGTAATAACTTGCTGATACTACGTGCACAAGAATAAGAAATGATTCTGTTGTCCCAATAACGTCGTTTAAAAATATTCGGAAAATTTCTTAGAATCAAAAAGAAGTCAGTGTGTTAAAGAATGTAAATTACTGTAGGGCGATTCAAGCCAGTGGCAGCAACACAACTACAGTAGTTTGAAAAAGTGGCCTGAACAGAACTTAGCGGAACATAACCAGGCGCGATCTCCAGTTGGAATGGGAATGGGGTCGAATTCAGCTCTGAATGCAACAAACCTCACCGTCAATACCAGCGCTACCTCGGAATCTGGACACCATGGGGAGTCCCTGGATCGTGAAGAAGCCCGACGTCAAGAAGAACCGTTAGTCTTTTATCCGATTCAGTGACATTAGAGCCCTTTAAGTAATAGATCCTCTGATGATAAATCAACTCCAAAACGATCTTTAATCAATTTCAGCTCAGTAAGGTTTAGTATCAGTAAGCTCGGTGAAGACGCTTATTTAGGTCTTGTGATACTTATGATTTCTTTTAAAATGCAATTCAAATTCATTCGCTAAAAGGAAAAATTCGCTTTTGAAAGATTCGCTTTTTTATTCACAAGCAGTGGAAAACGCTGAATTATGATTTCAGCTACCGTGTGAAGTTCCGCTACGACCCATCCAGCCACGACGAACTGGCCCTAGAAGAGGGAGAAATAGTGTTTGTAACAGAGAAGTGTGACGACGGCTGGTTCATCGGATACCCACAGAAGAATAAGCTTCTCTGTGGCGCATTTCCAGGAAATTACGTCGTGAAAATAAGTTGAATTGTTATTGTAATTTTGTATCAAAAAACCTACCCAGAAATTGATTCGAATCTTCGAGAAAGTTCATATCATATTTGCAGTATTAAAACTTTTTAAAAAGTTACAACCAGCGATGTTAAATTTTCTGAAACCCTACATTTTCTTCGCTTGTATTCTTCGCTTGTGCTCTAAGATGGCACGCCGCATAAAACTGTTAGGATATATTGATATCATTTTATATTAGTTCGTTACTGAACAAGAAATGGGAAGGTTTCTTTCTTTGCAGTTTCAGATTAAGAAATCTTCGACCAAGTGCTGAAAAGAAAATGTCATTTTCTTTAACTGGATTCTTACATTCTATCGTTGCAGTTCTATCTTTCATTACATATCGCATATGCTCACTTAATGTTCCAATTGACAAAGCGGAGCCATTTTTCTACATATCAACATTGGATTCCAGAAGTTTCTTCTGGACTTGTATCATTTAAGGGTTGTTTAGAAAGGAATTAATAGAAATAAAAACGTTCAAATTGTGAATAGAAATAATTGTTTCATGAATTGTAAATTATATAGATTTATTCAAGTCATTCACCTAAGTAATTGCGCAACAGAGCGAATAAATTTATTTTTCCCTTTCTGTTTTCTGGTTTTATCTATTTCATTGCTTTCAAGGAAATTCGCAGTACCAGTCAAGAAACAAAGTCCGTTGAAATGCTATCGAAAATTCTTATCCCTTCTGAAGAAAAAAAAACATTTTTTTTTCATAAATTCCGAGTGGAATAATGAAAAAAAAAACACTTATTGTTCTGTCTCTTGATTTTTTTTGGTTTTTTTTAGCCAAAATCAAATACCGGAAATCACCGTTAAGCAGAGTCAAGTGATATGTCACATAGAAGCCCTTCCAGTCGTGTCGACAAAAAAGTTTCTAGGTAGACAGCTTGAGCGAAGTGTGGATAAAATTTGGTCACTGCATGATATATAAAGATTGTTGAGCGAGTAAATGATCTTCAATGTTAAGTGTCAATGAAAGTTGTGAAGGCCCATGTATAGGTTGTTTTTTTTCAGGAAATTTTAAATTGTGTTCAAACTCAACTTTGATTTTTCGCGGTTTGACTTGATTTTTTTTAAAATTCATTTAATTTTCTGTGTTAACAAAACCAAACTCGCCTATCGAACAGCTAAGTTCACGAAATGCTAAGTTCACGAAAAACATGAATGACCAGTTCCATAAATGGACTTTAATTTCTGAATTCCCTTTAATTCCCTTTAATTTCTGAAAAATTAGCTAATGAACCAGTTTTCTCAATTCATTGGGTTATTTATATCAAGAAAATGTCGATGAAATGATCTTGAAAAGAGGTAAGAGGGCATTAATTTTTTCATTGAAGTTCTAAAAAATTGAAGTTAATCACAGTGAATTTTTTGTTGATTTTTTGTTTCCGTTTATTTTGGAAAGTGCTCGAATTGGTTCAGGCTCAAATTTGTTTTTTTTGCATTTTGACTTTCGTTTCTTCTCACCTGCGAGAGCAAGTGACATGCAATTGAGAACTAGGCTTTTTTCCGTAAACAACCTTTCATACACGTTCTGCTGCTCAGTTTCTGCAGCTGCTCGGACATGCTCATTTTCTTGAAAATTCAAGTTGAACATTTTATTAGTTCATTTGAGGCAGTAATTATTTTTTTGATCATATTTTTTGAAATACTATTTAAGGGCTTTTGATTTTCGTCCTAATTTCCGTCTCCGGATTTTCCGGTTTTTTCCAAATGCAAAAAATAAACTCTGGTATTTTTCAAGCAAAATCTTTCTTAAGGTTGGGGTATTAATGTATGATTGAAAGAGTTTATTCCTGGTTAATAAAAGACATGTATAATTTAAATGTATGGTAATTGGTTTCCAAATTTTTTTTGAAATTTTTTCTACATTGGAATTTTTCTCACGTTTAAGAAAGTGTTTTCTTTCAAAAATTAGTTTTTTTTTTAATTTGCTCAAGGGTGGCACTAACGAAAGATTGCTCACGCTCTTGTGTGCCTGCATAAACGCCTTGTCTTTTTATTTGGTGTATTCTGTTTTCTAGAGCGTTCGAAAAGTTTTGTGGGGGAAGTTTTATGCCCAACCTGCTCTGGCTGTTGGTTGCCGCGAAGTTCTTGAGCCTCTAGACCCACGGCTTTTAAATAAACAAACAAAATAAATGTTTTGCCATCAGATACCAGAATTTTTCAGAATCAGTCTGTCTATTAAAGATGAAAGATAATCTAAAGAGCCTTTGTTTCTAAGATAGTTTGAAGGGTTGCTCTTAGCTATCCAATTTGATTTGCGTTTTGTACAGTGTTTAGCTGGTTTGAAAAAAAAACGCTGGTCTGTCTGGTTAGGTTCATACAAGAATGTGTAAATTTAAAATGTCCTATTGACGATGATGAACTAAAACTTTTTACTCGCTATTATCAACTAACCTTTTTGGCCGCGCCTCGCTGGTTTTGGACATAGTTTCATTGTGAAATGATAATTAAATTTGCTGAAAAAATGCTACCTACCATCGAGATTTCTAAAAATTATTGCAGCAAAACGTTTTTATTTATTTTGTACCCAAAAAATAAAAACAACTATTTGTTTAATGTTGTTAGGTTAATACAAAAATTCAGTAAAAAGAAACAAAATTTGCTGTAATGTTTCCCTGTCATGAATCTTTTCTACACAAGTGGAGCGTAGTGTCATATTACGAGATTCCTCTTTTTTTTCCAACGCAAAAACAATGTTCATTTATTTGATGCCTTTTTTTTGTGTCAATAACGTTATCTCTGGTAGCTCAGCCTTGTATCTGGTGTTTGGTGGCTAGTGTTTAAAGATTGTTAAACGCACATGGCGCAGATATTAGGAGGTGTGAAACTTAATCTCCAGTCGTTAGTTCGATTCCGACACATAACAGATTTTTTATTAGTTTTTCTTTTTTAATTATTTTTCACCTTTTGCCCCTATTAGAATTAATTTTTGTGGATTTAGTTTTATATTCCTTTCCTGCTCTTTAGCTCTTCGAAACTTGATAGCTTGATTCATGATAAATTTAAATTTCTTGGCATCTGCGACTCTCTGGCCTAGAGGAAATGAATAGGCCTGGCACGGTAAAGGATCCTAGGAGTACCTTTTTCAAACTGAAACTATTCGGTTTCAGAAAAACTCTCGGTCATCCGTGGGTCCGATTATTGTTGGCCGATCTGTTTTGTCGGCTTAGTTGGCACATCGGAGTTTGTTTGTGCTGTAAGCTATTTTCATTATTGTTGCAGGTCTTTTTATGGATACGCTTTTGTGATTTACGCCTACTTATCTGACCTGGTTTTTCCTTTTGATTTTTTTTAGCTGGAAAGCTTCGCTCGGCCTAAATGGTTTCGGTTCATTTTTCATCGGTTTTTGTGAGTGACCTTTTTTGTGTCGTTTTAAGGTAAGCAGAACTTTATACGCCTCCTCCTCTCTTTCCGCGGAAACACACAAAAGGAAAAAATTAGAAATTCAGGACTTTATTTATGACAGAAATTTTGTTTTTTGGCTCATCAGGTTTTTTTTCTTAAGTTGTCGCCTTAATTGACGCTCGGTAGTTATAAATGAATAATTTGCTGGTCGTGTTTTCCTTATTTTGAGCGTAAAACGAGACAAAGTTATACTTTTTCGACATCTTGCTTTTCAGTCTTCGTTTCCTAGCTCACAATGCTATGTTTGTGTTATATCACAGGTGATGCGAATCTCCGTTTTGCCTCTGTTTTATAGATTTTTGCACGCTGAATAAAAAAAAATCGGAACACATGTTTTCTCCATAACACATCATGAGATTACGGATGTATTCATTTTAGTCTAATTTGCAATCTGGGCACAATTTGATCTAATGGCACAATTTACTATAACTTCAAAGTCATAGAGACCTTTGCAATTATGTCAAAACAATTTGCTTTTATCTCTATTCATTAAAAAAATTCTTTCAGGGTTCGCTGAAAAAAGGTAACTTTTCCCGTTTTTGTACTATGTATTTACAAGAAATTGAGATTTCGCTTTTTTCCAAACTAACTCGCACTAATTTGAATTTGTGCTCAATGTTTGGGCCCAGTTCCATTGGCGGGTGCTTTAGTTTCCTTCTAGTTTCTCTGCTTCACATGAGCACGTAATATTCACTGCTAGATGATGTGTAAATTCTAATAGGCAGCTTAGAAAGTAACTTGAATTATTCATAATCTGGAAGCCCGTAGACTGATTCCCGTTTTGGTGTATTAAGTTTTTAATCAAGCGAGCAGTCGGACATTATGTTGTATTACGAGTTCATGTTTTTCCGATCTAACTCGCATTAAAAAGAGCTCATTTTGGTGCTCTTCTGCTGTACAGCATTAGTTATTCAATATAATGTGTTTATCCGCTTTATTGGAAGCTAGTGTTTGGATAATTTCATAAGCACAAGGGGTAGATTTGAGGTTTTGAGACCATTTTTTGGATTTTGTTGCTTTTTTTTGTAGCTTGTTTGCCTGTGTCAATTTTTTGGCTTTCTATCCATTTTGAAGACATTTTGAATTTATTTTACTCTCTAGGTTTGCGATTTTCTGTGATAATGGTTTTCTGATAGCTTTGCTCAACGATTATTTTCAGACCTACTTCAATCACCAAGTCGTATATTTGAAATGACTCATGCAAGTGGTTTACCTTAAGGCTATAACACATCGAACGATGCGATAACATTACCTGAGTTTGTCAAACACTATCATTTATAGGAGAAGAATTACAATTCTTTGTTTCAGTTAAGCTATGAGCTGACACGCACATCTTCTCGGCCAGAGGTTTCAAAGTATCTGCTACAATAGACCAACTTTATTTATTTATTCAGAAGTGCTGCTATATTTTTATTCTGTGAGGCATCCTAGGATCATTTTCAACTTATCTGAAATTTGGCGATGAATTTTTTTTCGAAATCTAAGTCGACTCCGGCTTCAAATCAGGCTGAGATAGACCTGATGGAGACAATGCAGAAGCTAGAGATAGAAATGATGACTGACATGTACTCCAAATTGTCGGATGTGTGCCGTGAAAAATGTGTCGGCGTGGAGATAAAAGAGGCAGAATTGACAAAGGGAGAGGCTGTTTGTCTTGACAGGTCATCAAATTCAATCAGATTTTTATTAAAATACTTGCACATACAAAAAAATCAACGGATGGTTTTTACTATTTTTACACGAGGAGCTAGTTGGAGTTCTCTTACTTGTACTTATTGTTTCCGGCATGTTCTCCTTTAAATTTTGAACCTTTTTTCCAGAAACAAACCGTTTAATCCCGAGTTTGGTTAGAAAAATCAAACATCAGTAATGTTGTTTTACAATCTTCGCGACATAAAAGTTAAACCTCCTTTTGCCCGTTGCCTGATGCCTTTAGTATGGGGATAATGTTTTAATCAATAACTGAACTAAGTCGGCTTGAATTTTGATTGGACCAACAGATGTGTGTCCAAATACATGGAGCTACACGAGTCCGTAGGAAAACAACTGCAGGAGAAGCAGAGTGTACAGCCGGGCGCAGCTGGGCCCTCTTCTCCCGGATGAATTGCGTTGATCTTTTGCTTTATTTTTTGGATGCAAGTAAGATAATTGGATCCCTGAAACATATTTGAAACATATATATTTATATATGAAACAAGCTTCAGAATTGTATTGTTTTTCCGACCATTGAAAATGGGGAGGAACTTTGTATTCGGCTGTTTTAGTTTTTTTTCCGCGCGAAATCAGGGACCACAAATAATCATCGGAATGAGTTGTGTGATAGATCATATTAAAGCCCTTTCAGTAGTGATTCGAACGACGTTTAAAAATGTCCAAAAACAAAATTTTCCAGTGTCGAGAAAAACTAGTTAGTAATTTTTTAAATTTTCGTTCAAATCCGAGCGGGTAAAGCAAGGGAGCAGGCTTACAACAGTTTATTTTTGCTTAATTCATACTGTAAAAACTTAGTTTATTTTTGGATTTTTTGGTGCTGTTTTGAAAATCGAAAATACAAAATATTTTTTTTTTGATTTTTTTTCAATGATTTTGTGTTGTTTTTCTAGTCAATTTTTCTAGAAAACTGTTGTCAAGTTTGCTTATTATGCTATGACTGTCGAGTATGCCTAGCTTTTCATTCAGATTCTTTTATCTCACATCACAGAGAAAAAAGGAAAAGCGACACTAATTTGAAAATTTTTGGTATTTTTTAAGACTATGGTCAGAACATTGTGCTATTTACACTGTACCGGCTATCCATGTCAAACTTTGAACTTGCATTGTTGAAAAATTAAGATATTATTGTTTCAGCCAAAGTTTGATTGTTTCTTCAATTTTGTTTGAAGCTATTCGTTTGGGGTAAATAACCCTTGCATGCTGAAAAACAAGTAATACTTGAGCTTAGATTCTGGGACTTAAAAAGCTACCACTATTTTTTTTATTATGCGGGGAGTTGTTTAAATGCATTGGGAAATAATTTTTGCTTTTATTAGGAGGAGCTCATGCTCTTTATACCTAAACTGAAAAAAGCGCGTCGACATACAGCGGAAATTTCCCCGTGAAGCTTACAAAAGGAAAATAAAGGAGCACTTAACATCTCAACCTATGTGGGTATGCAATTTTACTATTTGAAAATGAAAAGCTACCAAGTGCCAATTTATTTTGTGATGGACTGAAAAGCCAGCAAGACTACTTTTTATTGCTTTTAAACAGTCTTTTTCTGTTATTTCCTTATTTCCATATCGTTTTTAATTTCCATGTCGCTTTTCAGAGTAAAATGACCAAATTGTATTAACATTTACATCATGACTAGGCTAAGCCATTACTAGCAGCAGAAGTAGTTCGCAACGCCATATTACACGCTCACGAGTTCAGAGAACCAGTTACCATGACTAAAAGTCCGCCAGAACCATTGCGTCACGTGAGCTTAACACGAAAAGTGCTGGTATTCACTACTCGTCTAGTCCTGACTTCGATCAACCAGGTAGTGGTGGTGCCTGGATGGTGGCTGGTAATGATTCTTGTTCAGCTGTTGAGGTTCGTGGACTACAGTTTCTATCAGAAGATGGAGAGTCTGCTGTACAAACACCTGTTGGATCTGGTGGCCTATTGGGGATGGGTTGAGGGATACAGAGGTGAGATAAGTTGAAGCAGCGCACAGTTCAAGTAAGATTTTGAAGTTCGGCTAAATTAGTCAAAACGGGTCTAGAATTCCATATGAACTGAACAGTGGCAATTGAAGTCAACATTCTTATTCATGCAATTCAGTTGACATACAGAAAAGAAAGCAGAAGCTATATTTACTGAGCTTTGAGATTCTGTTGACTAATCATGCCTCAAAGAGCCGTTCTCATTCACTCAATTAGCCTTTTAAATGTGACACAAACTCTAGACACGTTTTCATTATGCCATTTTGTTATCACGTTTGTCTGTGAGCAAAGAAAGATTAAATGAATTGCATTATTTTTTGCTATATTTGGTACAGTTTTTCGCGATAGAAAATCAGTTTTTTTTATGTTTGATGGGCGGATCTAGGATGTTCGCGAAGAGTTTCAAAAAAAAAAAGTTTTCTCGATCTTAATTTAGGTCGACCAAATTGATTTTTCGATGTCACCAAAAATTCCTACAAGACCTCATTTTTAGCCAAAATTTCACAGACAAATGTTTGAAAAAATAATGTTTTTTGGTGATATTTTGAAATTTTTTAACCGAAAATTGTTTTTTTTTTGCGGCGCGCACTCACCCCTCAAAATTATTAAAAGGGCGCAAAAATTAATGAAGCGGTCGAACTCGTGAGAGGTTTTCGATCCCTAATCTGACCTGACCCTGCTATCTACTTTCCTATTAGCATGAAAATTTTTCTGGATGCCTGGCTTGAAAATAGGTATCACGAAAAATGATCCGCTATGTATTTTTGCTTTTTTTCCTGGAGCATTTAAATTTGAATTTTTTCTAAATCTAAACAAATTCAAAAATAAATAATCCCGGAATTTTTTAAATAAGCACATACGTCTAGCCAAAATGTTTTCAATTTGGTCTTATTTGTTGTTTTTGTATTGTTCCTAATTGTGTCACTGAGGCCATAAAAAACCAAGTTCTTCTAGTTTTTTTATGAGCTTTGGTTATGAATTGATTATATTGATGTTTTTTTTCATTTTAGCTTCTTAAACGTATGAGCTGGTATAATTTCTCTATCGTTATTCAGTTTCAGCGAAAATTAATCGTTCTGTTGAGTGTCTCTTAGTAACCTAATTGCTTAATATCTGGTCTCTTAGTAACCTAATTGGTAAACACGTTTATGAATTATGAAATTAGTACCACGTTTATGATTAGTGACCAGTTTCAATGTTAGTTATGATTAGTGACCATAAACACGCCGAACGTGGGGCTCGAACCCACGACCGTGGGATTAAGAGTCCCATGCTCTACCGACTGAGCTAGCCGGGCGTGCAAATTATCTCATCTTAAATTATTTTGATGTCATTTTGAGTTAATGTATGGTAGCGGGTAGGTCTCGAAGTGTTAGTTATGCTGCATAGCTTCCATTGTTGCCTTTTCTGCTCTTTTTACCGGCCACTAGTAGAAAAAACTCATCATTTTTCAGCGGTACGGAAAAAGAAATAATCGAAGAATCAATATTTAGTTGAAGAATTTTGAAGTATCTTTATGATTTGATTTAAAAGGGACCCTGATCACTGCCCTGACCATGTTATGGAAGGCTATATTAACAAAACCGTTTACTTACGCGATTTAACTCATCTCCGAATTGGCTGGACGGGTTGTTCCCTTTTCTGAATTCGCCTCAAAATTTCTGGAATTTTCTCTTTTTGATGATGCTCTTTCTTTACACCGAATTTTAAAAAATGTGATGTTTTTGCAGTTATCGAGAGTGGCGCTGATATTCAACAGCTGTCTTCTAAACGGTGTCTCGTTCTTCCCAACCACCAGAGCACAGCTGACATAGTGACTCTGTTTGCCGTGTTCCACAACAAGAGCGAGGTCACTGTGAATGTGATGTGGGTGTCTGACTTGGAACTCATGTTCTCCCATGTTGGGGCTGTGATGAAACTACATGGAGACATGTTTGTAAGACAGGTATGCAAGGAGTGTTGCTGATATCAAGTAAATTATCAAAAAGACAACGCCTAAGCCCAAATTTCTTCCCACTCCGTGAATGTGCCGGGGGCGGTGCTAGAAGTACAGAATGCTCCGACCAAACTTTTTTTCTATTTAAGGTGACCGTTTTGATAGTTTTCATTCGGAACTATATACGTTGTTAAAAAAATTTTTAGAAGTGATTGGAATTACCTAAAATTTGAGAAGTGATTGGAATTGCATAAACTGCCGGTTGCCAAGCAATTAATTTTTTTTGTGGGTGGCGTGAGGAAAAAAACTAAAAAAGTTAAGAACATCAGTAATGGCTTGAATTGATGAGATGACTTTGCAAAATGAAATGGTAAAATTTATCAGCAATAGATATTTTTTATAGATTTTTTTTGAACTTTTCATGCCGGGGAACTGGAACCGCTAACAGCGTAATTAAGATAGTTTCGATCCTCTCAATTACATTACCCTCGCGTAATTGAACAAGAAAACACTAAACTTTCAAACATGTTTTTCTTGACACGAATGTTTTTAATTATCTTTTATATCGATCAATTCACGACTGAAAGAATTTATTACGATGTATCACTCAGGCCCAACTGACGTATTTTTGTAGCTTTTCACATTGAGTGTAGAAAAAAGAAGAAAAACCAACTTGCGACAAAACGAAGTTCCTTTCCACTTTGTATTGTTTTTTTCTTCTCAAAATGGGTCATAGTTTTGCTTACGCCGTGTTCAGCACAAGGAAAAACTGAGTTCTATTCTATTTTTTCAGAAACTGGGTGCTGCCCAAAGAGAGAAGACATTGAAGGACGTGGAGACTCACATGAGGAATAAGTTCGTGGCCAAGAGGAGACGGTGGTGCGTAGTGTTCCCAGAAGGAGGATTCTTCCGGAAGAGGAAAGCAGCCAGTCAGCAGTGAGTTTTCTATTTTAAAAGGAGAAAAATCTCCAAGAAAACACAATAAAATTGGATATCATTAAATTCTGAGAAAGGGTTCCCCCCTTTTTAACTCTAAACAACTTAACACCCTACAATTTCACTCCCTACTTTTTGTTGCCTTAGCAATATAACATCGCTACATTTTAAAACAATTTCTATGACTTAACACCGTTTTAATCCAAATGAAAAGAAAACTTACTTCAAAGGGGATTTCGGTAACCATCAAAGAATTAAACGAGAGAAATTTTTGCCATTTAAAGCCAGACAAATTTGCGCTACTTAATTCGCGTAAGTTTTGAATAGAAATGACCTTGCAAATGAATTCAATGGAACGTTTCAAACCAAAATGAAATGGCCTTGCTAATATTTTCAATGAATCATTCCAAAATGAACCAAAAACAAGCAAAAGTTCAATGAACTTCAAAAGCCCGCAAATAATTAGACGTCCTTTGACTAATATGACCTAATTTTCTAGACATTTTCAGCCGGTATAGAAATTAAAAAAAGGTTTAACCAATGCCAAAAAACTTAAAATCATTATTTTTAGAATCATTCTCGAACTTAAACTTATGACTTGATCGCTTTGTCAGCTTTTTTCGAACTGTTGGCACATAAACGCAAAGCTAAAGGGTTTGCCAGCCCGTAGTCCAAACCTAGCATCCCGAAAATAAGGGCGATTGTCCTGGGATTAAATTGCTAAGGCACGAGTCATGTTCTTGCGTTTAGTTACGTTTCCGGGAGTCTGCAAGGAAACGTCTTTTCAAAAAAAGCTGACAAAATTTTCAGTAGGATTAAAATATGAATTTTAACAAGACTGCTCGTATCAGGGCGAAGCCCTGAATGTTCCGACTGCCTTTTAAGGTCTATGGAGCATTAATACAATGAAAAATTTCAATGTAATAGAAAAAATAAAATAAAAACTTTTGAAAAAATTTGAGATTTTATGTAAAAACATCCCCCCACACGTCATATTAAGTACAAAGTGATAGATTTTGCGCCTTTTAACAAATCAATTATGGCATAAAAGCATCATTGAACCAATTTGGAACGATTTCTAAGACGGATTAAATCTCCGCTTACGCGTTAATAGCGCGAAATTTATCGCGCGTTAATTGTCCCAATTGGCCAAAATGGCAGTCTTTAAACCCCCGTAACTTTATGAAAAATGATCACAGGTAAAATATCTTTTCAAATTCAAGCTCAAGACAACAATAGCTTTCGAATGATATAAAAAAAATTCCGTCAAAAATGGCTAGTTAAAAAGTGAAATTTGTCTGAAGAAAAAAAAACCCACCCCGAGCACAACTATTCCGTTACTTTCGTATCGAAAGTCGGAACAATAATACGAAAGAATAATCAAAAATGAAATGAAATTTACAATGGTTTAACACAAGTTAGATAACGCTCTGAAAAAGTACAGATCAGTTTTGTCTTCGTAAACGGACATTATGTTTTGTACTTTTCATTTAATACTCGATACTTTTTCTTTTTTGTGAACTTATGGCCACTCGATGCATCAAAAGAGTTTTTGCACGGAAGCGTCTTTTTGCAGGCTACCCACTACTTTCCACATATTTGGGTGGGCTCCGCTGAAATATGATTGAATCCCGAAATGCCATCCCTCGACAGCATTTGTTGTTCGAGCAATCCCCATCACGGCCGCATCTCGCCGGTTCCAAAGGTAGGGTGGGAATGGCGACGGGATATTGTAATCCACTAAGTATCTGCCCCAAACAATGCACGAATCAAGCCCAAATTAATAAATGTTAAACACGATTCTTTCTCAAAAAAGTTTCCTATAAAATCTGGTAAGTTTAGCTTGCGAAAGTTGGCAGTAGTAGACAAAATGATCTTGAGATCTGTAGTAGGCAAAATGATCTTGAGATTCTTAGTAGTTTATTTATTTCATTTTAGTTTTAAAAAATCTTACATTTTTTTTGACAATTTCTCATTACTTTTTACTAAATCGTATTTTGCGATTCGAGCAGAGGAAATACCAGGATCAGTGATATCGATTTTAAAAGTAATAAATTTAAATTAAGAAACTAATGGGAATTGTTGGCATCAATTTAAACTTTTCCGAAACTATTTACATTTTTCTTTGATTTTTTTTGCAAAATTAGACAAAGATTGATAGCAATTATTTCGGGCAAGTCCATTTGCACCCAAATTCTAGTAGATTTGTCGTGAAAACTCTGATTGTTTACTAGTTTCCGCGGAACTCAGAAATGTTGGCGCCGGATCGAATTCTGCTCGGGGAGTTTTAAGTTTTTTAAATTTAAATTGCTCGATTTCAGTTGAAATGCTTCATTTAAAATGAGAGGAGGATTAATTTGACATCAAAGTTAATTGAAATTTAAATGAAAATTTAAGTTCAAATTGTTTTATTTAATTAACAGTTCCACTCAGAGTTTGCCTAGATAAAGTTAATGGGTTAGATTGAATTTCTTGTTTTTATAAAAAGCAAATCATTTCAAAGTTTTTTTTTACATTGATTGACAGGAAATTTCGAAGATATCTGAAAACTCGAAAACTGGAAAGTTAAGGTGGCTCTTTTTTTCCAGAAGTCATGGCTTGAAGGGGCTGTGCGGCAGCATTTGAACAATGGGAGCTTTTAAATGATTTACAATTCATTAATTACAAAATGCAATATTGCGGAGTATTTTTTTAAGCAAGTCGCAAATAAAAATGCCTATTTGGTTGCACTTTTGGTATATTTCCAAGCATAAGCAATTTGATAGCATATGTAGCTGCTTAATTGGCAGCTAGTGATAGTAAATGGTCAGGTGACTGTACCGCAGATGCGGGGACGTGAAGCTCCGTGTCTCCAGGTTCGGATCCCGCACACAGCAAAAGTTTTTTGTGGCTTATTTTGAAGTTTTTTTGCTTTCTTAACCGGGCTGTGTACATCTTATTATGACAAAGCCTGCTGTTAAAATGACCGTTTTATGCGAATACTGTTCCTTGTTTCTTGTAAATTAACAAACGTTTTTTTAATTTTTCTTTTTTATTCGACTTATTAGTTGTCGCCTTTTTTTAGTGGCCTCATATTTTCTCAGAATAAACTTTATTTAAGATATTCGAGACAATCATATGTAATTTTATTTATTGTTTATATACATATATTTTCGAAAATTCCGACTTACCGGTTTTCATCGCATTTTTGTCGGCTGGTTTGCCATGTTAATTTGGCGTTGATTATGGTGGCTCCGATTCGCCTCTCTGTCAAAATTGAGTTCTTTTAAGAGGACATACTCCTAAGTATATTTTGCAGCTCTTTGCCACTATAGTCCACCTTGCCCTGTGTGCGGTATGGTTATTACGCTTGCGATAAGCCAGCGTTATCAAGCCGGAAGATATATATATTTTTTCGGGTTAACAACTAGTTTTACAGAATCTTTTGAATCGTTTTACCTTAGGTTCATATGAAATCAAAAGTCAGGCGTTGATTCGTGCATGTGCCGAAGAGCTAACGCACCTGCCTATGAAGACAAAGGTCAATGGCTGTAATTGTTTATTTGCCTCTGCGTAAATTAGATCCGTACAGAACTTTCTCTCCCAAAGAAATCATAGTATTTTTTATATGCTAGCTAATATGCTATCCCGTTTAAATGCTTTTTTATGTCAAAAATTAATTTTCAGCTGCTTTTACGTCCTTAGAAGAAAAACGGTTATATGTTATGTTTTTTGAACAGATACTCGATCAAGAAGGGATATCCTGTGTTCGAACGACTATCTGGTCCCAGAGTGTTTGGAGTTGAGAAAATATTACAATCCGTCAAAGAAGCAGGTTAGTACCCTTTCAGACTGGACAGGTTAGGACCCTTTCTACCGACTGAGCTTTTTTGCCATTTAAAGGACATCAATAATTCATTGACTAGTGTATTTCAGCAGTAACTTCGGGTAAAAACAAAAGGTCATTCGTCTACGGATTTTTAAAGCTGTTATTCATAATAATTTGTTGAATTTCAAGGCCTGGAAATTTTCAAATACGCGGGTAAATTGAGCGATTGACAAGCATGAAGGCAAGTGTAAAGGCCTAATTCCGTTTCCTGCTAATAAAGGCGCAATGTTTGTATGCATATAAAACAACAATTTTCTGGCTGATCAAAAGAGACGCCCAACGTGGGGCTCGAACCCACGACCCTGGGATTAAGAGTCCCATGCTCTACCGACTGAGCTAGCCGGGCTTGTTACTACACGAGACAGGAAATTAGTTTGCCGCCATTTCAATCAAGGCAGACACTACGGATCGTTTATGGATGCTTTGAGTGAATTTAGAAAAATATAGGACTTGGAACGCACTTTCCCTCGTCATAGTCGTGGTTATTCGAAGTTGTTCCAGAAAAAAACGAGTACCGGAATTTTTATGCTCTCAGATTTGAATTATCCGTTCTTCTGCTTTCAGATCCGAATTATCCGTTTGAGTACCTCCTAGACGTCATAATAGCTTACCAGGACCAATCCAGATGTGTGGGGCTTCCAGACTGGTTAATATCGGGAAAATACCCCGAGAAGGTTCACGTACACTACACAGCAGTGCCGGTATCGACTCTGAAATCTGAAGCGACCGAGGACTTGGAACGCAGTTTGTTCAAGATTTGGGCTGAAAAAGAGCAGAAGATACAAAATTTTTACAAGTTTGGATATTTTGAGAGTGAAGATGAGACACACAAAGTGTGCGTGTTCTCGAATTTTAGATGTGTCTCGCTCAACCTAATGTACATTTTCGTGACTGTGTTTTGTGCTTGGCCCGGTGCTAAATTGCTCTATTCTTTAATTGTTTAATTTGTAGAAGTTCCTTTCATCTCCTGATTAGAGATTGTTTTGGATAGGAATTGTTTTCATCATGGGTATAATTTTAGCTTCATGCTTTCTTGTGAAGACAGATTTATTTAAATAATAATAATTAACCATCAATAGATAATTTAATTACTCATTACAATTGATTTTATTACAATTGATCGAGGTTTGTACCAAAGACAGTGGATATTTCAGTAACGAGGGAGACTTACGAATCCAAGTGACGTCTCTATATGATTTTAGGCGATATTGCTTCTGAGTGAGATAGTGTTTTCGCCAGTAGCATAGTCAGTCCAATCAACCCGAAGCGTCAGGTCATTTTTTGCACGATAAATTGCCCGAAATAAAAGTTTCAAGTTGCGTTGACAAAGGCTAAATAATTCCCGACTGGCTAAACGAATTTTTTTCTTGAAATAATAGGAGTTGCTACTTGACATCAGATTAGTTTAAAACTCGGTGAACAGGCGGAATGCTTGCAGCTAATCGCAAGATCTATCCTTTTCACATTCCAGATAATTAATTGGCTGTGTGAAACCAAATTTATGATGTTTTGACCGTTTTTTTTAAACTTCATGATTTTTCTCGAAAACTACGAGCAAAAATCTGAGATTGTGTGTTCAATAGACAGAACGAGTTGTGAAAAGTTCCACTGCAGAAGCTGCATGCAACGCCATTTTTTACAAAAATTTATGTCCTCGAACATAAATAGGAAAGAAATGGTGCCAAGAGTGACCCTTGTCTGACACTACTGAGAAAACTTAAATTTCTTGAATCAGATAATTCAAGAAATTATAGTTTTGTCAGTAGTAACAGACAAGGGTCAATCTTGGCACCATTTCTTTTTAATCTGACTGTCGACTGGGCAATATCTGGAGCCCTCTAAGGAAAAAATCTTGTAACCGCGCTACACGATATGGTTGTTGCGGATCTTGGATTTCAGATGACGTCGGTCTGCTCGACGATAACCAACCCGGAAGAAGCACAGAAGCTCCTTAATGCAGTGGCTGAAAACGCTGCGTTATCCAGATATTTATTGTCAAACACCAAAAAATAGAAACAGAAAACTTTACCTATTTAAACCGAATATTTTAAAAGTAGAATCTAACTGAATGGCGATATATCAAAAGAGGTCAAAACCCAGATAGGAAAGGCAGCCGGAAATTTTAACAATCTAAAGCATATTTGGAATCAAAGGAAAATTCTCGAAAGCACGAAATACAAAATCTACAAAGGCTGCGTCAGAATTGTTCTGTTTTATGGAGCCGAAACTTGGCCCACCAAAGAATCTTATATCAAACGAATGGATGCGTTCGAAAGTAGGTGCGTGCGAAAAATTCTCCACAATGCATACAGCCTATCAACATTAGACTTATGGCTGAAAGCAAGACTCGATGAAAGTTTATCATTCACCATACAACTCAGAAGTCTGAAATGGCTCGGTCATGTTCTTCGCTTGGACCCCTCGGATATCCCGAATGTACCCCTACAATTTGAAAAAGGCGACGTTGGGCGACGAACCCCAGATGGCAGCAAAAATTCGTGGCGCAAAATAGTCCAGATGAAAATAAAATTCATTTGAAGTCGCCCAAAATTACAATCAAGACATGGGAGAGAGTGGTTCGAACGTTGCAAAAACCTGGTATGAAACAGGAAGCAATGGAGAGATTTGTGTCGGGATATCACTGGCGGGCAACGGACAGCATTGCCTCAAATCGCCCTTCCTGGACCTAAATGTCCTCAACAAAGTCCGTTTTGGGTATTTTTTGTCCTAAACTACCCTACCAAATTTCAGAGTTTGGGTTCAGTCGAATCAGCAGGTTATGATAAGCGCCTCTGCATAAGCGGCTATGCCTTTTTCTTAACATGAAGTTATGGTCCTCGGAAAATTTTTTTTTGACACAAGTCCAAAATTCGAATCCGGCCGGTACTTACCTAACTTGTTTCAAATTTTAATTTTTTGCTGTGATAAAATTAAATTTTCGGACTATCGTTTATATGCTTGTTATCTTATTTCTTGTCTTAGTTTGACAGCATTGATTTTTCTGTAGTTTTTGATGTATCCGCGATTAAGAGCTTAGTTTTCTTCGTCTTTTCAATTTCTTTTATTCACTCTCCTTATATTTCCTTTTATTTAGGAAGTTCCTGTTTTAAATCTGCCTTAAAATATCTGAAGTAATGACAATCAATGGCTTTATCCGGTTCAAAAAATTTTGGATAGAAAATCCGATTTTTCCGCTTTTTGGAAAAATTACTTCGCCTAAGTTGAGTTTGTCAAATGAGCTTGAGAATGGATGAATTGTGGTGGACAAATAGGAACATTTTGGCCTTTCGTATCGGCGTTTTTGAACTGAAAACTTGCAGATATAAAAATTTGACGTCATTACTTTTAATGGCAAATTTAGTTGGTTTCGATGTAACATAAATTCCAAATTGAGATATTTGTTTCCTGTAAACAAGCTCGAGAGAAAGAGAGCCGTTTAAAAGAAATAGATTGAGAAACAGTCGGAAAATAATAAACCATCTAGCTCGCATATTTTAAGAATTTGCGAAGAATAGCATTGCTTCCAGCATCACTCTGTAAAGGATACGGCCTGACCGCCAGCATTGAAATTTATCTAGAAGACATCAAGAACTAGACACTTTAGCCAAAAAGATGCTATTTTGCACTTTTTTCAGATGAAAGTGAATTAAAATGAGTGACAGGATCCCCTCAGATGTGGAGAAACTCAAACGAGTGCTCCGCATTTTAGGAGACTTGCCCGAATGGGAAACACCCTTTGGAGAAGCCCTGGAGAGTGAGACTCCAGAGGGAGGATCGAGTTACCAGGCATCAGCTGCTGGTGGAAACGAGGAGCCTATGGAATTGAATGGTGTGGAATCGAATCGACCGGCAGGAGTTTCGGTCATTGTGAAAGAGGGAATGGAACATGTAGCAGAACATAAGTTTCTGTACAAGAGACTAGACGAAAAAGCAAAGTTTAGACCCGTAGAGTTTGAAAATCTCGAGGACTTGATGGGGATTTTCAAACAGGTCATGATGAAACAGGATGGAGATACGGTTGAGATATCGGAAGGTGGAAATGACAATGCGACATTTTACACCGCATTTTGTGTCTTGGTTTTGCTGAAGATCGAGCAGACACATGCTGAAATGAAGAACTCGAGAGAACCCAAATTGGAGGACAACAAGATAAGCAAAGTTAGTTTTTAATGCTAAATGTTAATCAAAACTACCAGAATTCTTTGACTTTTAATGTATTTTGAAGTACGCTAAGCAAATTAACGTCGATTTCTGACTTAACATCGATTTCTGTGAATGATTGCTGACTTGACTGATTAAAGGCTGAATATTTTATGCTTGCGAAAACAATTGCGAAAAATGTTTTGACTTGGATGACAATTTTTGGATGCATGAATTATCTGAAAATATTGATCGCTAATTGATATAAATTTCCGAGAGTTTTGAAATATAATTTTTGTTCCGACTTCCACAACCCTCTTCCAACTAGGGAACCAACTATCATACTTGTACCCAATATTATACATTTGTAGAGCGTTAAAAAGGTCCCACGATTATAGCAAACGTTGTCAAATCGGAATAAAGGCTTTTTAAGATCAAAAACTAGTTTAACAAAATCACTTGAAGCCTTAGTTAGTTTGATTGATAATAGTTTTGAATTTCTCAGTTACTGGGGCACACTCGGTCTGGAAGTAACGGGTAAGCGCTTTGATCCATTTCTGTAGATTGTTAATTTATATTCAGGCCGAATATATAATACTATTTAGGCCGAAGAAACTTTAGGGCGAAAAAAAAGATATTATACGAAGTCAGAGTTAGAAATTATCTTTTTTTTCGCCCTTAAGTTTCTTCGGCCTAAATAGTATTGGTTGATTTTTATCGGCTTAGCGGTTTTATTTTTCATCTTCTAGGGGAAGTTTTTTCTGTTTAAGAGTAATGAACGTAGTGAAGACTCTTATATTGGTCTTGTTGAATTTTTTTGTTGTTTTTTTTTAGGAAAAAGTCTTAAAATGCTCGAATAACTACAGTTGTGTATTCATACATATTGATGCATTTATTATGAATGCACTTAGGTATATATGCACTTTTTGAGTTCAATTCACTGCAATTTCTAGTCTCGAAAGTGGAAATAGAACATTTTATGATTGACTCTTTTTTGATAACATTAACCCAACTTGAGAAAACTTTACCTATTGATCCAGTTTTCTCAAGTTGGGTTAATTTTATCAAAAAAGTGTCAATCATAAAATGTTCAAGAAATTTTAAGAGCTTAAAGGGCATCTAGTTTTCTTTAAATTCGAAAGTTGCGATTTTTTCAACAAAATGTTTTTTTTTCTGTTCACTTGCGTTCATTACTCTTTTCAAACTGTCAGTTAGCTATGTTTGATGTGTTTGCGGACGGAGAAGTGGGTAATTTTTTTTCAGATGTCATTTTGGCATTTTTTGACTTGGTGGATTCCATTTCGTTTTCTTTCTACTAGCTTGCTATGTTTGTTGGGGTATCGCAAGTTTTGCGAAGCTTAGCTTCACCTCTGTATTGATATTTCGCAACAAATTTTTCGGACACTATGTTCCCAATCCAATATACTGGGTAAAAGTATGTCAGTTGGGTCGCCAAAAATGTGAAATGTAGGTGATTACCCGAAGAAAAATTTGTGGACCTTAAAATGTTTTAAACTGGATGTGCATATAAATAATTGTTTGCTGTTTTTTACTGGTGTTTGCAAAGTGGAGCTTTGCCTCTGTGTTAAATAATATTGCAGTTTATTATCAAATCGTTTTTCTCCTGCTTTTGTAAAAGAACAGAAAATTCTGACTGAACGATTTTTTTTTCGAAAACATGCAGGAAGTTTGTTTTCAATTTATAAAGATAGCTGTGGTCGGAATGTTCGGTGAAAATAGCGCAGCATGTTTTCTTTTTAGACGTGCTTAGAATACCTTCTATTGGCATTCAACAAAAAGCTGTCAAAATTGGGAGAAAAAGTTGCATCATCTAAACTGGACCTCATGCGGTCAGATTTGATGCTTCTGCTATTCGAAATGACCACTGGAGAATCGAATCTGGAATCTGTTCCTGTAGTTCCAGACGCCTGGGAAGACTTGTTCCATGCTTCTCAAACAGACAACGAGGACTGCAATCTTATTAAATCACTGGAGCAAACTGGATCTATCGAAGTTTTGACTGATGAAACAAGACGAACATTAAAGCATCGCCTGAACGACATTCTGAAACAAAAGCCATATAGTCCAAACGTTGGAGTGAAAGTGGATGAGCATAAAGTTCCGATCAAATTGAAGGAGTTTTTCGAGTCGGTTCTTAGAAGTCAATGCGTACCGACTGAATTGGTTGAGCGATGCAAAGAATTAGATCACTTGAAAAAGATTGAATCCAAATCTGGGAAAAATGCTCAAAATGTGAATTCAGTCACAGAAAATTTACCGAGATCAAAAATATCATTCCGAGAGAAAATCCAGAAAGAATACATAAAAACTAAATCAGAACAAAATATCGAACTGGCCCTGGAAAACGATAAAACTGCTTTATACTACAAGCGAAATTTTGAGTTCTTTGCGGGAAATAAGTTTCTCGAAGTGTTGATTTCAGTTTGCGAAAAGCGAACTTCGCTTGTGAAGCTGAAACTAAACTATGCGAATTTGAAACCTTCAGAGTCGAAAGGAATCTTGGACAGTCTTTCTTTCGACAATTGCAAAAATATCCATAATTCAGACGTGTTCTACCAAATTGTAGACGAATTGAAGTTTGTCAATGCGGCGCTGGTAACAGCTTCAAAATATGAATTTTTGACCTTCAAACAAGGCGAAAGCTTACTGAAGCTCTCGACTGAATACATGGCAGCATGTTTGGTCGTGGTTCTCTCACTTGCGATATCGAGTACAGCGGCACCTAAACGAGAAAGTTTCAGAGGGGACGAGGAAAACTTGGCGATTGTGAGAGAGATCGTTCCATATATGGATAAGCTCATAAAGCTGTGTGGAGAAATTTTCAGCGATATTTTAGGCCATCTTGGTAAGAAATTCGAAGCGATTACAGCGTGGTTGATGATCAGTTTTCTTCATGGACTGTCGAAGAGTCAGTACTCTGTGTCGATGGACAGACAGAACTCGGGCAAGAATGTGGCCTCGACCTCCAAGAGAAGTTTCTCAAGGAGCTATAGTTTCAGGTGATCTGTAATTTTAGTCTTTTACACTGAGTTGAAAAAATTCCATTTAATGTTCACTTGGAGACATTGGTGAAGTTTTCGTTTGTGTGACATTAACTTGACATCAATGAACAAGAAAAATCATAGCGAATTTATCAATGTTTTAAATAGATACGTTATTATCTATTTTAGTTAAAACTTTTCCTTTATTTTGAAATTGAGATACATAGTAATCAGTAAATTAATAGATGAGAATATAGAACTATTCGGGAAAAAGATTAAAAAGTTGGACATTCACACTTTGCTTAAGTTGATTTCTTGTTTCAGAGCTGGAACCAGTTCCGGAGTCCTGACCAACGCCATTCTAGCTGTAGTTAAACATGCGTTCACAATAATACCTAATGTGGTGAAATCATCGCACGCCTATATGGACGGAGACAGAGTAGTTCCACATGATGATGCCCCAGGATCATGCACGCTCTACATAAGTGCACTCTTTTCTCAGATCAACCTGACATCGATAATGTTTTGGCTGCTGAAAGTTCTGTTCAAACGGGCAGTTGCCTTGACACCAGCACCAACGCTGGTGACAGGTCAGTTAAATTAGCGTTATAATTACTTAATTGTAATGGTGTAATGGTTCAAGTCATCTTTTTCTTAACCGCAATCGCACGTTTCTATGTTGATTATCTATGTTAAGTTTCATATAGCTCAGTTTGGATACGGATTAAAGTGGTTCAGACCTGCGACTCTTAATCATGGAGCTCCGGGTTTGAATCATGTTGTTTCCATAACCTTTTTGTTTTTCAAGTCTCACGAGTTTTCAACCGTTTTTTGTTCTCGAGTTTCTGCCAAATGCAGCTTTCCTCATGGTTCACTTATACAGAAATTTCACTGTAGCATTGAAAATTGCATAGCATCTGTTCTCTGCTTTATTTTGGCTAGTGTTTGTCATTAAATAAGCGTCAGTGCCTGAGTGGTTAGTGCATCAGAGTTATGATCCTAGGTCGCAGGGTCGAATCCTAGACATAGCTGAATTTTTACTAATTCGAGGCTAATTTATACTTTTTCTTATTGCACTTTATAGAACTGTCTTTTGTGGTGGTCTCGATATTGACTGCGAAGCGCAGCTTCGCCTCCGTATTAAAAATTTGCTGACCTTGGGCAAATCGTCTGATCAATTTAACGGAAAAATCTGGTATCCAATTGAACTGAGGAGTTTGATTTCTTATTTAACTTCGATCAAAAAACTGAAAAATGGCAGACCTAGAACAAATCGTCTAATCAATTTCACGGAAATACCGAGTTATAATTGATAGGTAATTGATATCAATTTTTTTGCTGTATTGATTCAATTTGTGATATCTATATTTTAGCCTCAGACTCCGTATTAAAAAACGAATCGAGCAATCCAGTTTTCGTTTCTGTAAACAACAACACCGGCAACAGTTCAGAAACGACATCAGAAGCAACACTTATTGCGACGTCGTCGAATGACCAACGCGCCGACCGAGCTCTAGCTGAGTTCAGCAGGTTGGCAGCTCTGGCTCAGATGAATGAGTTTGGATTTGGTGCCGCGGGAAGTAGTGCGGCGGAGACACCCGGGGCTACTACTATGACGATGGAGGCGGACTGGACGCAATCGGATTCTTTGGTGCAGGCGGCGCCAAGTGCAGAGGTAGCGACAGGCGCGGTGGAAGAACCACCCGATAATAATACTTACAGGTTCGATTTAAATTGTGTAGCGTACACTACCTCGTCTAGATCAAATCTTTTTTAAGTTCACTGAATATATTGAAGACTCCTATAACAGGTCTTCTTGATTTTTTTCAGCAAAGAAGTCTTAATTGATCTAATAACTACAGATGTGCATTTATATGCATTTATGAATGTACTTAGCTATGTATGCACTTTTGAGTTCAATTTTCGTTCATTTGCTCAAAGTTAGGTAAATTGCGCTCTCCAAATTCGAACGTAGAAATGGCGCAAAAAATAACGTGATCCATTTCTAGTTTCAGAAAAGGAATTTAATTTTCAGTTTTCCCAGCGCAATATTCGACACAGTTAATTTAATCAAAAAAGTCAATCTTAATTGTTCTAGAATTTTAACGAGCGTAAAGGGCATCTATTTTCTTCTTAAAACATCGAAGGATTTTTTATTTGGTTTCCTTGCGTTTATTGACTTTTCCGTTGCTATTTTCATTTAGGCTAATAAATTCGGTCTCTTATATAATTTCATCCATATTTGTTGCAAAACAAATTTTCGAAAGATCTTCAATCATTAAAATGCAGTTCTACGAATTACTAGCAGATAGTTCGTTTTCTATCTCCAATTTACCTCAAAATTTTTAACCATTGCTCTTGTTTACACTCTCGAGCGTAGTGTATTAGTATGACTCTACTTTTCTCAAGCCTAATTCGCAAATGAAAGTGCTCATTTGGTGGCTCTTTTGCTATAATAATGATCTGTAGACTTTGAAATTTTGTAGCATCTATTCTTTGCTCTTTTTTTGGCTAGTGTTTGCCGATCTTTAAGCGTTAGTAGTACAGATGGGAAGTGACTCTTAATCTAGTGGTGGGAGGTTGAACGCCGCACTTAGCTCTAGTTTCATTTGTCCAGCCTAACTCGCAAATGAAAGTGCTCTTTTGGTTGCTCTTTTGCTATAATCACGATCTCACGATCTGTAGACTTTGAAATTTTGTAGCATCTGTTTTTTGCTTTTTTGTTGACTAGTGTTTGCCGATCTTTAAGCGTTAGTGGTACAGATGGAAAGTGACTCCTAATCTACTTGTGGGAGGTTGAACGCCGCACTTAGCACTAGTTTATTTGTATTCAGTGGCTTTTTTGTTGCATAGCATCGGCAGATTATTAGCATCTATAGCTGTGTCATTGGTGGCTAGTGTTAGCAATTTTTCAAAGGTCCGTGGCGCAGATGTGAAAAAGGGTGCAGGTTTGAATTCGACACAGTAAACGTTTGACTAATTTGAGGCTAGTTTCTACTTGTTCTTATTTCAATTTATAGAGAAACTTTTTGTCGTTTTCTCGCTAGTGTTTGCGAAGCGCAGCTTCGCTTCTGTGCATAAAGCTTAGAAAAAGGTTTTTTGAGGTTTTTTCTACTTATTTCTTGAGGTATTTGTTTCCACTTGCGAGAACAAGTGTATTTGTAATCGGGAACTAGACTTGTTCTCGTAAACAAATTTTATTACAAATTTGTAAGAAGTTGTCCTTGCTTTATTATGGAACCTCAACCACTTTCAGGCCCCTTCTCATTCTGTATAGAGTTAAAACACGCGACTTTGAACCATGAGGTTCAGAATTGAAGTACCGGCCGAACTTTCATATAAGTTTTTCTTCGAAATGCATGGAAATTGAAGCTATTTGGAAACACTTGAATCGTTGGACTATCGTTTGTCTTCATATTTTTGTCGGCTTCCTTTTCAAAGCATGTAATTTTAAACTATAGTTGAAATCAATTGTAATTTCTAACCTTACCAACTCAGTGATTTGGAGCATTATTTTTTTTTGTTCTTGCTTTAGTTGTTCGGCTTATGCGCGTGATTTATCGTTGTTTTATGGGAACAAAAGATGTTACTCTGTTTGTGTTTCAGAAAAATGAAAAAATGGGGCAAGTTACAAAAATTTTATTGTCCAAATTTTTGTGACAAAATTTTGTCTTGGCTTTAGCGGCTTCTTTTCAAGTAGCTGCCGATTGGTAAAGAGTTTTTAATGCTTATTTAACGTTGATTTTGTTTCTTAACACGTTTTCCTCAACCATTGGAGATAAATGTGTGAAACTTTTGTAGGTGAAGTTTCTTTCGAATTTGAAAAAAAATTACTGTGGCTTCCGTCTCATTTTTTGACTGCTAACTCACAATGTTTTGTTTGTGTTGCATCGCAAAAAAATTTAGGTGCCTTAATGGCTTTCCATTAGATGCTTAATAATTGAACCAACTCCACTGACTGACATAGTTTTCAGTTAGAATTTTTTGTTAGAATTATCAGTTATAACTAGCTAAATATTGTCAATAGAATGTTCATGTATGACCGTATCATGGAAAGTAATTGCAAAGCAATCGTAGATGTCACTTTCCGTAATTGATTATGTTTTTATAACTCTTCGATCATGGATGGTTTTCCAGGGATAGAAAAAACAATCTCTTTGTTCAGCCGTTCAAAAAGCAACCTGTAGTAAATGATTACACATGCACACAGCTGTATCTTTTGTATGAACGATTCTTAATAAACAAGTAAAAAGGCATTGCTAGAGAAATCATTATATCGATAGAGAGATAATGATGAACTGTCCAAAACTATCCAGTGTTTATCGAAAATGCACTACTAGTTCGAAGATAGTGAGTTCGATGTCTGCAAAATTTTTGGTTACTGATTCTTGCATTATGTTCCGACTTTCGAAGCAAAAGCGGAATATTTATGCTTGCGGTGGTTTTTTATTCAGTCAACTTTCGACTTTTTAACTAAGCGTTCTGACGGAAATTTTTATACTGCCTAAAATATACTGTTGTGTGGAGCGCAAATGTAAAAAAAATGCTATTGCACTTGCGAAGCGAGTGTATTAGTACCAACCTTCTTTTTTTCAACTTAAGTCGCAAATATTGGTGCCACTTTTGGGGCACCTTTACAGCTATTTCATAGCATGTGCTTTGATATTCGAATAGTAATAAGTTAACACAGTTGCTGCATTTTTTAAATCATCAAATGAACCCAGAAAAAAAGATTTGTTTCAAACAACATAACAATAATGAAAACTCGATTTCAGAAATTTTCAAACTCATATTATCTCACAATTTTTTAAATTCCAGATTTATACACAATGTCGCTTTATGCTTTGCGATTTGATACATGCAAAGTTAGTGTAGATGCCTTCAGTTTGTTATATTTCAAATTATTGCTTGTAACATTGAGTCTATTTGTATTTGGTGCCACCCACTTTTGCTGAATCGCTTGGCAATTTATTAGCTTATGTTGCTGCTTCATTTGTGACTAGTGTTTGTCGGTTGTTAAGCTTGCGTAGCTGAGACTCAAAATTGTGCTGAGACTCAAGATCGCTTGATTGCAGTATGTCGCAGATTCGAATCGTACGCGTAGCCGAGTTTTTGCTAATTCGAGGCTAATTCGCTAATTTTGCTAATTCGAGGCTTATTTCTACTTTTTTCTTATTTCACTTGATAAAGCTACTTTTTGGTCGTGTTCTCGCAAGTGTTTGCCAAGAGCAGCTTCGCCTCTATGTTAATTTTTGTTAAGTTATGGGGGTTTGAAAATTGCTAAATTGGGATAATCAATGCGCAATATATAACATTAATGCGCGATATGTTGCGTTCTTTTGCGTTTTTTTTCGCGTAAGCGACGAGTTGATGCTGCGTTCCAAATTGAATTAAATTAATTCGTTCAGTCTTATTATTTTGTTACGAGACGCTAAATGCATCCCTTTTAGTTTGCAATAGTGTGTGGAGGGTAAGTTTTAAAAAAAATGATTTTTAAATTTTTTTTCCAATTATTTCGTCAATTTTCCAACCAAAAGGCTTATTAGTTGGTAGTGTGGTAGGTGCCTCAAAGTGTGGTAGGAACTTACAGAGTTTTGTCCTGAGCTTTCTTGTTTGGTGCTTGATTTTTTAAAAGAAGCTCAATCAAATCTCGGCCAAAATTGCACTTTTTAAATTGTGACCATCAAATGGAAACTTGCTGAAAAAGATTAAAAACTCACTCAAATTTCTGCATCAGAACTTGCGCAAACAGAACTTTTGTTATATTTCATGCTCATATAATCCAGAGCTAAATTACAATCGATGCTGAGGATCTTAGTTCAGATTATTATAACTATTTATGCCATAAATATATTGATGTTTCCCCTCATTCGCTAAAGGAATATTGTTATAGTTCGCTGGTTTGAATATGCGAATTGGACTGACTTAAGATAATTAATGCGCGCTTATTACAAGTTGAGCAGGCTATTAGGTCTTATTCTTGTTCCGATTTACAAAACTTTGGGCCCTCAGAGTGTCGATCCCGTGATCGGCATGGGCCCCGCCGGGTTTTGTCACCACTTAGGTAACCTGACACGAGGCTGAGTAAACTGCTCGTTTTTTAACTTTACTCGTGGCGAATTATCCCGCATTACAAAATTGTTCCAAATTAAATTGAGGCAACTAATAGGTTATATTAATTGCATACAAGACTCAATTGTTACGGTGGGTATTCACAAATACCAAAATGATAAATCAGTCCCATTTGTACCAAAACAAAAAATCAATCGCGTTAGTACCAAAAAATTTCAATTGGCCTAAGACTATTAGGCCGACTACTTTAAGCTCTTGGTTTAAGGTCGCCGGTGGGTGCGCGTCGCCGCTTCGCGGGGGATAACTGGCTCTAATTTTTGTATAGAGTCCTACCCTCTGTTGGCAAGCTCGCAACACGGTGGCGCGACTGCGGCGGTCATTATTCTGCTGTTTAGTTTTCTGTTGGACAGTAGAAAATTAATTTAATAATTTGTTGGCTCACAATTCGACCAATCAGAAATCGAGTTGAATAATTTTGGTACAAATGGGACCGATTTTTCATTTTGGTACAAATGAACGTTGGTACAAATGGGACTTCACCAATTGTTACACCAAAATCATATCAGCCATAAATTCATAGTTTTGTCAATATTTAATATACCAAAACTGCTCGAGACCAATTAAAGGGCGGTCGGTCGGAACATTCAGGGCTGTTGCCCTGATACGAGCAGTCTTGCTGACTCACTAGACGAGAAAATTGTTTTCTTAGCACATCTTGGATTAACTGTACAATCCCCTCTATTTGTTTTTACCTGATAATGCCCTCCCCAAGCGTGTATCAATTCTGTATCCAATATGCATTTCAAACAAACGAGAAAAATATAATCATTTTGAAATGGTTCATACATTTTTTGTTTTATTTTAATAGGTTACAAAATCAGTTGAATCGACGTTTTATTTATGTTTCGATCATTTATTCTTCTTAGTACTGTAGTATAATTTCTCAAAGTTATATTATGAAAATTCATATCTTCTCCGCGAAATGCAACTTTGGCTGTTTTTAGATGGTGACCTAATTATCAAGGGATATTGATCAGTATTGAAAAAAAAATTGATTCCATTGCTTCAGCCCTTAATTTGGAGTATTTCAGCGAATAAATGCATGCACGGATATACACCAGCGTTTTTTGTGAAGAGATGAGGCATACTTCACGCTCTTTCACGTCCGTTTTGTGAAGCTATGTTTTGATGAGTCAACATAACTAAAGACCATTTAGTATTTAGAAACCTGCCTGGCGACTCTGAGACAGAGGACAACAGTTCCACCACAGGGGGAGGAAACAGTCTGTTCGGAGAGGACATGATGGTCATAGATGAGACGGAAGGAGAGGATGATGAAGAAGACGAAGATGAAGACGACGAAGATGATGATGATGATGAGGAAGATGAAGAGTATTATGATGAGCAACAGGCTCAGGCAGAGCTGGAAGCGGCTCATGGTCACGAGGTAATTTTCTATTCCTGTTTTTAAAGACTGAGAATGACAAATATAATTAAAAAAATATATGTTTTTTAACTTTGATTTTTGCTTTATTGTTTAAGAGTCGATGAGCATTTTTTTCTGGAAAAGTCTTTAAATTATTCATGCTCCAATATAGTTTTTCGTGGTTTGACTTATGAATTATTTTCAAGTTTAGTTCGTTTCCTTAGAACAGCAAAAGTGTACAGGTCACAAAAAACGTGATCGACTTCTAGTTTCGAAAGTGGAATTTGATTTTCAGATTTCAAAGCGGAATAAAAAAAAATCTATTAATCCGATTGGTTTTCTCAGATTGGTTTAATTTAGTCACAAGTGGGAAATCATAATTTGTTCTAGAATTTCAAGGAGCTTTAAGGGCATCTATCTATTTTTGCTTAAAAATTCGAAAGTTGAGAATTTTCCAAAAATTAAGGCATTGTTTTTTTCTGTTTACTTACGCTCATTGACTCTTTTCCAACTTTCTGTGCTTTTATTATTTGGTTACGTGTTAGTGCTCGCGACTTGCTTGCATTAGGCGTAGAAAAAAAATGGAGCAATCCCTAGCAGAGTAAAAAGATACCAAATCTTCAATAACAGCATAAAATTTAACATAATTTTTTTGTTTGCAGACATTTGAATGGACCGAAGAAGATGAAGACGAAGACGACGATCAGGACGATTTCGATGACGATGATGACATCACAGAGAGTCAGACAGTGGTGGTAGATGACCTCTCTGAACTGTCCATGGTGGTGGACATGCAACCGGGTGACCTGGCAGTAGTTCTGCCTCCAGATGTGTCTGTAGTGGCGGAGAGCACTGCGAATAATATACGAGCAGGTGGAGCCAATGGAAACAGCAGTACATCTGCTAACCAAGGTGAGAAACTTTTTAAGAGTAATGAACGTAGTGATTACTCTTATATAGGTCTTGCTGATTTTTTTCAGGAAAAAGTCAAAATTTGTTCACGCTCAATTTTGATTTTTCGCGGTTTGACTTGTGATTTTTTTTAAGTTCAGTGCATTTATATTGTTAAAAGGAAGGCAAACTCCACTATCGAACAGCAAAATTGTAAAGGTCACGGAAAACGTAATCGGCTTCTAATTTCGAAAATGGAAATTAATTGTCAGATTTTCCAGCGAAATGAAAGTTTTACCCATTGATCCAGTTTTCTCAAATTGTGTTAATTTTATCATTGAAGTGTTCATCATAAATTTTTCTACAAATTCAAAGAGCTTTAAGGCCATCTGTTTTTTTCTTCGACTTTCAAAAGTTGAAGATTTTTGAAAAAAACGTCGGTTTTTTTTGAGTTTTCTTGCGTTCATTACTCTTTTCCAACTTTCAGTTAGCTATGTTATTATTTATAACCAATGAGCAGTATTAACTCAATTATCGATATTGAACTCACGAAGTCGTTCAAATCAATATTTTGTTTTTACGGTTTGTCGTAATTCATCGAAAATAAGGTTGCTGTTCAAGCTACTTGCGCGCAGTTTGCCTCAAGATATTTGCGCAGCATAAAGTATTCCATCTTATGTCGCGAGATAGTTCTGGAAACTATTCTCTGAACCTTAAGGTAAACAACTAAATTAATTACAATTTGAAGAATTGCTCGTTAATTTATCAGGTGAAGTCACTTGAGTGCGTCATAGTTGTAAGCTTAATTGGAATTTACCCTTTTTTAATTTTAAAGCAGCTGCAAATATTCCTTGATATATTCGTTGATATTTAGCGCTGCTTATAGGAAGATTATCATCTGGAATGGGTTTTTATGTAAAAGAACGTGTAAAAAACGATTTTCACTTATGAAGGTTGGGATGATTGTTTTGTTCAGATGTCCCTGCATCAGCGGCTACGCCCAATTTTTTTTAACACATAAATTAATGGCCCTCCTAATAGTCAAATATTTGATTTTTTTTTTACCGTTTCTTAAACTTGTTGACTATTCTCGAAAACTACCCTGCCATATCTGAGATTTTTGGTTAAGTTCTAATAACGGGTTGAGGCAAGCTAAATTGTTTCTGCGACTGCGCCAAAATTTTTCTGACACCGAAAGTTATGGCCGTCGGAAAAATCAAAATTTTGATTTTTTTTACCGTTTTTTGCAAGTTTTTGACTTCTCTCCAGAACTACCCTTCCAAATCTGACATTTTGGGTTGAAATTACAAACTGCGTGAATCCTTTCTGCATAAGCGGCTACTTCCTCTTTTTCACGCAGAAAGCTATGATTCTCGGGCAAAGTCAAATTTTTCTTTTGTTGACCGTTTTTTGCATTTTTCTTGCTAACTATTCTTTCAACTCTGAAATCATATGTTTAATCGAAACAACGGGTTGTTGAATGTCTACCCTTAAATTTCTTTGGCTATGTCCAGTTTGTTTAAGAAAAAAAATATGGTCTTAAAACAAGTCAAGTGAAACCACGACTCCTAATGTTGTTGTAAGAGAAATGTTATCTCCTTGGGAAAACTGGACATTGATTGCATGTCGCTTATATTGATACCATAGAGCATTGTAATGCAAATCCAGCAATACAAAATTGACTGATCTGTTCGGAATTTGAAATTGAAAAGTTGAAGCAATATTAGTGATAAAATTCAGAAAAACAATTCGAAAAAGTCGAGTAGAAGAGTGTTAAACTTCCCAAAAGTTCATATTCATTTATTCACCTTAACTGTTTAACTACTTGATGCTGCATTATGTTGTAGTGTATCTGCAAGATTTGTATTTGTCGAAGCATCTTTGCTGCGTTGATCACGCTAGTTTTTCTTGATCGAAAATAATCTTTGAACGAACGACAAAGCAAGTTTTTCAGGAATAGTAAGTTAAGGCGTTTGTCAGATATAATAATTTTACCCGTCGTCTGAATCCCCAAGACGCGCAGGCGCGCGACCATAACAATTTTCTTTATTCCTTGCAGACAAGTTTAGACCATATGCTTTTTCCTTTTTCTCCAGAAATGGCTTGTTATATTACGAGTTAACTTTTCGAACCGAAGTAGCTTAATTTTGTTTCATTCGATTACAGTATATGCATAATCCAGCGCTAAACTGCAATTGGAATTGATTTCAATTTTTGCTATGGCAGTTTTTTTACCATCTGAAATATATTGATTAAATTGAAATTAAAAATATATTTCACATGTGATCATTTTTTGCGAAGTAAGGTGGAGTGGGATTTCAAAAATTTAAATTATTAGTAGACGTTTTCATCAGCTTTGTTTCGGCGCGTGTGCAGGCTGCTAATTAGTCCTCTGGCTCGGAAAAAAATCGAAATTTAGCGGAGGCCAGCTATTTTGTTTCTGAATGTAGCTATAGTATATTATGCCTATTTTACTAATTTTCTAAGTTTTTTTTCTAGTTTCTTTCATTGAACCACGCACAAAACCCACAAATTTGATGTAAAAAACGATTGTTTGTTTTAATATAGTCGGAACGGTTTGTGCTACTTGCACCGCAATCGGCTCTCCTTGTTACGATCATTTGAAAATGGCGAGGAACTTTGTATTCGGGTGTGTTTCAGTTATAGCAATATAATTCAAATTTTTCATGACAACAAATTTGCATCGCCTCTTTTGTTTGTTTATCTTTCAGCTTGATAGGTTTCGGCCAATATTATATCGGCTTATCGGCTCCATATTTCGTCCTTCGATGAGCGAAAAAATGTGTGTGTGTGTTGTGTGTGTGTGTGTGTGTTGTGTGTGTGTTGTGTTGTGTGTGTGTTTTGTGTGTGTGTGTTGCGCGTGTGTGTTGTGTGTGTGTGTGATGTGTGTGTGTGTGTGTGTATTGTGTGTGTGTGTTGTGTGTGTGTGTGTGTGTTGTGTGTGTGTGTGTTGTGTGTGTGTGTTGTGTGTGTGTTGTGTGTGTGTGTTGTGTATGTGTGTGTAGTGTGTGTGTGTGTGTGTGTGTGTGTGTCTGTGTTTTGAGGGCGAGGGGGCTTAATAATTTCTTATTAGTCCTTACTTTTCACTTTTTTCATTTTCGTTTTTTTGGGCTTCTCAGGTTTCGTTCTATTTTTTATCGGCCTAATTGTCTCATATTGTTTCATTTGACGTGCAAGTAATGTTTTTGAATGTTTTGAGGGCGATGGGGACTTTTCATAAGTCTTAAATCTTGTTGATTTTTTTCGGCTTAAAATATTTCTGTCAAGGTATTTATTACCGCTTGGAAAATTATCTTCGGAAGCTAATTTCATATTCTATTGTCTCGGCAGGTTTATGCTTCAAAACTAGCCTTATTCATTATGATAGATCTAGTTCTTTCGACATTTTCGATTTGTGTGTTGTATCGCAAGTGGTGCGAAGCTCCGCTTCACCTCCGTGTCGAATTTTTTTTCTCCGTCAATTGCCATGCATGTTAAATTGCTCAATAAAATATGCCACTTATCGCACGTGGTGATTAGATTTCAACCACAAGTCCTTTTTGGTCACCCAATTGCTGCTTTCATCTTCGTTTTTTTTAAAGATTCGTTTGATCTTGATTAAGGTTATCAAATTTATTGAGTTCGTTGTTCGCAAAGACCTGATTAATATTTTGTAGAAATTCTTGAAGAAATTGTTTTCCAAATAAACTACTTGCTTTCTTTATCGAATATTCTGAGCTAGTATTATGAAAGTTTTTTTCTGAATTTCCTATATTTTGGTTGGTAACGAGGGCAGACTAATAGATCAGTTATGTAAAAAACATGAAAGAAGCAGACCAGAGGGTAATGCACTGAAATAATGGTTATATTGATAATCTGTCGGAAATAAATGTTTTTGCGTTAATCAGTCAAGTTAGCGTCGAGATGAAAATGCACAAACTTCTGTGAGACGAAACCGAGGCAGATTTGCGTGAGGCGACAATTCGTAACAGCGGGGAACACTGATTCACGCGCAAAATTCCTCTCGTGCCAGATGTAAGCGCAGCGGAGCAAGCGTATTCTACTTGCCAATGCCTTGTTACGAATTGTCGCTTGTTACGAATTGTCGCCCTACCGCAGATTTGTTAGATTTCGATACAGGAGTTTAGTTCTGTTATCGAGATCTCTTTCTTGGCTTAAATCACGGGACAGTTATACAAAGCAGCTCAAATAAATTCATATTATGCTTCAAATAATTAATATTGACAAAATTCTATACCAATTTAAACAAATTGATGTCTTCACTTTTCATTTTGAAAGTTTTTACGGTTTCTAAAAAGGTCAAACTCATTCGAAATAACAGTAATTACCGCAAAACTGCAGTGCTGATTTAAATTATCCAGAAAAAAAACGAACAAAATAAGAAATTGTTAACGCGTTTTTTCTCAAATTGGGGTTAAAGTAGGACAAAAAATGAAGAGAACAAAAGTTGCTCAGAATTTTACCAAAATTCTTATGGTGCAATTTTTGTTTCGAAATTCTCAACCTAACGTTTACCACTGAAGTTGAACATTTTGGTTGTTTTCAATTAGTCGTATATTACGCTGAAACTACGAAGTCAATTGATGAGAAAGTAATATGAAAAGAAGTATCTTATTTAGCCCAACAAACTGTATACGTAATGTTTTGACCGCTGCTATCAATGTCAAAAATTAAAAAAAAATGTTTTGAGCTTTTCTTAAATAAAATGATATTTCCGCAGCTTAGAATATACTTTAAAAATAATTAATTGGGCCACTTTTATGTTGTAAAAATATGTCCTGTAAATGAGATCTTAGTTTGATCCGCTCTTTGGATAAACTTACATTCCAACAATCGGTAACTTGTCCTTAACTTTCTAAGTCGTTAATATTTTTAATTTGGCCCAGGTGATCAACGAGCGAATGACTTGAACGGTCAGGCAGACGTGGAGCTAGCTCGTGAGGATAACTGCGATTTACTGAGTAGTGCGAGTAAAGACGCCGGGGATGAGGCGGTGCTTGGCTTACTATTTCAAGAGGACGAAGAGGCAGGAAACGACGGAAAGGCAAATGTAAGAGCTTCCATTTTGCGCCATGGCAGAGCTGTCAAATAAATTCTCTTTTGTTTTTCCGACCAGTTGAAAAACGGGGAGGAACTTTGTATTCTGATGTGTTTTAGTTTTTCCATGCAAAATCAGCTGCCACAAATAATCATCAGAGAGATTTGAGTGATGTATCATATTAAAGACCTTCAGCGTATTTTACTATGACTGTAAAATATGCCTAAGCTCTATTTTTTTGTTTAGATCCTTTTGTATTTTGAAAAAAAATATGGTCGGAACATTCTGTGCTACTTTTACAGTAACCGGTTATCCTTGTTGAAATATAGCCACTTGAAATATTTTGCCTCAAGATGTCTTTTGCCCCTTCGGAGTGAATTTGCCTCATCAATTTGATTCAATAGGATAGAGAATAGACAGACCTCTTTTTAGTAATTAAGGCATAATCTAATGACAGAATGGATCAATTTAGGAGCCAGCTCGGAACCCAGACGACCCCAAGTGCGTAATCTACCTGGACGCCTGTCAGCTGATTCTGGACTTGATTCTTGATAACGGATTCGAACCCAGAAGTGTCATAGCCTCAAACATGGCAAAATACATGGGTCAACAACAGTGCTCGACTATTGCGCAGCTAATGAAAGAATTATCGGCTCCTTTGTTTGATCTTTCGTGGAAAATGGAATATTTGAAATCTTCATTGACTCAGCTGGCAGTCAGCATTCTGTCGCATAAATTCTGCACAAGCAATGAGTCACAAAGATTGTTTTTCAAAGACTTGGGACTTGACTGGACTTCAAAAGAAAGCAACTGGCCGCTGAATTTACCTACCACGAATTTGACTCTATTAGCAATCGTTCTTCAAGAAGACAATTCGAGTACGTCAAACGTTGCTTGTAAGTTTTGGAAAAAAGTTTTGGATTCTCTGCAAGACAAAATAGTGAATGAAAATACGAAAACACCAGATCACGCGACTCAAGATGATTTGAACGCATACCAATTTCAACTGCTTCAGCTTGTTTTTGCCTCTCTGTCGAATGAGAGCCAAACAGATATCATGACCCATTTTGTGAAAGTATTTATAAAATGCAGCGACGTTGTCCAGACGAAGCAAAATTGCATCTTCTTTGCACGGCTTGTTCTAATCGCTGATTTTCTAATAAGCCACTTTAACATCGTTCCGGCAAGTTTGGAATGTCAAATAGAGAATAATTTATTCAAAAGTTTGGACAGAAGTATTACCAGTAGAATTCCTGAAATAGCTATTTCAACTTTCGCTGATCTGGGAACAATGAGTACCTGGCAGGCACAGAGGGAGCCAGCTGAAAATGACTCAGACTCTTTGAAGTTTCGAGACATCCAGAGTCGATTCTACGACATAAGCCAGACAACGACCGGAGAGAAACATCTTTCTCGAGTGCCCAGGGCTAACAAGGAAGGGATCAACTGTTTGCTGAAAGTGTGCAAAAATATTCGGGGAGGGTACAATGCGTTTTACGAAAGTGTGACAAAACTGTTGCGGTTTCCTGAGTTCTCGAAGAATGACCTCTTCATGGAACTGCTAACGTTTAATTATGCTCAGACTTTGCTGACTCGATTTCTATCGATTTTACCCCCTTCGCCAAAATTTGTGGAAAATCTGTCACTGTCGCCAGAATTGAAAGAGAAAGAAGATCTAATGATCTTCGTGCTGGACGTGATGTGGTCTTGCCGCCTGCCCAGTGATTTTTACAGCGATTACGTCAAGGAAATGCTAGAAAAAGTAGACCCGCATTCGTTAGAAGTTTACACGATGCTCACCGATAAAAATAAACCATTCTTCAGAATGGCAGAAATTTTGGACCTTTGTCATCAAGACTTGGAAAAGTCTATAAACACGCAGAGAGCAGATACACAGGACTTTGTGCCTTCTGATCGGGTGCTGCTAATAATCGACGCCATCTCTTCTCGATTTTTAACGGCGCTTCAAATTGCAAGCAAAGAAGAAGGCTTTGACACTTTCGTGGTGGAGTCCGCGTTGCATCTAGTTCAGAATCTTCTAGAAGATTTTCAGATTATTTGCCGAAATTTCATGATCACTGAAATTGGTCGATTTTACAATTGGAATGTAAATGAATGTGTGAGAGAATATCTACACATTATGCTGCAGTTCAATTTCGACTCGCAAGAATTTCAGAGTATAACTAGAAACTCGGAATTGAATGTTTTTGGCGAATGCTCTCTGGAAACTATTGATTCAAATTGCAGTATTGATTTGACCAGGCATATTGCCGATTGGACCAGCAGGAGCAAATGTTTGGAGCCCTTCCCAGACATTGACGCATGGCGAGAGAATGAGTCATACAACTCCCATGCAATTGCTTCGGAAGCCTACGCAAGTCACGTCATGATGACTCATCTTCGAGCCTCCCTTTCGGAAGGCTATGCAAAACGTACCATAGGTTGTTTGCAGCACACATATCTGACGTTGGCCAAACTGTTCTGCACAATGAAAAGTTTGGCGTCCAGTGCTTTTATGGAGAGAAATCTTAGCCACACGTTAGGACCACTGAGTGTAAGACTTTTGGCTCAACAAATGTGTTTCTTCAAAAATCTAGTTTTGGCTTCATTGGAAGAAAGTGCTGAGAAAGTGTTCAAAAAGCCATGTGCTGATTCGCCAATTCAAGAGTTCGCGACTTTATTTGTTCTAGAGAATGTGTACAAAATGACTTTCCTAATTGATCCAGGATTCAACAAGTACACGGCTTCCGATACCGTATTCCAAATTTGCATCCAGGCGTTGCAGAGACTTTTGCTCGTATCGGATTCTTCAGTAGTGAAAGTTCTGACTGAAAATCTATCTGAAAAAGACCGTAACCTGAAACGCATAATGGGGCTTTGTGCAAATCCACGACTCACCGTCAATAAATTGAAAGACTTGTTCAGGCTTGTGAAAATTGTGCTGCGAGAAATCGGGCAGAATAAAGAGGATAACAGTTTGCAGATTTTGTTAAAGAACTGTCAGTTCGACTTCGAAGACCTGAGGCCAGTTCTCGAAACAATTTTCCCAAAGCACCCGGTCTCTGAAAAAAATGTTCCAGCTGTGTTCATAAGTAACGAATTTTTCACTCAAATTATAAACATTTCGAAGGAATTTGCGAGCGACCGGTTTGCGTACTTCTCGAAAAATGTGGCCGGAAAAACTCTAAATTATTTAATAGAAGTTGCGCACGAACTAGTTGGAAACCATGACTACTGTAAATACTTTGATAAATTGATGACGATAATGCTCGTATTAGCGACATATGAGCAAGGTGCTGGACATCTTAAGCTGTTTAAAGCAAGTGTAGATCTATTGCCGAAGCTAATCGAATTAGTAGTCACAAATAGCCCGGAACAAGAAAACGACAGCAACAAGAGTTCAAAATCGAGCCTGATTGCATATAATTGCTTAGTTGGTTATATTTGCGAAGTAATGCAAGCTCTCAAAACTGAAACGTCTTTGGATTCGGACAGCGAAGAAATGTCGAAGACACTCTCCAAGAAATCATTCGCTAGTGGTTCCTTGGAGTGTGAAAGTAGCGATGTCACGCCGACCATCGAAGAGCAAAGTATAGAGGTTGCTGAGCGTGCATCGGCGTGCGAAAGTGTACAATCTGGGTCCGCGCACAAACTGTGCACGTTCACGGTTACCCAGAAGGAGTTCATGAACCAACACTGGTACCATTGCTATACATGCTCTATGCATGATTCCGTTGGCGTTTGTTCTGTATGTGCTAAGTTGTGTCACAAAGATCACGATGTTACCTATGCCAAGTTTGGAAGTTTCTACTGTGATTGTGGGGCGCAGGGCGAAACGCGCTGTAAAGCTTTGACATCAACTTCAATTGACAGATTTCTGACCGAACAGCAATCGAGTGTCTCGTCCAAACGCGAAACAACGTTAACTGAAATTCAGAAACGAGGAGATAAGTTGGTGTCTTTGATCAAAAAGAGACAAAAGCAGAACACAGAAGGAGTAAAACATGGCAAAGGAGCTGCTTATTTTGTAGAACAAGAAATAGGATTCAAAGTAGAACATTTTATTGATGCGAACAAAACGGAGTTGATGAAAATCGTGAATGATTCGAAGATTTTAGATTCGATTGAGATGTTAAATAACCTGAAAGATAAAATTGATGCCCACCTTGAAAACACTTCCCCTTCAAATGCGTCCAACCGGCTGGTTAAATCGTTCCACATATTACACGGAATGGCTTCCAAAAAAATCAGCACTGTTCCGAATTTGGTCAGCCAACTGGCAAGTACTGGTGAAACTTCCTTTGAAAATGTTAAGATGTCCTTTTCAGGAGAACAAGGGGCCACAATGAGGCAATTGATTACTGCTCATATGGTTCGAAGAAACGCTCTGTGTCTAATGCCAGCTCTGTCCAATAACCCTTCGGGTACTAACCAAGTTATGATAGTTGCCCACGACAAAGGACTACTGACTTGTGTGGATATAACCGCCTTGAACAAACAAATTGAACCAAATAAAGACGCTCCTGGTTCAGAAACAGTCAAAAAGATCAACGTCGATCGTCTGGCCTATAACACTGTTCCGATAACTGTTTTAAGCGTTGTCAGCAACAACTTGAACCCGGGTTGTCTGGCAGTTGCGGGAATCAAGGACTGTCACGTCATCACAATGACGCAAGATTACGTAATCTCCAATCAGATCAATATAAGCCTGGCATTAGACTCCGGAAACTTCATCATTAAAACTCTTTGGATCCCGGGATCCCAAACTGAACTGGCGGTTGTAACAGCTGATTTTGTCAGAATTTATAACTTGGCGGTTGATCTTAATAAACCGATTTATTATTACCATTTACTGAGTGGAAAGTTACGTGATGTAGCCTTTTTAATCGATACTGCAAAGTCTGCTGTTCACGCTTTCATAATGAGCTCGCAAGGTTTTATCTACACCCAGATGCTAGACGAGCAAAGTAAAGCCGACGATAGCGGAGGACCTTTCTATGTCACAAACACGATTGTCATCGAAAGCAATGAGCTAAAAATGACTAACGGGCAGTTTGGTTCGGGTGGAACATCAGTGTTTTACTCACATGCAATGCAAATGTTGTTCACAAGTTACAGTAACTCGAAATCTTTTGCATGTTCTTTGAAGAAACTTGAAGAGTTGCCGACAAGCACTGTCCTGAATAAGCTACAAGTCATTACTAATACCAGCTCACTATGCCAATGGAAAGAACCGGAAGACCATCCAGGCTTGATATTGGCCACCGATCAAAACTCAGGAAATGTTGCAGTAATTTTCATGTGCCCGGATACTTTCTATATCCAAGAGATAACTGTAACGCCAGCAAGATCAAAATCAATTGATTCAGTTGCTTTTGTGCCGATGCAAGTTTGTTCATCGGCTGCCGAGAATGTGAAGTCGACTAAGATCATTATATTATCGGATGACGGAAGTTTGAAGATATTTGCGGCGAACTCAAATTTGACTCACTTTTGGCTGTCACCATCTTTCAGTGCTTCAAATAACGAAATCGGTACTTGGATAAACGAGCGTAAGAAGTTCAAAGCCACGAACTTGAAAACGAGAATGCAGACAAATCCGATAAGTAGTGTTGGAATCATCGAAGGAGCTTCAAGTTCGAATGAGCATCAGTTTCCAATTGACTACTTCGAAAATTGTCAAGTGTTAGAAGACGTTGAGTTCGGAGGCAACGATTACTTACAAGTTTACAATCGAAAGCAAATGAAAAACAGACTGAAACATGCGAGGCAGTTTCTCGCAGCGACTAAATCTAGTCCGATCACGATGGAAATTACAAACGAGAATTCGGCGCTTGTCATTGCGGGTATTCGAGTTGAAGTGGGCGGCAACCAAATCGGCAATGCGGACTGGACTCCGAGGTACTTCGAGATTTTCGGACGTTCGGTTTTTGTAGAACCGACTAGCTCCTCGAGATGGGTGGACCTTCCATTCACTAATGAGGAATGTCTATTGTCTGAAAGATCGGTGAACTTGACAATCGGTAACTCGCGTGACACGTCATCGGGAATTACAATCGTAAACTCAGTGAAAGTCTACGGCAAAGCGAAAAATTCATTCTCTACGACTACAAGCGACCCAAAGACGAAAGCGAGTGGAACTGAAGAGCCTAAAAAGAACTGTGAAAACGATACTGTATCTACAGTTTTTGGCTTAAGACAACTACATCAACCTTCTAAATCATCTATCGCCCAAATGACAGGGTTATCGGCCGAGTCTGATTTTGATGCGTTGTTGTCAAACTCTTTGGAGATGCTCGCCATCTATTTCACCCTAACGAACGTGGAGTCTAAATCAAGGCCGGCAAAAGAAGGTAAAGAGCTGGCAAGGATTCTAGCGACAAGTCCTTTATCGTATAATGTCTACTCGCAAAACAAAGGCTTGTTGTATTCGATTTGCCAGTCAAAGGAAAGACTACACGCAGAACTTGATGAGATTAACTTGAACTGTGTCGCAAGAGCGTTTGATTCTTCGAGTGAGCAAACAGTTCAACCTGAAGCTTTTGACCAACATTTGGATACAATCAGAAATATCGCCCAAAACCGACCGAGAAATCTGGTCAAGTTCTCGAACTTCTTAACAAAAGTACTGGTAACGAATGATAGCAATGCAGAAAGCACGACAACGGGAGAACGAGTTTCAACTTTGGTCGAAGACATAATGACAATTTTCTGGTCGGTCGTCGAAGACAGATGCAACGTGAAACACTTGGTTTCTTTGATCAACCAAACGAAAGTCAAGAACGATAAATTGGTCACTTCGGTCGTTGAAGTTTTGTTCGCTTATGCCGTTCAAGACAACGAGTTCATGCCCCAAATGATGACTCACTTGGTCAGTCTTCTGCTCTATCACGACCCAGAAATAAGTTCAGTTGCAAAATCAGTTCTGATCAAGCTGGCAAGAACTTCGAAAGTGACAACCAAAACATCTTCGCTTCTGAAAACACCGGCGAACGCTCCAGATAAAACTCGCCAGCAACTGAGCATAAACGTGGACCAACAAGTACCAGTGCCAAATGTAAATGAATCGATATTAACTGAGATGAACGAATCAAATATTTCGAATAATTTTCAAAATCAAGAAGAGCAGGTGAGTGAAATGCAAGTGCAGCAGCCACTGCCAGTTGATGTACATCCGCTAGGGATGCCTGAGAATTTTGAAAACGCAGAGCAAATGACCGTGCCTCAAGATGAGAATGTACCTCAAAGCGCTTTAGATGCTCTATTGAATGCAGCGCCATTGCTAGAAATACCAGCAGATGCTGATGATGAAGCAATGATGGAACTAGCCATTGCGTTAAGTTTGCAAGAGCAGCCAGGTGGATCCGGGAACCAACAGAATCCTCAAGCCATGTTCCATGGAGGACAGGAGCCGGGGGATATTGCAATGGAAGACCCTGAACCAACCGTCGCTATGATTGGAACCCCGCCTCCCGAAATGGCGCCAAACGTGGCAGTTGAGCCTCACGTGGAGTTTGTAGAGACACCCGATGTTTCTAACTTACAAGGCGATAGTACTGATGATACTGCCTCAGTTGGAGAGCCCGATGACTTCGACGAAGAAGAGAGTATTGCTGCGACAGATGGCAGTGCGTTGCCTGGAGAGAGTTTGCCGGCAACAATGGGATCTGGCGCTGCCTCAGATGACGGAAACAGCTTAGCCGGAGAGTCAATCCAAACAACGACTTCGGCTTCATCAAGTGCATACGGAGGCGAAGAAGGGAGCTATGCAGCGTCCAGGAGCTTGGTGGTAACTCCAAAGACACTGAACGTTACTGGATCTAGTGCATCAATTGGAGGGAGCGCTGAAACTGGTCTGAACTCAAGCTTCCTGATCGAAGATTCAGAAACCTCGAAGTTGGCCGACTCAAGAGTGGAAATGTTGAAGTTGATGATGACGTACTTCCCTCAAGTTTGCAACGTTGGTGGAATCAGAGCTATTCCTTTCCTCCAAGTTTTCCTTTCTTTGAGTTTGGAGGTAGAAGATGAGAAACTGATAGCTGAGATTTTAGACCACATTTTGGCACAGTTGAAACTAAAGCCTGATCAAAATTTATTTTCAAGGACATTCAGCAAAGAGGTGCAAGTTCTGTTGTTGAGATTGCTAAGTATGTACATGCAGAAAAGCAAATCGGAGGAAGTATCAGTGCTTTCTAAGATGGCAGCACAATGTCTATATGAGAATGGAGTGGTAAGTTACTGCAAAGAAGTAGTAATTGAGATGCTCTCATATTGGCAAAACTCTTTTAACCCCGTTGAAGCCAAAGAGTCTTCTAAATTGCTGAAAACACAGTCGGTCAGAAGTGCTCCTGACTTGCATCCTTTCTTCTTGACCAATTACGTCATGGAGCACCGAGCCGACGTTTTTGAAGCCTACCATCAACTGGTGACTGAGGTCAGTCTGCGAATCCCATACCAGGTGTACAGAATTCTTGACACATCAATTCAACCGGAACTGGAAAGTATCAAATCCCAGTGGCTAAACACGCTATCCCAATACATGATTCTGCCATCACAATATGTTAGACATCAAGTAAGAAAGCTTCTCCAATTTGTATGCGGGACCAAAGAGCTCTATCGTCTGCAGAGAGATCTCTACGTCTTCAAGCACCATTTTGAAGCCATTAAAACAGTGTTATTCGCAAGTTGCAAAACTTACTTTGCGGATGAAGATGACCAGGAAGATTATGAGAACAGTAACGGAACAGTTGCGTCTCTTATGATGACGGAATCAAATAACGACCAGGAAGACAAATTCGTTTTCCCAGAATCCTTGAATTCGTTGAACTATCCGGTTCTGATAACAATCGTTGAACATCTGAAACAGGTCTCAGAAGCAGCCGCGAGCCGCTGTTACAGTTGGTTCAAGTTCTGCGAAACTAAGCCAAGTGTAATACTGTTTCTGATGAAATTGACACCACTAGCCGATGATGCTATTCGGCAGTATGTGATCGAGCTGATAACCCTCGCGAGTTGCGGCGCAAAAACAACACAGAGTATCAAGTCTAAGTCAGGAGTGGTCGAAAAGCCGGCGAAGAAAATAACCTCGACAAATTCAGCGTCGGCCAACCAGAATAAAGACAAAGCTGTCGACGAAGACGCAGGGGTAAGCTCTCCAGAATGCAACGAGAAAACGAGCACCGAGTTTGTGGACGAACTGGTGTCTAATCACGTGTCGGATTCGGAATGGAAATCATTCATGAAAATTTTCTTCCTAGAAACCAACTCGGTTCCTCTGCGATGGCAGTTGCACAGTCTGCTATGTGTGTTTTGGAATCAAGTGTCAGACCAGAGTCGATCAAAACTTGTGGATATAATGTGGGATCTGTATGATGAAACGCCAGTTTTTGGCAAACGAGCATCTCAGCTAGTTGATGTTCTTGGATTTCTGACTCTCTCGGGAAAAATTCCGGTGGATCGAATCAAAAAATACGCATCTAAACTAGTCGTCATGATGAAGACTCAAAACGAACTGCTGAAGCAACATCCCAATTTTGAACTGTACGAAAAGTTACTGAAATTGGTCGAGTTTGACGGATTTTACCTTGAAAGTGATGCGTGCTTGGTTTGTCATGCAAAAGAAACGACTTCTAGTCTGATTAAACTGAGCTCAATTAAAGCAGATTCGAGGTTCACAACCACGACTCAAATTATCAAATTGATTTCGCCGCACCAGATTAGTAGCATAATTTGTAGAATCAGTGATATTAATAATAGCAAGATGGTAAAGTCGATGGCTATTTACTACAACAAAAGGACGGTAGCTTCAGTGGTCGAGCTGAAGAACAATCCGCAAGTGTGGCACAGGGCAAAGAAAGTGCAACTTGAAGCAGGTTAGAAGTTAATTGAATTTCGCCAACTTGATTTTAGGTTCTGGTTGCTCGAAACCAAGCCAGCAAATTTTTTTGCACTTTTAACGAAAGCCTTCAATTAAACTTAACGGAATTGTAACTGGGATCGTTTTGTTTCGCAGTTGTTCAATTTTTGATACTGTATGCGAAGTGCGCAATCATCTTTCTGAGCTCCTTGGATTGATTTTACGGCATCATGGAATGAATTTATTAACCTTGCGATAAGCAAGTGTATTGTAATCGGGCACTAGACTATTTTTTTCCATAAATAACTTTGTAATCAAGGAGATGTCGTTGCTGTGTTGTCTTGCTATATGAAAGCACTTTCGGCTTTTTTTGCTGTTTTTATAGATGACATGCTCAATTTCTTGAAAATTAAATTAAAACGTCTGTCATTTAGTTTGTAATTAGATGGTGTCCGTTTCAGGCAATAATTATTTCAATTTGCCCAATCATATCGGTTTTGACAACTTAGATTGCGTAGTTTCGAGGTCGTAAAAATTTTATTTTATAGCTCAGTATATCCGTTTTTTTTTTTCGTTTTTATGTTTCCCTTTTTTATTCAGCTTAAAAGGTTTCGGCTATTTTTATATCGGCGTAGAGACATCTTTTGAATTAATTTGAGAGCACTGAGGTTTCGTCTAAATCTTTCGAGGGGGACTTACAATCTGTTTTTGAGTTTCTCAAACAAAAACTGTTTTTTCGGCACAAGGTATGTCTGACCAAGAATCGTCGGCTTTGTTACTGCTTTGTAAGTTTTGTTTTGATGGTTATTTGACTTTTGATTTTTTCTGCATATTTTTCTGAAAAGAATTTTTATTCACGAAAAAATCAGATAAATGTTAGAAGTAATGGTAGATCAGTTTTTTAGATACTTTTTCAAATGTTTTTCTACGGCTTCATCTCTATTTCTGTCGTTGTTTTGTCATGCTGCGTATAAGTTGTATTGTATGCAATGGAAGCTTTGCTTCGCTTCTTTTTATAAGTTTTGTAAAGGTGCAGTTGTTTCTGATCCAACTTTTCTACTTTTTTTTTGCTGGTTTTATATATATATGAGCAAGCGTTATCAAACTGGAATATAGACTGGAATTTTTCTAGTTAACAACTAGAGTAACAGAATCACTTATATACTTCGCTAGCTTGCTTTATTAATTAAGGTAGTTTTCACGAAAATGTGGGTCCAGGAACTATGTCGAGATGGATCAAGGGTTCGAACCCGAAACCATGCCAGTTTTTCTAATTCGATGAACGTAGTTCAGACTCTTAAATAGGTCGCGATGACTTGCTTTTTTTTCAGGAGAAAGTCTTAAAATTTGTTCAGGCTCAAATTTGTTTTTTTCACGGTTTGACTTTTGAGTTATTTTTTAGTTCAGTTCAGTTCCTTTGGTAAAAGAAATGCAAACTCCACGCAAAACTCCAGGACGGTAAAATCACGAAAAATGTGATCGACTTCTACTTTGAAAATGGAATTTAATTACAAGATTTCCCAGCGGAATAAAAACTTAACCCAATAATCCACTTTTTTCAAGTGTTGAAATAAATTTTTGAAGTGTTTTTGGTAGATCAAATTTTCAGTATTTTTTTTCTACGTCCTTCGTCTCTGGTTTTGTCGGTTAGTGTTTCATGCCATGTATAGGTTTTTTCGCAAATAGCGCGATGCTTCGCGTAAAATTTCTAAAGGTGCAGGTAATTAAGTTCCAAGATTTTGGATTTTTTTCTGCTGATTTTTTTGAAAAGTTGTTTCCCGATTTGTCGGTTCATTTGCAAGTTGTGAGGGAAATTCATTTTTCTATCGCTAGTGGTGCAAAAATCTGCTTCGCCTCTGTCCAGAAAAGTGTTTTCCTTAAGCATGCTTCGTCTTGCTATATGAAAGCAATTGTAATCAAAAACAAGGAAAGCCAGTTGCTGTGTAATTAATCTAGAAATTTTAGACCTCAGTAGAATATAAATTCTAACATATTTAATAGATTTTTTTTTGTCAAATATTTTCGTTTTTTTAAGATTTCTTTTTAAGGTCATTTGCATTTCAGTTAAAATGTATTTGTTAAAAGGTATGCTATTCAAAATTGAGCTCTCCAATTATAAAAATGGAAATGCATTTTAGTTTTAAGGTTCCCAGCAGAAATTCAAAAAATACCCATTGATCTATTTTGGGTTTCAAATTTACAGTTGATTTTTTTAATGAAAAAAGAGCTTAAACCTAATACATTTCCGCCGAAATTCAAAAGTTGAAAACAGTTCAACAACGGCTTTTCGGTTTCCTTGAGTTCCTTGACTTTTTTCCAGCTGTCTGTTGGCTATACTTTTTCCTAAGAAGTAATCTTGAAGTCTAAATAGCAAATTACAGCGAATACTAGCCAATTAATATAAGTTTTTTAAGAATTGGTTTGATAGATTGGTATCATTTCTAAATTTCGTTTCATTTAGTCTTGAAAAACGAAAACTTCAATATTTTCTCGAAACAGACAACCTTCAATCATGTCTTTGGAATCCGAGTGAGGAGTTTCAGTACTATACAACTTGACGCCCTAGGAGAATTTTTAGTTAGTCAAAATGGGGGGACATAGTCCTAAACAATTTCCCTTCAAACTCCTTAAAGTGGTTGAAAAAAATAAGGCTAATTTTTTTTCATGTGAAATGATTAATCAGCAGATCATAATGTTCTTTTTTTTGCTCAAGCAAAACTTGTGTGATATTACTAACTCTCGTTTTTTCCAACCTAAGTCGCAAATATTAATGCTTTTTTTGATATTAACGCAGACTATTATATTACAAATAGCACTTTAGCTTTAAGGCATCATGGATCTGTAGCGTAGAGGTAGGGAAGGAGACCAGTAGCAAAATAAGAGGGTTCGAACCTTGGCAGGGTCAGATGTTTTAAATGAAATTTTCTGCGTACTAGTTGAAATGCGTCCGCTCTATAAATTGAGGCATGTTAGTTGGTAAGTTTCTTATTTTTTTTTCAAATTGACTGGTACTGTTAATGCGTCGTAATTGACTTGCGTCACTTAGCAATTATGTAGACTCATAATTGGCGTGCGGCACTTATGAAGTTTTGTAGACTCAAAGTTTACCCATTCAGTTTTTCCCAGTAGCGTTATCGGTCATATTTTTGCTTGTGTATGCGAAGTGCAACTTTGCCTCTGTGTAAAAAGTTTTAATGATCCATATAAAATGTTCTAATAGAAATTTTAAGTTGTTAGTTTGCAAAATGAACTTATCTATTTGATCCGCTTTTCGCTGATTGGCAAAAGTCTTAACATGATTCTCTGGAAACTGAGATAAAAAATGTTTGATTTTTTTTTTGGTATACGAATCAGGAGTTTAAGAGCTCCGGTATTTCCATGTATTCTCGATATCCTTTTAGATGACTTATGAGGAATCTTTGAGGTTTGTGTCAAAAACATCTGAGCTTTTTTGATTTTGAGTCGAAAACATCACCGTGTGCCATAGTTCCTTCTCATCCCGTGGAAGGTGATCGGAACAAAAATTTGTTGATTGGAAAATTTATGTGACGTGCACATGCGGAATTGTGTTTCAATATAAGATATTTTGAATACATACATTTAAAACATACTGATTTAGAAAAAAATTCAAAAAAGAAAAAATATATAATAAAAAAGGCGTTTTTCCTTTTTTTTTACGATTCGATGAACGTAGTTCAGACTCTTAGATAGGCCGTGATGATTTTTTTTTTCAGAAAAAGACTTAAAATTTGTTCTTTGACTTTGGTTCCACGAAAGGTCGCGGAAACGTGATCGATTTCTAGTTTCGAAAGTGGAATTGAACTTTCAGATTTTCTGGTGAAATATAAATTTTGCTTATAGAATCAGTCGTAAATTTGTTTAATTTAATCAAAAAAGTGTCAATCATTTGTTCTTAAAACTAAAAGAGTTTTAAGTGCATAAATTTTTTCTTTCAAATTCGAAAGTTAGTTTTTATTGTGTTTATTTGCGTTCATTGACTCTTTTCCAACTTTCTATTGGCTATATTTTATGTTTTTTTTTAATCCTCTGCGATATAACATGAAAATACTAGTGCAAGCTAGCACACAGGAAAAGAATGCCACAAAGTCCAGAAAAAATGAAAAAAAAAATTCAAAAAACCACAACTTGAAAAAATTCAAAATGTTGTGTGGAATCATTTTCTCTTTACTGAAAACACGTCCAGAAACAATTGTCGGATATTTATGGAAATTTAAAAAAGAATTAACAAGCGCCAACTAAGCCGACGAAACTCAAATATTTTCCCGTAGCGCCGAAATTATAATTGTTATCATTACCCTTGCGATAAGCAAGGGTATTGCAATCGGGTACTAGACTTTTTCCCTTAACTAACTTTGTTCACAGAATGGTTAAAATTATAAATGGTAAATTTAGGTTCAGCCCATATGAACTTCAAATTTCTTTGGTTTTATGGCTGGCACACTGATTTTTTTAAATTATGTAAACTATTCCGTTTAAAAAATTGTCGGCTTAGTTGCCAACTCGTTTATTTGTTTTTTTTTTCTTGCTGTACGCTTTTCAGTGTAGTTACTTGTAGTGCTTCGATTTGATTTTGCTGTTTTTAATTTTTTTGAATTCGTTTTTTTTTTGCTTAAAATCTTTATTCTGCCCAATCGATTTCAGCTTAAGCTTATATTTTATCGGCTTAGTGACCTAAATTTGAGTCGTTTGAAGATAAACATAATTTTTATGATCACTGGATTGCACAAATTGCTAAAAGACCTTATAGAAAAAATAGCTCAAGTTTTTCACGGCAACATTTTTTTTCGGTTTTTTTCAGCTTTATAGGTTTCGGGCCCTAATTATATCGACTTAATAATCTCATATTGCGTTTTCGACGGGTGAAAAAATTTATCATGTGTATGTTTTGAGAGGGAGGGGTTTTTTAAGTCTTGTTGATTTTGTTCGGCTTAAAGGTATTTTCGGCTTTGTTACCGCTTGGTAAATTTTCTTCTGATTCGAGTTTTACATTAGATTGTCCTGGCATCTTTGTTTCAAACTAGCTTGATTCATTTTGATAGATTTAGTTTTTCGACTTTTTCGAATTTTTTAGCGGCTTTCTGGTTTTGTATCAGACTTAGCGGCTTTCTGGTTTTGTATCGCAGGTTTTATATGATTTATAGCATAATACTTATGCTTCCCTTAAAATAACCCCAAATTAGGTCACTAAGTCGATAAAATATAAGCCGAATATAGTTCGTAAGAGAAAAAAAACAGGAAATTATACCAAGTCAAGGCTAGTAAAACTAAAAATTGCAGGAGTAATTTAAAACATTAAAAGCTACTTCATTGAAAATTGCGTACAAAAAAATCGATTCTGCGATGAGACAACTAAGCCACTATAAGCAGACAAACTATAGGCCGACATTGTCTGGAAATAGTTCCTGGTCAGATTCGAACCCACGACTTTCGCCGTCCCAGGTGCATTCTTTATCACCAGTCGAAGTGCCGGACACGCATAAAAGTTTGAATTCATTATGAACTAAGATACAACTGATTCAATTGATTCTGCTAAACAGGTTGTTAAGCCGAGAAAAAGTCTATATTCGGATTTGATAACGCTTGCTTATCGCAAGCCTAAAAAATCATATTCTGTAAATTTAAAAATTACAGAAAGAATTCTTTCACTTACAACGAAAATTGCTTACAGCACAAAAAATTTGTGATGTGGCAAATAATTAGACGAAACATTATCAGACAAATGATTAACGATAGGCTGACAATTTTTTTGAAACAGAATATTTATGGTTTGAAAAAAAAACGCCCTGGCCGGATTCAAAGCTAGTACATTTGCGTCTCAGGGCGTAGTCATTAACTCTAGGCCAAGTGTACCGCAGAAGCAATGAAATTTGAATTTATATCTGTCAAGCTATCAAATGAACTAATTTTGTTAAACATGTTACTAACCCGAAAAAAGTGTCTTTTTTCGACTTGATTACGCTTGCTAAACCGTAATTATAAGAATACGACTTGTCAGAACAAAAAGCTCCTTGTCGTTTTCTACTGGCTCGCTATTTTAGCAGCAAGTTATACGCTCGCGCAATCAATCCCCGGGACAAAAGCTTATTGGACAAATCATCCCCGACTAATTCATCGAAGGGTCTTAGTCCCCCTGGATAAAACACCCCATTTTCATCTTAAGTCCTCCACATTAGAATTGGTTAACTGCGGATTGTATCCAGAGGAATTTGGGTCTAGAATCATTCTCAAGATGCTGAATCTGAAAGATCTAATTAGCATTCAGAGATGTGAGCTCGATTCTTGTCACCCACTTAGATGATTTCGACATCAGTTTGTTCGGTATGGCTCGTTTGTAACTTTCTCAAATGTTTAGGTCAGAGTGAGGTGAAGATAGAGTTGGGGCTGCCTGTGGTGGCCACCAACATCATGATGGAGGTGTGTGAGTTGTATGAGAATGCACACGCTCACTCAGAACAACTCCAGTGTCCCAGATGCAGCAGCACTGTCATGGCCAACCCAGGTGAGACCCTGATCACGGCAACACACAACTAAGCTAGAATGTGGATTTTTTTTTGAAAAGAGTGTGTGGAATTTGGACCCGCCAGCGCCACGCCACGAAGCTAGTGTATAGGATGGTGTTGTGAAAACAAAGAATAAAAAAGACCATTTATCCATGAGGGAAATAAGACCAGTTTACGGGTTGTTCAGCTCAGTGCGGCGTCTGAACCCCTCAAACAAACACCTCATATAGAACTCGAGCTACATTTGTCGTTAGCCACTTCACCGTTATTTGATTCTTCCAGTGCAATTATTTTTTTTTTTGAAATTTTTTTCACCAAGAATTTCTGCTTCTTGAGCTGCACTGGTCGGGAGCTCTATTTCATCGAACTCATGTTTAGATCGAAACTGTAAAATTCGTAATGAGTTCTTGTTTGCATTGAAATCTACCTATCATTTTCAGGGATTTGTGGAAACTGTGGGGAAAACGTGTTCCAATGTCACAAGTGTCGACAAATTAACTACGACGAAAAAGATCCATTCCTCTGCAGCTCGTGTGGATTCTGCAAGTACGCCAAGTTTGATTTCACCCTAAACGCAAAGGCCTGTCTTTCCGCCATCGACCCCATAGAAAATCAGGACGACCGCAAAAAAGCGATTGCCAATCTTAATACGTTGCTCGAGAATGCAGACAATTTGACCAGGTCTATTCAAACACAGCGACCTGCTTTCGAGGACTTATTGCACAGATTGAATGACAGGGATTCGAACCCGGAGGCTTTGAAGTCCTTTGATTCAATGACAGCTGTGCACGGGTCCAATGCAACGACGCCAACAGGCTTAGCACATACGTCTAACACATTCGTTCACCGAGAAATCCAAGCCATCGCCAAGAAGTATTACGTCAGCAAAATGTCCTTTGACGAGTTAAGCGTAACAGCTGAAAAGATCATTGCAACCCGTGCTGAATTATTTGATTTCGATCAACGGAATAACTTGATCACGGTGTATTCAGACGCTTTTTCATCGGGAAAAAGCCAGTCTTGTTCAGCTGAAGATGAAATCTCATCTGCTCTGAATTTGAACAAAAAGTGCTTTGGATGTTTGGTTCACTCGTCGATTCACTGTATTTATCTTCTTAGAGCATTCGTGTCGAGAAATGACATCAAGCATGAAATTGGAGAGCAAATTCTGGAAACTCATTTAGTGGGGTCGAATTTGAGGAAAGTATGCGACCGTGTCCAAGGTCTTGTCAATGGACTTATTTCGCAGGTGTGTCGTAATGATGAAAAGCTCACGATAACTTTCTGTAAAGCTCTGCTGAAAAATATTTCTACATTGACTACACAAAACACGAGTAGTTTAGTGGGAAGCTCAGAACTCGTAGCATCTAAGGCGCTCTATGATCAGGTGGCTCTCTTGACTGGGAATATCAACATAAGTAAAGATACATGCTGGATGATAAAATTGAGAGCAGTTTCGCAGTTACTACTGAAGTCAGTTAAATCTGAAAACAAAGCCGTGATTAGTGAAGTTGTTTTGCCATGTATGAAAGCATACCACACTTTAATACAGAAAACGTCTAAGAAACAATCGGAAACGTCAAGCAAGAAAGCAGCCGAAGTTAATCATGGAGTGAATGTAAACGTCGGGCAGTTTCTAAAAGGTGAAAACTCTTTCGAAGCTTGGAAAAAGGATAAAATTGCTGCAGTCCAGAAGGTCCCAGGAAACCTAAGTGAAATGGCTGTCAAGCTAGATGGAAATTCGTGGATCAAAGCAACCTTGTTCCACCCATCCTCGAAGGCAGTGCGGTCGGTGTCCTGTAATATTTTGGAGACATTGGCGTCTCAAAGTGAAGCGAGATGTGAGGCAATTCTGGTGTTGCTGTTTGCTTACATTGACGAGAGTAGCTGTGTGAGTTTTGGTCAAGATTTGACCGAAGTGATGGCGCTGGTGCAGAAATTGACAAGCAAAGATGAAAGAAAGGTGGTTCTTTCTAATCAAGGTAATATGCCTAATCTATTACATTTACAGTAGACATGTGCTGATTTTATTTTGGTAAGTCGGAAGATCTTGAAAAAAAAAGGATTGCGATTAAGGATTACCTTAAGGAATACGATAAGGATCGACCAACGTAGCACTCGATCCCACTACTATCGCTGAGCTAGCCGGGCTTGACATAATGTGGTCCATTAATTATTCTACCGCCATTATCTATAGTCTTTTGCATATACGGGTGAGACGTGCTGATTTGCTGATTCATTGGCTAAAGTATAGGCAGATTACGCTCTCAGCTCTTTTTCCTCCCCCCCCCCCCCCACCACCTGCAGTTTTTTATATTTGAAGTTACTGTTCACTTTGTCCGATTGTCATGAAAATTGACATGCAGACTAATTAGGTCATGACAAACATATTTAACCTTCTAAAACTACTCGTTAGACCATAAATTTCATGTTTGTGTGAGGTGGGGGGAAAGGAAAAAAGCCCCGCTCTCTAATAACAAAGGGGCAAATGGCGCGAAAAAACGAAAACGTGGATGACTTCAGTTTTGAAAGTGCATCCTTAGTTTTTTGATACCTGAAAATGAAATTCATAAGGATCGCCCAACGTGGGGCTCGAACCCACGACCCTGGGATTAAGAGTCCCATGCTCTACCAACTGAGCTAGCCGGGCTTGTAAAATATTTTCCTTTAAATATTGTGGCACCATTTGCTGTAGTCCATTCCATATAATGATAATGTAATAAATTGTTATCAGGCTCACAGTATAGTAGACTAGTATAAGATATTAGGGCTCTTTTCCAGTTTCCCCCCTTTCAAAATACCGAATTTTATGTCTGTTTTACGTGTTATTATGGCTAAATGCGTGATGCTACGATGGGTAAAGTATGAAGAACAAATCTGTTCAGAGTTGTCGATTTGTTCACAACGCCAAATTTCATTGCATTATGATAACGTTAAATAGACTTTTCAAAATTGAATTTAAGGGGGGAAACTGGAAAAGAGCCGATATGAGTAATAACTATCATCCCTGAGTGAAGCCTGAGAGAACGTCATTAGACCAAACGGTCTCTTTTTTCAAACATTTCTGAGCGAAAATTGTTTTTCAATTAGGAAGCGATTTAACTATTTGACAGAATTGATTCTATTAGGAACCCCAACGTTATAGGTATTCCAAAACGCATAGCAGAACTGATTTTGTGCGAGATCGAACAATTCGGCGAGAAGGAGAGAGAGATTGCCGAGAACATCAGAGGAGTGTCCGCCTCGTGGAGTCATGACCTGCGACAAGGTGTTCGACTGAGATGTCTGACGGAGCTGCTGAGTGGACTGCTGGATGTGAGTGAGATTCTGAACTCGTGGAAGGCACAACTGATCCAGCCGATATTGCATGGATACTTGGCCATTAAGAAGTTGGTCACTCAGAGGACAAAGGCTATCGATGAAGCGCAGGAAGTGTTGTTGGAGATGCTGGATTTGATGACTACAGGTCAAGTTTTATCCCAATTTTTCTAGCAATAGATTAATGAGTTTCAATAAACAAAGTGCGACATTCTTTAGCTCTTGTTTTTTTTAAAAGTCTTAAATTAGCTCAGGCGCAATTTGGTTTCCCACGGCTTTGAATTCTACTTTTTTCAGTTCATTTCAAATTCACTGGCTAAAATATAGGCACATTACCCTCTCTAATCACAAAAGAACAAATGGCGCAAAAATGTGAATGACTTCAGTTTTGAAAAAATATTTAATTTTTTTCTCAAGTTATTGACATTTTGCTACTCTCTTTCCTTAATATTTGCGTAATCACCGTGCGTTATCTCCTACTGTTAAGCGGGAAAAAGAAAAATTTAAAAGGAGTTAAAATTAACATTTTGTGTTAATAATTTACGCAAGAATGACAACCAACTCCTTTCGAATTTCTCCTAGTTATATCACTGATTAGGAACAAAAATTTTAAAGAGTCATGATCGTAGTGATTACTCTTATATAGGTTTTGCTGATTTTTTATAGTTTTTTTAAATTTGTTCACGCTCAATTTTGACTTTTCGTGGTTTGACTTGTGATTTCTTTTCAAGCTCAGGGCATTTCTATTGTTAAAAGGAAGGCAAACTCCATTATCGAACCACCATAAAGTGTAAAGGTCACGGAAAACGTGATCGACTTCTAATTTCGAAAATGGAAATTAATTATCAGATTTCTCAGTGAAATAAAAGTTTTGCCTATTGATCCAGTTTTCTCAAATTAGGTTAATTTTAACAAAAAAGTGTCCATCATTATTTGTGCTGCAAATTCAAAGAGCTTTAAGGTCATCTATTTTTTTCTTCGAAATTTAAAAGTTGAAGGTTTTTTGAAAAAACAAGTCAGTATTTTTTTTCTGTTTCCTCGCGTTCTTTCGAGAAACATAGCCAACTGTCTGTTGGCTATGTTTTTTGTTGAGAATTGTGAGTGAACTCATGATGAAAATGTTAGTTTTTCGAGATCATATAGAAAAACAAAATCATATTTGTGTTTCAGGAAACTCGGACGAGACGAAGGAATTTATGAAGATCTGTTTGGTGACGCTTCAACAGTTCCCAGCCGAGGACCAGCTAACACCAATCTTCGTGTTCGAGAGGCTCTGCAACCTCATCCACCCCGAGGTGCCAGACCAGACGCCGGACTTCTCTCTCTGCCTGGAGAAGGATCCCCAGCAGGAGGATTTCTTGGCGGGCAGGATGCAGGGAAATCCTTATAGCTGCTCAGAGCCAGGTTAGAGATTGCTCGCAATAATATGACTGAAGTTTTGTAATGTAAGAATATGTAAAAGAAGACCTCGCTCAACAAAATATTTTTGATGGTTTGTATAGAGACTCGAGTAAGCGACTCAGTTGGGAATCTGGAAGATTTTGCCAAATAGCTGTTTAATTCAAGAAAAAGCGGAAACAAATCTGAAAAGGTTATTCGAGTTCTGATTTGAAAACCATGCAAATCGGATAATAGCCAAAGTGGTCTAGATTATTTCGGTCTAAATTAGAGCCAAAGCGTATTTCAACTGAAAAACTGAATATCACGGTGAAAAACTGAATGTCTTTTCTATTGGACTCAATTCTGCGTAAATAAAAGGCCTTTATCTAGAGAATGGTGTTTTGTGTAGGAATGGGTCCCTTGATGCGAGATGTGAAGAACAAGATCTGTAGAGACTGTGAACTAGTAGCATTGCTGGAAGATGACAACGGGATGGAGTTGCTAGTCAATAACAGGATCATCAGTCTCTCACTCCCTGTGGCTGAGGTGTTCCACAAAGTATGGCTCGCACCCGAGAGGGGAGGTAGTCCGCAGAATGAAATGGAACCCATGCGTGTGGTTTACAGGTAAAGAAAAAAGAATTCAGTTGATTCAAGAAAGGTCATCATAGCTACGCTTATAAAATCGACCGCATCCCAAATCAGTTGAATCAAAGATTAAGGACACCTCAAGAGCAGGACTGTTTCGAATTTATTCAAGGCTAGGCTGCTATCAGCAAATTTTATATATACATATCAGCAGACCTATAATTGGGTTATCAGCATACCTATAGTTTTTGGGTAATTAAGATATTTGAATTTCAAATAGTTTTGTAGCGCTAAAGTTGTTTTATGAAAGAACAAAATTGGCCCAGTTGGTTTTTGCTCACATATGTCGGCTCAGTTACCATTTGTTTAGTCTCTGATAATAATTGGACTGTGGAAATTGACTTAATTGAATGTGATCCTTTCAAGAAACTTATAACTGATAATAATTGGACAGTGGAAACTGTCGTAATTGAATGTGATCTTTTCAAGCAACTTATTCTAATAGAAACAAATGCATCTAAAATTTGGAAAAAATTGAGCAGTCAAACGAAAGTTGGACTATTCACATTTTACCGGAAAAAAAATTATATTTTTACATTGAGACTTAATCCCAGACATTAGGGTGCAAAAGCGACTGCATTACCTCTAGGCCAAGTGTGTCGCTAAGGTTAGGACACCACTAATAGTGGTGACGCTCTAATAGATTTGTAAGAAAAGTTGTTTACGGGGAAAAGATGAGTTCCCGGTTACAGGACACTCGCAAGTATAAAAAAAACGAAGCCAAAAAAGAAATGATTCATAATCAAAAATGACAAATTTGCAAATTCCCGAACCACTTTCAATTACAGTAGAAACGGCTTCAATCAGAATAAAAATCCATGCTTTGGCAATGGTGGCCAGTCAATAAGCAGAATGGTCTAAGAGCAGAATGGGTCCAAGAGCAGAAAAACAAAAAAAATATCAATTTTTACAAGCTAATCGGTAAATTAAGTATAAGGATTGTCAATTTTACCAAAGAAACGAATATTTTATGCACAATTTGAGCAGCTTAATCAAGATTTAAAAAAAATCTAATCAAAAAAACTTAATGAAAGTATTCAATTTATGCATAACTTATTCATTTTCTTGGTATTTTTGACGATGTTAATAATTGTTTTTATCAATTAGCCCGTATAAACCAATAAAAGCCAATAATATTTTTCTTGTTTTTCTGCTCTTGGACCCATTCGGCACTTGGACCATTCTGCTTTTTGCTCCGCCTCCTTTGTCAATGTAAGTCAATAAAAAACCATCCAGGATAATACAATGCTTTTGAAAAAAAACGCAAACTGAGCCAAACAAAATTAGGACGCAAACCACGAATCCATTGTCAATTCATACATAACTGAAAAAAAAACAAGGTCCGACCCGAAGGGACTCAAACCCCAGACATAAGAGTGCAAAGGCGACTCGAACCACATACCTTAGGGTGCAAGGGTACCGCATTACCTCCAGGCCAAGTGGGAAGGAGCTTGTAAGCCGTTAAGGTTCAGCTAGAAAAACAAGTTCAATTTCTTACAGATCTGTTAGAAAAGTGGTTTCTTAATTACAAGACCCCCAATTACAAGACATTTGCTCTGGATTCCATAATCGCAAGAATGTTTCACATCGTGTTAATTCGAATTTGGTTTTTGATAGTTTTGGGTGAACACAACTTTGCAATATCCTTCAGCTAGACATTAAGCTGGTCATACAATATTAGTCAAGGATTTAAGTTAATTCTGAATAATTTATAGGATGCGAGGCTTGATGGGCGATGCCACCGAGGAGTTCATTGAGAACCTCAACGCAAGATCATCCGGAGATTCATCTTCAGGCGCCGAAACAGAAGACGACGAGAAGGAAGAAGAGCTCTACAAACTAGCATCGGTGCTAGCAGAATGCAACGGATTCCAAATCATGCTCAATTCCCTAAACTCAATAACTGATGTGTTCGCTTCCAGACATTTGGTGTATGTGCTACTGAAATTATTCTCGTTCTCGGTAAAAGTCAGAAGTAACAGAGTGGCTCTTGCCAGTGCGGATTACGATACTCTAAATATATTTCTACGACTGCTGCAGCTAGTGTTGAATATGCCAGAGACAGCGAGTTTGGGAGCGTCAATTGGACGTGGAGCTTCATCTTCGAATAACGAGGCTTGTACTACGAGAAATGAACTGGTTGAGAAAGTGCTGTTGGTTATGCAGCCGATTCTACAAGAGACGCAAAATTCAAAATCAGAGTCGGGGACTTCGTTGAAGGTCAGGCAGTTGTATGTTAAAACTATTTAAAAAAGTGACGAAACTATTCTGGAAAAAAAACTGTTTTCAACAATAAAACAGCAATATCTCAGCTTACTATCACAATGATGCTTAGCTCAATGGCGTTTAAGATTAAAATTTCGTTTAAGATTTCCGGTGGTGATTTGACACAACTGGAGCATTTCTTGAGCTGCATGAACATCGCCCATATACAACAAAACCCACTGTTACTGCAGAATCTCATGACAATTGTGCCCTATCTCACATTTGGTGACAATATAACAGCCAAGGTCAACTTATTGGTCGGTTTCTTCAAACCATACATCGACTTTGAAAAATACAACGAAGACAAAATATCGAATGTTGCTAACGCGACCAGAACCGAAATGTTTGTGGACTGTTTCACAACTATGGTTGAAAGTGTCCCACCGAGCAATGATGGAAACCAGCTGAAAAGTTTCATCATCAAAAGCGGAATTTTGAGCTCGTGTACAAACTACATTCTGAATCTGACGCCTGATAAGGAGTATGTGAGTGATCAGAAGGGATGGAAGGAGTTCTTGGCCAGACCTGCAGTTCCCTACGTGCTGAAGCTGATGCGGGTGTTATGTAAGAACCACGAAGAGACCCAAGTGGTGATAGGAGAGAGTTGTGTCCCTGTTTTGCACAGGCTGGAACGAGTTGCAAGCGAAGAACAAGTTGGTCCTTTTCATTTCAAAAATTTTATAAACATTTTGATCTAACAACAATCGGTCATCGCGCTGCGCGCTCTACACCACCATACGGCAATTAAGTGTTTCATAATCTACAAACTGGACTTGGAACTAAATGTTTCCACGTTTATTTTGCCTCAGTTTACCCCTATTAGAGAAAGGATTTTACAGGAATATGTACAGAAAATGTATTTGAATGCAATAAGAGTCGCCCAACGTGGGGCTCGAACCCATGACCCTGGGATTAAGAGTCCCATGCTCTACCGACTGCGCTAGCCGGGCTTAAAAGTTTCTGTTCTTTAATTATTTTAGCGCCAATTTTTATAGTCCTGCCATATAGGGAAGAGATTTGATGAGTTTAGTATTGACGTAAATTTTGATGTTGAATACTATAAGCTTCGCCCAAAGTGGGGCTCGAATCCACGTCCCTGGGATTAAGAGTCCCATCTTCTACCAACTGAGCTTGCTGGGCTAGAGTTACCGGTGATTTCCAATTCAATCAGAACAATTCCCATTTATATAGGTTTAAGAATCGTTTTATAAAAATTTTAGTAACTTTCTGTGACTATTGCAAACAACACTTGCATGTAATTTCGGACTTGATTGCACAATAGTGTTCAGAATGTCTTATCCGGTCGGTCTCTACAATTTCGAGAATTTGAGATCGGTTGATTTTTCAATAAAATGGTTTCATGTTTTCCAAAGATTCATGTGCAGTTGTCAACCGCCCCAATCATGCTTGAGCAGAACGGAGAGGTTTTTAGGCGATAGGCGCTTACTTAAGCTCCCAATTCGCCTTAATTTACGCAATCTTAACTCGGCCTATGGACCATTTCAGGTAGGAACTTTTGCCGAGAACCTCTTGGAGACGTTAAGTGAAAATGCCCAGGTGAAGAAAGTGATAGCAGGAGTGCGCAAACAGACGCGTGAGGAGAAGAAGCGACTGGCGATGGCCATGAGGGCAAAACAATTGGAGACCCTGGGACTAGAAGCCACTGCGGCTGGTCGAATGGTGAAAACATCCTCAAACCACACTCCGAATTTCGACGATATTGTTGACGAAACCGGTTTGAAATTATTTAGCTTCAAATACAATGAATTATTCGATGAAGTATAACTTTTGGGGAAGCAGGCCTTCTTGAAGTTCACTGAAATTGGAGAACATGCGAATTTTGAATATATGGTGAAAATTGAAGCTCGATTTAGGTCCAAAGTTGATTGATGCTTGTCTTTACCCTGGCGATAAGCAAGGTTATTGCGATTGTGTTCTAAGCTTTTTAACCGTAAATAATTTTGCTCAGAGGACTCATCTCCTCGAAAGAAGCATCGCTCGACGCATCTCTGTTGGAACTTCGCCGCAACAGACAATATTTTGAGACACTAGATTTTAAATCTCCGCCCAATTCGAAATTTGTTTTTAATGTTGCTTGTTGTCTTGCTGACTCGATTTGATAGAATTTCATTTTTTTGTTTTGTCCTCCGCTCTTTAAGAGACGATGAGCGTAGTTCAGACTCTTATATAGGTAGTTATTATTTTTTCAGGAAGTCTTTAAATTTGTTCAGTCTCAAATTTAATTTTTCGCGGCTTGATTTTTGATTTCTGTTCAAGTTGATTTCCTTTGTAAAAAGGAAGGCAAACTCCAGAAACGAACAGCGAACTTTTAAAATTCACAAATACGTGAGCAACTTCTGATTATAAAAATGAATGTAAGTTATCAGATTTCCTAAACTCAGATTGTTGTAGAAATTCCAAGAGAGCTATAGAACTGTAGGCCATCATTTTTTCTTTGAATTCGAAAGTTGAGATTTTTTTAAAAAGTAAGTCATAATTTTTTTATGTCCTTTGGCTCTTTTCCAACTGTCTGTTGGCCAGGTTTCGACTGAATAGGGTTCGGTCTATGCTATATCGGCTCAGTAGTCTCAAGTTGCATCGTTTGATGAGCGAAAAAAGTTTTCATCTGCGTGCGTGTTTGAGGGGAGGGGAACCTGGAAACTTTTTATTAGTTTTTTTTACACTAGCAATGTGTACTATTACGAACCTTCTTTTCTCTAAACTAACTTGCAATTAAAAGTGTTCAATAATTTGGAATTTCACTGTAGCATTGGAAATTGCATAGTATTTGTTCTCTGCATTACTTGTGTTTGGTGCCTATTAAGCGTCCGCGGCTGAGTGGTTAGCGTGTGAGACACTGAATCTCCAGGTCGCACGTTAATTCTCAGACGTAGTCGTTTTTTTGTACTGATTCGAGGCTTATTTCTAATTTTTCATATTGCACTTTACATAGCTGCTTTGTCTTGTGTATATATCTGTGTAAGTCTTGAAATTTTTTTCGGCTTGAATGGTATCTGCTCAATTATTTCAGCTTTGTTACCGCTGGGTAAATTTGCTTTCGATGCTAATTTCATATTTTATTGTCTTGGTATGCTTTTTTCAAGTTAAGCTTCATTCATTTCGATAGATCTAGTTTTTTCAATATTTTCAAGTGTTTTTGATTTTTTCCGACTTACTGGCTTTCTTGTATTGTATCGCAATGCGTTCAGAGCTTCGCCTCTGTGTAATGTTCTACTATGTAACTTTTTGGTAAGTTTGAATCTTGAAACGTTTCAGTTTTTGTGAGAGTAATTATCTTGAAGACTTTTATATAGGTCTTGATTTTTTTACAGGAAAATTTTTTAAATTCTCTAATAACTACAGATGTGAATTCATGCATATTAATGTTTTTATAAACGCACCTAGGTATATATGCACTTTTTAAGTTCAATTGCAATTCGTCTGCTGAAAGTGAGGTAAATAGCACTCTCCAAATACGAACGTGGAACGAAGAAAAAACGTGAACGACTTAGTTTCGAAAGTGGAATATGATTTTAGAGTTCGCAGTGGAAACAAAAACTTAACGTTTTGATCCAGTTTTCTCAAATTAGATTATTTCTATCAAAAACACCTATAATGCATTGTTCTTCAAAATTCTAAGTTCATTACTTTTTTCCAACTGCGTTCATTACATTCATTATCCTTTTCCAGCTGTCAGTTGACTATGTCCTTATTGAATAAGTGAATATTGAATTTCTTAACTTCAAAAGCATAAAATATTCAAATAGCGAAGTTGAGTTTTGGAGCGGTAAAGTTGTTAACTGATTTAGGTCCTGTCTGTTGCATATGTCGAGAGGGGTACAAGTACCACCCTAGGAGTGTACTGGGCATCTATGTGTACGCCAAGAAACAACCGATCGAACCGTACGAAGTGTATCTGGCCCCAGGTGGAGGCCAGAGGGGAGGAGCTCCCATTGGAGGGCCTGGAGGTGGCAGGATGCCAGCTGTGCTGCCCAAATCACAGGGATACACTATTGTATCTAACTTCACAACTGTCCATCTCGACTGTCACAACAACGCAGTCAGAAGCCACAGGTAAATTATTTATTGGTTTTTATCTCATTGTTAAGTGTTAATGAGCGAATTGAATTTTCTTTCATGGGGCTGTGCTTTTTTGTTGAACGTCTTAAAATTATTAACGCTATATTTGTTCCGACTTTCGATACGAAAGTAAAGGAATATTTGTGCTCGGGGTGGGTTTTTTTTCTTCAGACAAATGTCGACTTTTTAACTAGCCATTTTTGACGGAAATTTTTTATATCATTCAAAAGGTATTAATGTCCTGAGCTTAATTTTGAAAAGATATTTCACCTGTGATCATTTTTCGTAAAGTTATGGGGGTTTAAAGATTGCCATTTTGGACAATTAACGCGCGATATATTTCGCGGTATTAACGCGTGAGCGGAGATTTAATCCGACTTAGAAATCGTTCCAAATTGGTTCAAGGAAGCTTATTTGCCATAGTTGATTAGTTAATAGGAGCGAAATCTATCCTTTTGTACTTTATATGGCGTGTGGGGGGATGATTTTCATTAAAAAATTTCAAGTTTTAGAAAAAGAGTTTTTCATTTTATTTTATTACATTAAATATGTAAATGATATTTATGTAATTACTGCTCCATAAACCTTAAAAGGCAGTCGGAACATTCAGGGCTTCGCCCTGATACGAGCAGTCTTCTTAATGATTTATTGCTGTTTCACTGCTGATTATTCTGGTAGTTCACTTTTTTGTTGGACCTCGGCCCACTTCCTTTCTGCTTGGGAAACATATAGATATCTTCCAATGTGATTGACCGACAAGGATGTTGAAAGTTTAAACCCTCTCGTATGCATCGAGTTTTATGTGGCAGTTGTAAATATTTGAAAGAGAAAGAAGTGATGCGCGGGAAATAAATGAAACAAGTGTTTCTCAGATAATTTGTTTCCAGGAAAAAGTCATGTGCTCGATTTGATCACGTTGATTAAATTTTATGTGACCCTTTTCTGTACAAAAGAGCGGAAAAAGTGTTCGAAGAAACAGTACGCTACACTTCGTAACAAAAGACAGCTCGCAAAAAAGACATCTCGCAAAATCTTAAGAAAAAGGCAACTCGCAAAAAGAGACAACGCGGAAGAAAGTTAAATTTTCCTTCAATCTAGTTAAATGCGAAAGAAAAAAAGGTAAAACATCAAAGCCTTTGAGGCGTCACAACTTCTTTGGTATACAGATCAAAGTTAAATGAGAGAGCTTCCAGCTGCGAAATTAGATCATTGCTTTGATAGTTTTCAAGAGTTTCTGACATCCCATGTTGCAATTGTTCATATTTAGGTCATTTATAGGGCTTTTCTCTGGATTTTATCCGAATCAGGCAATTTTGTCTAAATTTTGCTCCTTTCCTTTCTTATTTGCTGAATGAATTTTGATACAGTGGGGTGAGCATAACCCATTCCTTATTGAAAAGGATCATCCTTCGACCGAATTGTTGGTTTTTTATTTCAATTCATCGCATTGCTTAGCTAATTCCATATAGTTGGTGTAAAATCTGGATTTTTTCGTGGAATTCTACGTATATATTCCTCACCCACATTTTTTCGATTGAACTTAATTAAATTTTTTATATTCAAAGATCATGATTCGTTTCCCGCGCTGACTTGTACTGAATCGCAACATTATTCTCATGTGTAGAAACCTATTTAGAAACCACAATGATGATATACCAATTAATGCAATCAAAGTTTTGGAGTCAATTTTTGGTGTTAAACGAACAAAAAGACTCATACTTTTGCCCAATAATTGTTTTGAATTAAGTGTTAAATTAACTGATGTTCAGTGGGAGATTACGGGTCATAGATTAGGGGCAATTAAGGGATTATCTTACATAAAAGTAGACAATCAATTGAGTGTCTGTTGTGTTGCAGAGGACGCGATGAGTGGGACAGTGCGAAGCTGCAGAATGGAGATGTGCTGTGCAATTGCATCATGCCAATGTGGGGAGGCAGCTCCATCTCAGACACCCAATTCGCACACTCACTCTCCAAGTACAACACACACCTGCAGGTAAAGCAATCCTACCCACACAAGCATGCACGCATCATAGTTTCGCTCAGGTTTTCCACTGCGACTGTAAGTTATTCGTCATATTTTACATTAAATCCCCAGCAAACATAGATTTCCGTGTTATATATTTCGCGGCTGTATCTGAAGGTGGAGGGCTATAATGAAAAAGAGCCTCTTGGCGTTGAAGTAATTTTCCGTTGCAGGCCACGTGCCCAGTTTTTATGGACTGGTCAAGGAGTGTGATAAAACAGAGGAGTTATAAATATAGTGGATTTCGTCTGTTTTCTGGCGCGAAATGATAACCGTGTCTCCTCTTTAAATCAAAAGGCAGTATTTCTAAGCAGACCTTTCATCTAATAATACGACAATTCATCTGCGAACTATTTCTATAAGTGCCAGTGGAGCTAGTGAAGAAACTTTTTTTCAGGAAAAAGTCTAAAATTTTGATCACATCACGCTCATCTTTGACTTTCCATTTCTTTTTAATGATCAATTTTAATTCATTTGGTAAACGTAAAGCAGGCAAATCACGCTTTCAAATTAAGAAAGCGGAACTGAAGAGAAAAATTTCGATGACTTTGTTTCGAACGTGAATTGTGATTTTTAAGAGTAATGAACGTAGTGAAGACTCTTATATTGGTCTTGGGAATTTTTCGTTTTTTTTTCAGGAAAAAGTCTTAAAATGCTTTAATAACCACAGATGTGCTTTCATACATTTTAATGTATTTAAAAATGCGCCTAGGTATACATGCACTTTTTGAGTTCAGTTCCAATTCATCTGCTGAAAGTTACGTAAGTAGCACTCTCCAAATGCGAACGTGGAAATGGCGCGAAAATACGTGAACGAAAGTGGATTTTGATTTAAGATTTCCCAGAGAAGAAAAAAACCTTGCCTATTGATCCAGTTTTCTCAAATTGGATTAATTTTTATCAAAAAGGCGCCGAGTATAAATTGCTCTAGAAATTCAAAGGGCATCCACTTTTTTCTTTGAAATTCGGAAGTGTAGATTTTTTCAACATTGTCAGTGTTTTTTTTCTGTTCACTTGCGTTCATTACTCTTTTCCAATTGTCAGTTGGCTAGGTTTTTTATTTTCCCAGCGGAAGAGAAATATTACCTAATGATTAACAGTCGATGAACATAATTCAGTCTCTTATATAGGCCATGCTGATTTTTCAGAATCAAATTTACTTTTTCGCGGTTTTTTTAAGTTATGTTCATTTTTTGCTTACCTTAGCAATCAGCGTAGTGTATTAGTACGATTTTTTTTCTAAATTAACTTGCAAATAAAAGTGTTCACTTATTTCACTTATGCTATAATCACGACCTGGCATTGGAAATTTCTTAGCATCTGTTCTCTGCTTTATTTGCGGCTACTGTTTGTGAGTAGTTAAGCATCTGTTTCGGAATGTTTAGTATGTGAGACTCATAGTTCGCAGATTTGTGACTCTAGGTCGCTGATCGAATGCGAGAGGTAGCCGAATTTTCACTAATTCGAGGCTCATTTCTAGAGCAATTCGTTTTTACATGGATCCCTCTGTCACAATTCGATTTTACAGGGATCCCTCTGTCTTAATTCATTTTAACAGGGATCTTCTGTCACAATTCATTTTTACAGTGATCCCTCTGTCACAATTCGATTTTACAGTGATCCCTCTGTCACAATTCAATTTAACAGGGATCTCTCTGTCACAATTCAATTTTACAGGGATCACTCTGTCACAATTAGTTTTCACAGAGATACCTCATCACAATTAGTTTTCACAGAGATACCTCATCGCAATTCGTTTTTACAGGGATCCCTCATCACAATTAGTTTTCACAGAGATACCTTATCACAATTCGTTTTTACAGGGATCCCTCTGTAACAATTCGTTTTTACAGGGCTCCCTTTGTCACAGTTCGATTCTACAGGGATCCCTCTGTCACAATTTGTTTTTACATGGATCCCTCTGTCACAATTCGTTTTTACAGGGATTCCTATGTCGCTATTAATTTTCACAAGAATTTCTCAGCACGATTCGTTTTCACAGGGATGCCTCATCACAATTCGTTTTTTGCAGGGATCCCTGTCGCTATTAGTTTTAACAGGGATTCTCTGTCACAATTAGTCTTTACAGGGATCCCTCTGTCGCAATTAGATTTCACGGTGATCACTCATCACAATCCGTTTTTACAAAGATCCCTCTGTCACAATTAATTTTCATAGGAATATCTCGTCACAGTTCGTTTTCACAGGGATTTCTCTCTGACAATAAGTTTTCAGAGATCCCTCATAATTCGTTTTTACAGGGCTCTCTGCCACAATTCGGTTCTACAGGGATCCGATCCCTCTGTCACAGTTCGTTTTTACAGGGATCACTGTGTCAAAATTAGTTTTCAGATGGATCCCTCATTTCAGTTCGTTTTTACAGGCTCTCTCTGCCACAATTCGGTTCTACAGGGATCCGATCCCTCTGTCACAGTTCGTTTTTACAGGGATCACTGTGTCAAAATTAGTTTTCAGATGGATCCCTCATTTCAGTTCGATTTTACATGGATCCTTCTGTCATAATTAATTTTCACAGGGCTCCCTCATCACAATTCGTTTGTACCGGATCCCTATCTCGCAATTAATTTTCACAGGAATCCATCATCACAATTAGTGTTCAAAGGGATACCTCATCACAATTCGTTTTTACAGGGCTCCCTATGTCGCAAATAGTTTTTACGGGGATTCTCTGTCACAATTAGTCTTTACAGGGATCCCTCTGTCACAATTAGTTTCCAGATGGATCCCTCATCACAATTCGTTTTTAGAGGTATCCCTCTGGCACATTTCGTTTTTACAGGGCTCCCTCTGTCACAATTCGATTCTACATGGATCCCTCTGTCACAGTTCGTTTTTACAGGGATCACTCTTTCAAATTTAGTTTTCAGATGGATCCCTCATCACAGTTCATTTTTACATGGATCCTTCTGTCATAATTAATTTTCACAGGGCTCCCTCATCACAATTCGTTTGTACCGGATCCCTATCTCGCAATTAATTTTCACAGGAATCCATCATCACAATTAGTGTTCAAAGGGATACCTCATCACAATTCGTTTTTACAGGGCTCCCTACGTCGCAAATAGTGTTTACGGGGATTCTCTGTCACAATTAGTCTTTACAGGGATCCCTCTGTCACAATTAGTTTCCAGATGGATCCCTCATCACAATTCGTTTTTAGAGGTATCCCTCTGGCACATTTCGTTTTTACAGGGCTCCCTCTGTCACAATTCGATTCTACATGGATCCCTCTGTCACAGTTCGTGTTTACAGGGATCACTCTTTCAAATTTAGTTTTCAGATGGATCCCTCATTTCAGTTCGATTTTACAGGGATCCTTCTGACATAATTAATTTTCACAGGGCTCCCTCATCACAATTCGTTTGTACCGGCCCTATCTCGCAATTAATTTTCACAGGAATCCATCATCACAATTAGTTTTCAAAGGGATACCTCATCACAATTCGTTTTTACGGGGCTCCCTATGTCGCAAATAGTTTTTACGGGGATTCTCTGTCACAATTAGTCTTTACAGGGATCCCTCTGTCACAATTAGTTTCCAGATGGATCCCTCATCACAATTCGTTTTTAGAGGTATCCCTCTGGCGCATTTCGTTTTTACAGGGCTCCCTCTGTCACAATTCGATTCTACATGGATCCCTCTGTCACAGTTCGTTTTTACAGGGATCACTCTTTCAAATTTAGTTTTCAGATGGATCGCTCATTTCAGTTCGATTTTACAGGGATCCTTCTGTCATAATTAATTTTCACAGGGCTCCCTCATCACAATTCGTTTGTACCGGCCCTATCTCGCAATTAATTTTCACAGGAATCCATCATCACAATTAGTTTTCAAAGGGATACCTCATCACAATTCGTTTTTACGGGGCTCCCTATGTCGCAAATAGTTTTTACGGGGATTCTCTGTCACAATTAGTCTTTACAGGGATCCCTCTGTCACAATTAGTTTCCAGATGGATCCCTCATCACAATTCGTTTTTAGAGGTATCCCTCTGGCGCATTTCGTTTTTACAGGGCTCCCTCTGTCACAATTCGATTCTACATGGATCCCTCTGTCACAGTTCGTTTTTACAGGGATCACTCTTTCAAATTTAGTTTTCAGATGGATCCCTCATCACAGTTCATTTTTACATGGATCCTTCTGTCATAATTAATTTTCACAGGGCTCCCTCATCACAATTCGTTTGTACCGGGATCCCTATCTCGCAATTAATTTTCACAGGATTCCCTCATCACAATTAGTTTTACAGGGATCCCTCTGTCACAGTTGAATCACTTGTTGTGCTGTGTTTAGGAGTGCACTGGATTCCGTGAGCCGAACTACCACAGCACTGTGCACGACTGCAAACTCCTGCTAATCAAGTTCGCTGAGGAGAAGAGCTTCAGCGAGGACTGTGGGGGAGGTGCGAGGGAGAGCAATGCGAGACTTATCCCCTTCCACCTGCAGATAGCACTCTATGTACTCAACTCAACCAGAAGTGCCACTAGAGAAGAGACACTGCTCAACCAGTTCATGCAAGGTTTACTTAACCCCCAATCTCTTACTCACTGCATATGCGAGATTCGAAACTTTTCCTTTGTAGAACCCGAAATGCTTAAGCGTATGATATAATCTGCTGTTTAGTTTTCTTCTGTTTGAACAGAAGAAAATTAATGTAATAATTCGTTGGCTCACAATTCGACCAACCAGAAATCGACTTGAATAATTTTGGTACAAATGGCACCGATTTTTCATTTTGGTACAAATGACCGTTGGTACAAATGGGACATCACCATAGTAGTACCTAGTACCATTTTGTCTGCGCATTTTCTGTTTGTTTGGTTGACTCAATCTGAAACTTTGGTGCTTTACTAGTCTCACATTCTCATAATTGAATTTCAATTCCAAAAACTATTTCAAGTTGTAATGTAAAAAAGTTTTGGATGGTGAAGAAATCAACTACTTGGCACATACATTTTCTTCATAATTGCTATATTCTTATGTATGATATGAACATTTTGCACTGTGGGAAAAACGCAGAAAAGCCATGCCATGATAATAAAAGCAAACTATAAAATAATCGCCCAACGTGGGGCTCGAACCCACGACCCTGGGATTAAGAGTCCCATGCTCTACCGACTGAGCTAGCCGGGCTTAATCTTAGTTCGGTGAGTTGTATTTATCAAATGAAATCCCGCCATAAAATATCTGTGGGGGATGTCTATATTTTGCAAGTTCGAGCTGATGTTCAATTCAGTATTATGACACACACTGTTTACTGTTAATTATGGTCATCGTGTTTAGGGGGGAGGATGTTAACTTGATCCGTACAATTAATTGCAAGCCCGAAAAATCACGCTTGGTTAATAATTTTTGACACGAGTGTTAGAAACCGCGTCCAGACAATTCGGCGAAAGACAATTTGGCTCTTTTTCCTTCCCCCCCCCCACCTGCAAATTTTTTAGAGTAAATTTTCTGTTCACATTGTCAGATTGTTAACAAATTTGGTAGACGGACTAATAAAGCCTTGACAAATATATTTGGTCTTCATACTCAACCTTGTAAAACCACTCGTAACAACATGAAATCAATGCTTATGTGAGGTGGGGGGAAAAGGAAAAAGAGCCGACAATTCAGCCGATTTGAAATTCAGACAATTCAGCCAGAAGTATGCAGACAATTCAGCCAATAACACTGACCGCCGCAGTCGCGCCAACGTGTTGCGAGCATGCCAACAGAGGGTAGGACTCTATACGAAATTTAGAGCCGGTTATCGCGGCGACGCGCGCGTAGCGCACCCACCGGCGACCTTAAACCGAGAAATAACTCCAATTCCGATATTTTTCTTTCGAATTTTGTAAAACTGGCTGAATTATCTGTATATTTTTGGCTGAATTGTGTTTGGCCGAATTGCTCTAAGCGGCGCCTGGGATGATTTATTTTACAGAGCCTGCGGATAAATGGGTGCGAAATGCATACGAGATAGAGGGAGTCCACTTCTACGCCATCATGCAACTGCTGGTGATGAAACAGGGTTCCTACTGGGACTCGAACAAACTCACCTTCCTCCAGAGACTCATCACGTGTGCTCACCTCAGACACTTCTTCCCAACCGGCACCCAGTTCCCTGTGGCTGCCAGTGCGACAGCTACGACCGGTGATGCTCCAGGGGGAAGTGGCCAGACGGATAATTATGACTACAAAGTGTACAAATCAGCGCTAATGTTTTTCACTCTGATTGACAATCTAGTGAAACTGATCAAAAAACAGACAATTGCATCAAGTGAGTTATTAATTTGAGGGCCGCCATTATAATGTTTATCTCGTTCTGCGAGAATAAAAATTTTGAAACCATGATCAAAATGAAAAGAAAAATCTAAAACGTAAAAGATTTTTAATGACAAGTAGATAGCTGTTGAAACTGAAACTGGTTGCTGATTCGATTACCATAAGAACACACAGCTCTGCCGATGTTAAAACCGGTATTCACACATTTCGCTCCTCACACGTTTTGCCCCTCTTAAATTTAGTGGCACATTTCGCCCCTCACACATTTCGACCCTCATAAATTACTGGCACATTTCGCCCCTATAATGTACATTAAGAAAGCGGCGTTAATTAATTAGGGGCAAAACGTGCGAGGACGAAATGTGTAAAATTATTAGGGGCGAAATGTGTGAGGGGGCGAAATGTGCCACTAAATTTAAGAGGGGCGAAATGTGTGTGGGGCGAAACGTGGGACATTTGTTAAAACCAGATAATGGAAGCAAATTGTTGCGTGACTGACTATTCAATCCATGATTTGTTTTAGCAAACAAGGGCTGGTCGGAGGATCTGTTTGAATTCCTGAAGCAGAACAGCAACCAGTTTTTGGAACTGGTGGACAAGCAGTTCGTCTCCCAGTTCGAGGAGGCACTCACAGCCGAGAGCTTCGAGGAATGGTGCGACATTGTGGGACTCCTAGGAAATGTAGGGCCTGAAAACTTAGCCTCGTTCATTCCGAAGACACTGAAGAAGCTGTCAGCTGCTGAAAGCATGAACCCACAACCGTGAAACAAACTTGATCGAACTAACGTAGACTAGATCGCTGTAATACTATACTAACTGAAAATTTCGAGGGATATACTAACTGAAAATTTCTAGGGAATATTACAAAGTTAAATTGCGACTACTGACTCATCTATTAGTGTTGAAATCATTTATGCTAAATAATACTGGATTAGTAAATAAATTCGTTCCGTACCGCAGAACTGTTGAAACTACTGAATTCAAGATTTGCTTTCAATTTTTGGTCAATGAATAAATGATTATTACTGTTTGTAAAAAAAATCGGAAAGCTAAATGCTAGTGAAAGAAGTATTGCCAGTTTCTTTGCAAATAGCTGATCAGATTCCAGTCACAGTGATTTTTAAAAAAAAAATGATGGTTTTTTTAAGCGTAATGAACGCATTGAAGACAAGACTCTTATTTAAGTCTTGGTGGGCTGGTCGTCTAATTTGTCTAATTTTTTTGTTAATTTTTTTAATAAGAAGTCTTAAAAATGCTCTAATAACTACAGATGTGCATCCATCCTTATAAACGCACTTAGGCAATATATGCACTTTTTGAGTTGAATATAAACTCATCTGCTAAAAGTTACGTAAATAGCCCTTCCCAACTACGAACGTTCAAATGGCGCTAAAAACGTGAACGACTTCTAGTTTCGAAAATGGAATGGAATTAATTTCTTCCCAGCGGAATAAGAACTTTATACACTGATCCAGTTTTCTTAAAATGGGTTAATACTATTTAAAAAAAGCAACAATCCAAAGATAATGTTGAAACTCAAAGAGCTGTAAGGACTAAATTTCTTAAAAATTTGATTTATAAGTTTTTTTCAAACTTTTCCAACTGTGAGCTGGTTATTTTTTTACATTTGTCTTTTTTGCGTATAAAGACTACGAAGATGGTCAGCAAAAAAATGGAAACAAATGATGGCTTCCTGAATTATATATTTTTTCAAATTTTACACGTTATATTTTTCAAGTCTTGAAGTGCTCTAATAACTACATAAATACAGAAATCCATGCATATTATTGGATTTAGGAAAATTATTTAATGAGGAAATTTTTTGTTGTATAAAGTTATCTGTCAAAAGGTTGGTAAATTGCGCTCATCAACTGCGAAAGCTGAATCCGCGCAAAAATAACATTAAAGAGTTCTAGTTTTGAAAATTGATTATGAATGCACTCTTTTACCCAACGGAATAAAAGCTGTATTGAAATTTAAAAAAGTTGTATTTATTCCTTTTTTCGAATTTCAGCAATTGAAGTTTTTTGGACTCAAAGTCAGAACTTTCAAGCCTTTTTTTGTTGACACCAACTGATACATGCTTAAAATATCAACAATTTTTTATTGCAAAGGTATCATTTTAATTGATTGAAACAAGTATTTTGAAAAGCAATGCACTTGATTTTTTTGAAAAAAATTTTCTCTATAAGTTTTGAACTTAAAAACTTTCACAATTTTACAATTTTCAATAAACTTTATCCAATTTCAGAAGTTTGGAACTAGTGGAAAGATAGCTAACTCTCCTGTGTGCCTGCGTATACAGCTAGTCTCCTTCTATTAAACCCACTTTCTACAGCCTTCGAAAATATTGGTGGATGGGGTTTTGCACCCGTGTTTTTGGTTTTTTCTTTTTCTCAAAAACTACCCTCGAAATTTTGGAACTTATAATTCAATAAATAAAACAGCTCGTTGATGTTCCCTGCTTACATGTATTTCCTCCTTGTTTCCATATAATTTCATGCTTCTCGGAAAAAGTTTCATTTTTTGACTGTTTTTTTTCTTCAAAATTTTTGATAACTCTCGAAAACTGATTCAGCTGAGGCTTTCGATTCAAATGTAGAAACGGGTTGCGTGAAGCTCCACTCCATTAACGACCCTCGTAAAAATCAAACTGAATTTTTTTGATCATTTTTGAATCTTACTGACTTCTTTCAAAAACACCCTCAAACCTGAGATTTGGTTATAACAAAAAAAAACAGGTTTTGTTAAGCGCCCATGCATGAGCGGTTATCTTCAAATTCGTTACCTCAAAAATTGCTCTCGGAAAACTCAAATATTTTGATTTTTCGGTATTTTCTATCTTTTTTCCAAACTTCCCTCCCAAATCAGAGATTTTGGATTCGATCACAAGACCAGGTTAAGTGTTTTGTGAAGCTCCCCTGCATATACAGCTACGTTTTTTCCATAGTCAAAAAGTTATAGCTCTCGGAAAAATCAAATTTTTGAATTTCGACTTTTTTTAGATATTGTCTGAAAAGTGAGATTCTGGGATCACCCTAGAGAATGGGATATAAGAAGCTCCCCTGCATGCCTGGCTACGCCCAATTTTATTTACTTGAAAAATAGCCGAAGAAAAGTTTAGATTTTTGACTTCTTAAAATGTTTGACTTTTTCAAAACTACCCTCCAAATAGTGAAATTTTGGGTTCAATAAAAAACGGTTAGGAAAACTCCAACGTATAAATAGCTATGTCAAAAATTTCTTTGAAATTTTATGGCCCTCAAGAAACTCGATGTTTAATTTTTTGTCCGATTTTTGAAAAATTTTGCTTTTTCAAAAACTACCCAGCCGAATTTGATATCAAGATTTTTGTTTAATTGAATAAAAACACCAGTCATCGTAATAGAGAAAAGCCAGATAGCAAAAAAAAATTATTTAAACATATTAGTTCCAGAAAAACTGCAATTTGAAAATAAAATATGAAGTTCTGAGTAAATAGTAAACAGTCGAATCTCGTTACACAAGATAGCATTTTTTTAAATATTTGGTGAAATATTGCTGCAAAGCACTGACAATTTAAAAGGATCTGTAGCTGTTTTAAGGTGTCTAGTGTTAGGAGAGTTTCAGTGGCCGATAGCGCAGATGCTCTGAGAATATCTGAATAGAAATTTCGAGGTTGCAGGTTCAATTCCAACACATTGGTGGCTAGTATATTGAAAGCGTGGTTAAATGCGAGGGCGTCAGACTTCAAAATTTAAGGGGGTAGGTTATAGTCCGATGCATAGTAAAATTTCATAATACAAGGCTTTTTTTTACATTTGGTCATTTCACTTTTTATGTTGTTTTTTTGTCGTTTTCTCGCTGGCGTTTGCAAACTTTGCCCCCTTGCTTACATTTAACGATACTATTTTTTTCGCTCAGTTGCCAATTAAAGTATTTTCAGTAGCAAAATCTTTTTTGAAACCAGGGAAGTTTTTCGAAAGATTGTTTTTGGCTCGTTGTGGTCGAATTAAGAATAAAAGAGTTTCGCCCCTGTTTTGTTGTATTTTTTATTACAACCAATTTCATTGATAAATCCTGAGGCCACTGAGACCACCTGAGGCCACTGTGTAATAGTCTATACAAATATCTTCAGCTACAAAGGGTAGCTTGTAACCAAAGACTTCCTGTAGGTTTTCGTGATAAATACAAGCAATCTCGGAGTTTTTCAATTGATGCATAAAATAGGCGCCATTGAACTGCTGCATTAGCGGACACTTGCCTTGCCGCTCCTTGATGCCTTTGTAGAACAAAATTTCCCTGCTCATGTTTATTTTTTGGTTGCAACATCTACAATCAACTGGCATAACCCCGGAAAAAGTTTTTTTGTAAATAATTTAAAATTTAAAAAATTAAACTTGAAAACGAAATAAGAACTGGAAAAAAGGACCATGGATCGTTGAGACTATTAAAATGTTTACACAGGGGGCTGCTCACCAAGGAGAAGTCTTTTACCAATCTGCACAGAAGTGTCTCTGCTGAGGCAAGCATAATTATTATTTTTTATTTTAAAACAAATTATCCAGAAATAAAACTGTTTTTAATGCATACTTATAGCTAGTCGAAACATTAGGCTTGATTACATCGCAAACTTTCTTTAAAATTTTTTAGTTTACTCATTCTTAATCAGTCTTGTTGAAAACAGATCCCGGGCTACTTTTCATCCCTGGAGCCACCCAGGACCCAGGGCTGGCCACGGGAGCAACCATATCAAAACCTTGCAGTAATTGCTCTAACATGTCTAAAAATCCTAATTAAAAAATTTCACAACGGTGACTTTTGAGCCTTAATTGTTTCTTTTTTTCAGAAAACAAATTTACTAAGAATCAAGTTCCAACAAACCACGACAATTTTTTACGATTTCACTGCTTTTTCTTGATAATTCTCATGAAAAAATTAATATTTTTAACCCCCCTTTCATAGCTTGGGACCGAAATGGAAGGGAATTGAGCTCGGTTTTTTGTAGTAATTCATTTGAACTAGTAGCGTCAAATCTCTCTCTTTTTTAGAGTTACGAGCGCAGTTTCACCGCTGGTCTTGATCAAGTACCAAGCGATGTTTTAAATTTACACGAGCGCACGATGCCATCCGAACCGGTAAACACTTCTGGGCACTAGACGTAGTGGCCGCATGCCTCGTAGTGTTAAGTCCTCAAATATCCGCACGAGGTTATCTTTTTCCAGTGGTTCCTCGGGTTGTGTCAATTTAGACTTTTCAATTAGAAATGAAGCGTGCTCTTCAAATACACGCCTCCAGAAGTTCTCAAGTAAATTTTTTGCTCGCTTCAAGGACTTGTTGGACAGTTTACTATTAGACGCTTCGTAGAAGGCTGCTGCCGGAGCGTAGACGAGTGAACGACCCATTAGGAAGTGATTGAGTGTCAGTGAAAGGTCGTCGTCATTGTCAGTACTGGCATCTCTTAGCAGACGGTAATTAGGGATGACTCAGTCTCGGCTACGATAGCAAATTTATCTCTTGATAGTCAATTAGAAGATTTTGTAAGAACAGTAGTTTTCATCAACAAAACGAGTCACACCCACATGCCCCCAAAGTGGATGGCAGACAAAGGATTAGGTGCCATTCGATAGTGTGCATTTGTAGCGTTTAGATTAGTGCGCTTCTGTTATGAATTAACTGGTTTTGAGCGTTATTGCTTACGGGCGCCAACAAAATAAGAAGCGTTGTCGGAGATTAAGAGCTTAGGTGGGCCTCCTTTAGCAAGGAAGCGACTATTTGCCGTAATTGAGTTGTTCGTAGTAAGATTCCAGGAACACTGATGAGATGGAAGGCATGTGAAGGGACAGCTATAACTTTAACTAAACAACCCTTGTGTTTTTAAACGCAAATGGATCATCACATGGATTTTCGAAACGAATTGAGGACAAGTCAGCCATGAGTGAGTGTAAGTAACCCTTTGCTTTGGAACCTGGAGTCTTCTGCAGAGAAGGGTGTTATGGTTTACCTGTCTGATTAATT